GAATCTTTCATGAAAGAGAAAATGGATTGTGTTGACAGCAGAATAACCTTCCTTCGAATAACCTTCGAATAACCGTCCCTTTTTGCCAGTTAATATATATAACAAGATCCACGACAGTTGCAGTTCGACTATCATGGAGTCAGGTAGGACTGATGATGAATTCCCGCAGTTCCTTCCAAGTGATCTCAACATAGGAGCTATAGCAACTGTTATGAGAGGACAGCTAGTCGGTGAGAGAAACACACCAAAAGCTATAACAATCCGCGAGCATGGCGAAAAGATCGATAGCCTTGAGAAGGAGATCAAAAAGAAGGATGATGAAATCGTTGCCCTTCAGAAAGCTCTACAGACTCTTCAGGAGCAAAATGACGAGCTTAAAAGCGCGCTTGACACAAAAGACGAAGAGATTGGTACCCTAAAATCGAGAATCGACGAGCTGGAGGACGAGAAGACGGAGTTGCAAAGGGAGTTAGGATCGGTGAAAACCGATCTCAGCCTTGTGCAAAAGGAAGTTGATAAGTTGAGAAAGGCGAAGTCAAGCCAGGAGCAAACTAATTTGAAATTGAAGCAAGATCTCGAAGGGTTCCGGAGAACCTTGGAAACAGTGAAGGAAGATCGGGAGAAGAAAAGAAAGGAGAGCGAAGAACTTAAGAAGGAACTGAGGAACATCAAAGAATCGCAACTCAAAGGACTTCTTCCTTTAATGAGTGGTGCCAGAGCGCTTCCAAATAAGCCCCTGCCAGCAATACCGAAAACCAGCGGAGAAGCATTGCTACACTTAGGCGAAATGTGTCGTCAAATACAAACCAAGCTTTATCGGTTTGTATTTCCCAGAAGTGTTAAAGATGTCAATTATAAAGTTGATGCCATTCACCGCCATTTAAGCAAGTTCCCAAACCTCAATGCTCAGAGGAAATGGGAGTCGATTCAGGAGAGGTTTCGCTGGGATGAGACTCACGAAGAGGCAATCACCTTACTACAAGAGACAAGAAACATTGAAGCCCATCCTGAGATCTCCAAGGATTCGCTTCAACGTGCCATAAACATAACCGCTCAGTCAAACAACTTGGAAGACAACTGGCTGTCAACGAAGCTCTTACACGAACTGCTTAAAATCTGGGAGACTGATCTGTCCCAGTAAAACATTACTTTACGTAAAAGAATTGTGTGATCGGAAGAAATTACGTCTCCTTGAGATGAGCACACAGGCCTCGATAGTTATGCAAGTCATGTAGGTGATTTTCCAAGCTAATGTAAACTGAATTGATTTCGTAGATTGTATTAGGTGAAAATTCGTCGTTTCATGGTTAAGTCTACGATAATGGAGCTGAGCATCAGGATGACTATTATCAATACTTTTCTTATTTTTCTCCTTTACACTTAATGAAGTTAAAATCACAAAGGTCTGTCGACACAAGGACGCTTTCGCTTTGTACTTCGATGCTATTGTTTGGAATAAATGTTTCGTTGCAAAACTTCAACTTAGGCCAATTCCTGTTTCGATTTCTTAGAAATTTAGACTTTGTCTGCTAATTTGGGTCAGTTGTTAAGGAAAGTGAAGTGTTGGATTAGCTAGCACACTGATCAGTGGGCCAACAAACTGCATTCCACTAATTCAACTTAATAGTGCTAAGTTTGATTGATAACTATACAGTCAGTTTAGATTACGTTCATCTTAGCACGCGTGATGTAGTACTGAAACAAAGGCGAACTAATCCTCTTTAGTTTATCATTTTCATTTTCTTCAAAATTAGGCTTCGATTGATTTAAATTCTTAGGGTAGACTTATCGCGAAAAATTAACAGAGTGTAGAGTAAACTACACACGCATGTTTATATTCTCTGTGAGAGGGATTCTCTGGAAACTAATAAATGGAGACGTATTGAAACGAAATTGGATTCACTTTTCTCTCGATTTGTTATGGTGTCTAAAAACTATTATTACTCAGACTCTGTTTTGAAATGGTCGATAAAGAAAGCCAATCGTTAGATTCTAGGAATCTATATGTTTACGCTATTGATCTCCTATGGGCTTAAAGTGTATTAATTTAGTCGGTTGCCTCTTCCATGACATTTTCTTTATGTATATTGTAGTCTATAATCGCAAAATGATGCATTCATTCGTCGATGGCACAAACAACATACTCATGGTTTTCTCTGTTCCCAAATAAAGGGATTCAAAGCACCCGTTTCTCAGAAATTTGACGTTTTCAATGTATTTTCCACAATTTCCTGTTATCTGAATTGCTACACCCAAGATTGGTTCTGATTGGTTTAGCAATGGCAGACATCAGTTTCTTAGAAATCGGTCATAAACTTCCGTTCGCGCATGTTCGAATATCTCACAAGAAATAACTGCGAATAAAATGGATCTAACACCTACATCTAATAAAATTTTGGTTACTGATGCCAAAAGAAAAAAAATACTTGCTGTGACGACCTAACGTCATAATACGGATAAGAAAGAAAACATTTTCATCCTTGGATACGTGCAGTTTTAACGCAGACAAATCAGCCATACCTTGTTGGTCTTTTTGCAAAACATTTGATTGATCGGAGAAAATGCCGCGTCATAAATTATAAAGAGCGACTACCGGCCTACTGTCACCCTGATGCCCATAACTCTGACTCAATGTTTGTTTCACTTGGGGGTAAGAAAAACAATTTCGATTCTCGATGTAAATCCTAAACAGATGTAAAGTTTAAATTTAGCCTATATGTACGGTCGCAAACATCCTTTTTGCTTACGGATTGAAACGTGAAATGACAACTCGAGATACTGTTAACTGCCTTTCTCTCTCTCTTTTTTTTTTTTTTTTTTTTTTTTTTCCATGGCTATAATTCAGCTGATCTGAAAACAAATATCACCTCTCTATTGTTACTTGTAAACTTCGCCCTTTCTATAGGTGTGGAATTGGAATGTTATGACAGCAAATCGTCAGGAAGTGCTTGATTCGTGTCCTTTCACTCAATATGAATTCATTGCCAAGGATCAGTTACAGTATTGACCAGTTGCTGATACTCAGAAAGACGGTCAACCCCTTTGAATTGTGACATGGCCAGGAGCTATTCATCATAATTTTTTCCTCTGTTATTTATTTTCAGTTCCAACCAAACAGGAAAATTATTTGTATTATCCACGAATAAATATGGAAGAACTGGAAGGTAACACATGATATGCCTCAGAAATGTATGGAAAGGAAGTCACCCGCCCAATTCTCGGCCTCGGATAAGATGTCCTTGGCCGGAAAAGTGATATATTTTTTACGATAATTTTGATTATGTTGCAGTTCTCAATTACTATATAGGTCTGGCAAGATCGTGAACAGTTAAATTGTGAAATACTTGCAAAAACAAAAGAGAATTGTTTGCTTTCAAGAACCAAGATCAGGGATCGTAACAGTTCTTGATTCTTTATAACCCATTAATTTACGTTTGGATCGTTTGCTGATTTCTAACTTGCTGCAATTAGAGCTATGGAATATCTTGGAGACTGGTGTGCCCACGGAAGACTTCACTTCCTGTGTATGTTGAAGTGAGATCATGGAAAATATCCTCTTGCTGAACGAAGCACACAGGCTTCGAAGTTTATGGTTGAAGTACCAAGTTCACGTAGGCTTAACTTATTGCGTAGCCTTGCAATTGGGTAAGGAACTTTGCCGGCCGGGAGTGGAGTGATAGCGGGGATGCATTAAAAACCTGTTTCCACTTCCACTTTATACATGAATGTTAAGCTTCAACTACAGCAGCATCAGTACAGATGACTGATAAGCGCCCCCGAAATTAAGCGCCCTCCTTCCAATAAACTGTATTCCTGTGGTTCAACTAAGTGGTCTAGAGTTCGTTTAAAAAACTTTGAACTATATCAGGGTTGTGTTCAGTCGAGCACGCCTGGTGAATAAATGATATAAATACCTGGAATTATAGTTTGATTCTCTGTATGATTTTTTTGGGCTACAGCAGACTGATGCATGTGGATGCGTAAGAATGGCAGTATTTATTTCTCTGTAATTCGCCCTAATAACTAAAAAACTAGTGTTACTGAACTTGATTATGAATGCTTGATATGCAATTCTAGGAATCTTAATGGTTTCGCGACAGATCTTCTAGCTATGCTTGGGTATGAATTTATTGCGTGTGGGTGTCTTTTCTAACACAGTTCCTTTCAGCTTGTTCTTACATTTATTTCAGCCTGCTATCACAAAAGGAAAGTTTCATTTGTATTTTTACAGTATAACAGCTAAGTTATGTTTTTCTCTTCTTCTAAGATATTGGATGTTGTTTCCTAGAAATTCGGATGACACGAACACATTTGAAAATATCACCTGTTAGGTAAAACACTAACCACCAGCAACGGTTGTGATTTATCCAGCAATCGTATCCCATGATGACGCCGCACAAAACAAAAAGCTTAGTCAAGAAAATTCTATTTTCAGAAACCTCCCTGTTCATTGTCACCCTCCCATTTCTAGAATTCCTTTTTTCTTTCTTCTCCCTTTTTTTTTCCCACTAGCTTTTTCTCTGCAGAAGCGGAAAAAAGGTAAACAAAATAACATTGTAATGGTACTCATAGTTATACTCGCCGTTGTTTCAGTTTGCATCGCATGAAAATACAAAACAGCGCCACACCGATTTATTTGAATTGAAAGCAGCTTTATATCTACGGGGAGCATATTTATAGGAGATAAGTACATTCTGGATGATCGGGCGAAGAACATTCAAAGTTCATTGAAGTTCATTCAAGTTAAACGTACCTAACTGAATAAAATATCATATTGTTTATGGCGTAGCCGTTACCGGGTAGACCTATACTGTCTTTTTTGAAAAAAAAAAAAAAAGAAAATGACGAAATGGCGAATGGTTATTCAATGAGCTAAGGAGAAGGCTAGACGTAATTAGATGAATCAAGTTTTTTGGTACACCTACACCATATATGGAACTGTGACGTCATAGTGATCGAGTCTCCCTGTTTGGTGCTCGTATTTCTGTTCTCTCGGTAACATCGCCACCGCCATTGTTAGTTTAAACGAAGTTATTGAAATTCAGTCGGGAAGAATGGAGGGAAGAAGAGAAATAGTGGCAAATTCTGCTTTACATTTGAACATTGTAGGAAGAGGGCTGACTCACGATCCCGAAATTTTGAGGCAAATTGACTCGCTCAAGAAAGAAATCGATAAAAAGGATGAAGCAATACTGAAGCTAAACAAAGATTTGCGAGATCTAAGAGAGCAAAACGATAATCTACAGATTACTGTGAAGTCGAAGGATAAAGAAATCAAAACTCTGAGGGAGAAGATTCAGAAACTGGAAAGTGAGAAGAAGACATTGGAAACGAATTTAAAAGCTGTTCAAGTCGAACTGGATGCCGTGAAAAACGAGGTCGCCGAGATGAAGGATAAAAATACAACACTAAAGACGGATGTTGCCAAATTGTCGACAAGAGTGGATGAAGTCACCAAAGATCTCGACGAAAGTATGAGAGAAAAGTCGAATCTTGAAGAGAAAAATTCAACACTGGAGTTAACTGTCGAGAAATTGTCAAAGAAGGTGGATGGCATGACTGAAGATCTTGAAGAAAGCATAAGCGAAAATAGGTCTCTAAAGAAGGAAGTCGATGATCTACGAGAGAGTCTGGAAATGGCAAACAAGGTGCTAGCGGTTCCCGAGCGAATGGCTTTACCATTCATCCCCTCGGCTGATCCACTGATTAGTGCGTCTTTGGTCCTGGGTGAGTTATGCTGGCAAATTCAAGGAATGATGTACCAACATGTGTTTCCAAACTCTTATGACTCTAAGAAGAGTTACAAGATGAAACACATTGAGCAAGATATCGATGATCTTGAAGACGAGCAGCAAAGAAAAGAAGCGAAGAAGATATGGAGTGAGTTAAAAGAAAAGGTCAAATGTAAAAGGCAACACATAAGAGCTATGAAGTCTATCCAAGATGGCCGAAATGTGACGGCCCATCCCGTGATTGATGAAGTCCTCGTGGATACCTCGGTGAGAATCATGAATCAGGCAGGAAAGCTGGAAGACTGGCACTCGTTACCAATTGTCAATGAACTGATAGCAATGTGGAAGCAACTGGCACAATCGAAGTAATTCTAAGGAACTTAAATCAAAAGCAAGCAATTTTGAGCATAACCTTACCACATAATTACGTTGCTATTATTGTAATATTAGAGATATTCAGCTTATACGGGTTTGGCTTATATGAGACCAAAACATCAGGGTAATTCTCACACAGCCGATAATACAGGAGACCCTTTCTAAGGTTTCGCGTATGCACTTGTGTTTATCTTTGATGGAACTGTAATCTCCTGGAGAGTAAGTAGTTTCTTGTCTGTTAATTATCTACAATACGCGGTTTGAAAAATTGCCAATTTATATCTACAAAACCGTTAGAAACTGATTTTTTAGCGAGGCTTAATGCAAGTTTTCTAGTTACATTTCTATTCACGGGGAAATTAGCTCCTAAATGATAAAAAAAATAATCTGATAAAATCAAAGGAAAGAAAGCCTTAGCATTTACATAAATGTTGTGCTACAAGTATGAGTAAAAGTTTTGCTCGAATGACCAGCTCCTTTCCAATGTTTCCAGTAGTTAAACCTTTTCTAGAGCTAATCTTTTAAATATATTCGCCTCACTGCTGCTTTAATGATAACAAATTCGAGACCCATTTTCTACAGATTTGGGGTTGCTTTGAAATGCCACTGTAGAGGCATAATTTTTTGTGATCCGGCTGATAAACAACGAAATTCTATGAAATTGATAGGATCATCACAAGGATATCTGGTTCTCAGAAATTTGCCATGAACTTCCGTTTGCCGTTATCTAATAAAATATTCGAGGTAATACTTACATGTAAAACTATTTTTGGTCAATGGAGACAGAAAAAGAAAATTATATGTTACAGCAAAACTGAAGCCTGCTTGGCTTGATAATCTTCGGTTAAAGTAAAACAAAAAAAGCATTTTTAAGTCAAAATAAAAGGTAGGCGCTTTGATACGAGTCATCAGAAATGTGGAATCTAAAGAAAATGATACGAGGTTTGTCATTCCTTAATTATTTGCAGTAACCCCGATACATTCCTATTTAAAAGAAATAAAAATGCTGTTTTGTATACTTTTGCTATGAATGTTCTCAAGTAAATGGAAGCGTTCAAAGCAGTGGAATCGTTACCGCATTTTCTTTGCATTTTTCCGACAACCAAGCGGCGCTCTGTCCAGTCTTGTTTATAATTACTAAACATCCAGTATGAAAACCCTATACTTTCTTCCTCAGAAACAACCCGCTGCTAAAAGTTAAAATTTGAGGCCTCATTCAACTCCTCACCTATTCGTTGAAATACTCCATTTCAAATGCTGTGGAAAAAAACCCAATGAATACACGTGCATGTCTATACCTTACAAGAGTGTGACCTATGTTGTTTGCTTTCGGATCCTGTTTCCGTAAACGGAAATGGACACAACGCTCTCCGCGAAATCGACTTCATTTTAAATTGTGCAATAATCAATTTACAAGTCCGACTGACCCCGTGTTGACGTGATTCTAGGGGAAGACACGGAAAGACTTCTTGTAACAACATAACAGGGAGTAAAAATCAACAAGTACAACACGCAACTGGGTCAATATATGTGTTCTTCTTTAACGTTCTTTTTCAATCGTTTACGAACCGACCAGTCTCTGTGTTAAGTCGCCTAAAGTCTTTGTCTTTGACATATAAATATGAAATCATTCGACGAAGTCACGAAGTTTCTTCTCGTTCAGAATATAATCCCCCCATGCTGGAGCTAAAATAAGCACAATAACTGTGAATATATTTACATTTTTCTCAGAAATATACCTCTTACGTAAACAGAAGGTCGTTGAGTAGTTTTCCTGGAAAGCTGTTGAAATGATCATGCGCGACTTCAGCTACTCGTATTGAACTGTGGGAGATTTAGTAACGCCACATTTTCTTTTCCATTCCCAATCTGCTTACGCAGCTTTTTAAAAAAAAGCAGCCCGCTGCAATAAGTTAAAACTTGGGGTGGGTTGACAAATATAATTCTAAAATGAAGCAAAAGAATTGCTAAATGATGTTTACTGAGAAAAACCAAGCGAGTGCATATGGGAATAATTTTTTCCCATTGAAATCAAATAATTTATCTCTTTTTATCGAGAGATATATCTGGGAACAATTTCTCGAGTACGAGGGGTAAGTGGGGTTCTCTTCGACACCAACAACCGAAATATCTATTTCCAAATTCTTGATCGTTGGGTGAAAACAAAAGTTCCAAGCAATTGCATTATGAAAATGCTCCCTGGGAGATTGACTGATGCGACCAAGTTTCATTTTCGTTTAACGCCATCAACGAATATTTTGAGCTTGAAAAACCCCACCTGTTACTCCCATGTTAATTCTAAATATAAAAATTTAAAAATAACCCCCTGTGGAGCAATTTCTCGGAATTCTACGGAAGAAGGTTCACTGCTCATGCGTAGACCTTACATGATATGATATAAGCTTGACCGACTGACTGATATAAGCTCGATTGACACCAGTACTTCAAAATAATATCTGGGAGACTGATCTGTCTCAGTAAGACATTACTTTATGTAAAAGAAATGGTGTGATTGGAAGAAATTACGTCTTCTTGAAGTGAGCGTACAGGCTTCGATAGTTATACAAGTCATGTAGCTGATGTTCCAAGCTAAAGTAGACTGAATTGATTTCGTAGTTTGTGTTAGGTGAGAATTTGTCGTTTCATAGTTACGACTACGATGATGGAGCCAAGTATAAGGATGACTTGTATCAATACTGTTCTTATTTTTTTTCTCTATACTAATCGGAATTAAAATCACAAAAGTATGTCGACACACGGACGCTTTCGCTTCGTAATTCGATGTTATTGTTTGCAATTAATGTTTCGTTGCAACACACTTTAGCTAATTCCTGTGTCGATTTCTTAGATATTTAGACTTTGCATGCTAATTTGGGTTAGTTCTTAAGGGAAGTGAAGTGTTGGATTGGTTAGCACATCTGTGGGCCAACAAACTGTATTTCACTAATTCAACTTAATGGTTCTAAGTTCGATTGGTAACTATATAGTCAGTTGTGATGTAGTACTGAAACAAAGGCTAACTAAATCTCTTTAGGTTACAGTTTTCCCTTTTTTCAAAATTAGGTTGATTAGGTTGCAATTGATATAAATTTGTAGGGTAAATTTATCACGAGAAATTTACAGAAATAGTCTCGAGCAAACTTGATGTAGGGCAACCCTTATATACTCTCATATGTTTATATTCTCTTCGCGAGGGATTCTCTGGCAATAAGAAACTATTAGATTGAGATGTATTGAAACGAAATTGGATTCACTTTTCTCTCAATTTGTTATGGTGTCTAAAAATTATTATTACTCAGACTCTGTTTTGCAATGGTCGATAAAGAAAGCCAATCGTTAGATTCTATGGATCTATATGCATGGTTTCGCTATAGATCTCTTATGCGCTTAAAGTGTATTTATTTGGTCGGTTTTTTAATGCCTCTTCCATTACATTTTCTTTATGTGTATTGTAGTCTATAATCGCAAAATAATACATTCATTCGTCAATGGCACAAACAACATAGTCATGGTTTTCTCTGTTCCCGAATAAAGGCATTTAAAGCGTCCGTTTCTCAGAAATTTGACGTTTCCAATATATTTTCCACAATTTCCTGTTATTTAAATAGTGACGTGCATGATTTGTTCTGATTGGTCCGGCAGTGACACCCCAAAATAACGCAGGCGCTAAAGAATGCGCTCAGCCAAGCAATTCTAACTTTAGAGAACATTCAGTCTTCGAACGGAATATTTTACTTCAAGATCTTTAAATCGCAGTACGATGTACAAATCGATCACATCCACTCAAAGAACAAAACGGATATAGTATTGAAAAATAACACGAACACCATCAGTCAATCAGTTTCTTAGAAATCGATTATGAACTTCCGTTTCCGCATGGTTGAATATCTCACAAGAAATAACTGCGGATAAGTCGATCCAACGCTTACATTTAATATATTTTTGGTTAATGATGCCAAGTAAGAAAAAATACTTACTGTGGCGACCTAAGTTTATAATACAGGTAAAAAAGAAAACATTTTCATCCTTGGATATGAGCAGTTTTAACGCAAACAAATCAGCCTCGTCTCGTTGGTCTTGTTGCAAAACATTTGATTGGTCAGAGAAAATGCCGCGTCATAAATTATGAAGAGCGACTACCTGCCCACCGTCACGTTGATGCCCATAACTCTGACTTGGTAAGAAAGGGACGAGCCGAATTTTTCGTACCGTTTCGGCTACGAATATCGCCGTTTACATCCTGCCCACAATCATGATCATGGATGAACAACTCCGGCAGATTGCACCGAGCGAAGACTTTGATCCAATGGCGGCTTTACTCGGGATGAATGTCACTGTAAGAAGGGAACTGTATCAAGAGCGTGCAAGAATCAACGAAATGGTTGTTATTCAGCACACTGAGGATATCGAGTCTCTCAAAAAGCAGATTGAAGAGAAGAACAAAGAAATCGATGAGCTACGTAAATCAATGGACGGTCTGGTGGAGCAGAATCAAGAGTTAAGCGTGGCGCTTAAGTCTAGGAACGAGGAGATTAAAGCCCTCAAGGCGAGAATCGGTCGACTCGAGACTGATAAAAAGGACTTGGAAGACGAGCTGAAGTCTGTTACAGTCAAAGTTAGCCGAATGGAAAAGGATATCAGAGAACTGAACGAAGCAAAGATCGCCCAAGAAGAGAAAAACATGGAATTACAAGAAAATTTTGACAAGGTCACGGGCAAGCTAGAGAGTAGAAACCAAGTATTGAAGAAAGAGATAAAGGAGATTCGAGAATCACAACACAAGGAGGCGCTGCCGCCATCAATAGTAACCCCAAGAGCAGGAGGACGTCAAATGCTTACTCCTCCATTACCAAGGCACCTTCAGAGAGCCGATTGGGAACTGCATGCCTCGCTTACTTTGGGAGAGCTGTGCCGACAGTTCCAGAACAAGTTGTATAAGATAATATTCCCAAATTCGTTTCTGTCAAACAGGAATTACAAGATGAAGAATATTTGGCGCGATTTGGATAGACTGCCTCAACTGGAAGAGGAAAAGCAGCGATCAAGGAAAAAGTGGGACGAAGTAAAGCAAAAGTTGAAATGGGATGAATGTTACGAAGATGCCATGAAAGCACTCCAGGAAAGCCGAAATTTGGATGCCCATCCAGCCCCCTTAACGGAGGAAGGTCTTGCAAGAGCCGCAGAAGTCATGGAGTCCAAAGGTAACCTGAAAGGTTGGCTGTCTTTGAAACGAGTGAATGAGTTGATAACTATGTGGAAAAACGTTCAGACAATGGAGTGAGTCATTTGCTTGTGCTTTATTGGTATCGCTGAAATAGTTTTAAAATCAAATTTAGCTGCTTTATTACCAAGGAAGGATAATAGAAACTTGTGACTTCATTCTAAGTTACTATCCATGCGATTGAACTACAGCTAAAGGGAACTATGTTTCACACGCTAAAATATGGAGACGAACATTTACAAAGTCACGATGTTTTATTTCTTTATTTTAAACTAGATTCTATTAAGGATAACTATTTTAACATTATATCAAATGTTTCACTTGGGAGTAAGAAAAACCGTTTCGATTCTCGATGTAAATCATCAACAGATTTGAAGTTTAAATTTAGCCTAATTGTGTGGTCGCAAACATCCTTTTTGCCTAAGGATTGAAATGTGAAAAAAGTTGAACCAAAATGCTCATAACCGAATAAAACTGTCGCCTTATCGAGGTTAAAATGCGAAACCAGTTTGCCTCGCGCGCTGACAGAATGGCTGATGGTAGTTATACCGTGGCTTGCATCAGAACCTCGGTCACAACTGATGCGCGGAGAAATAGGTGACGAATTTTGATACGAACACCGAAAATTCCACAAAATATCACTGCTTTTACTCAATGCTGAGCCTCGTCTGTAAAGTAGGCGATTCCTCTTCTTCTAATGTTAATACTTAGTACAGATTTAAATACTCATGCTAGACTTCTGTAAGCCGGTAGACAGACATAATTCTGTTCTAGGGGTATTTCAACTTTCACTTTCTTTCAAGTATTCTTCTATTTCAGGATTGAGAAAGAAAAAACAATGTCAGCTCAAAATCGCAAATTCCGCGAGACCAATTAATCCACTATACACAAGAATTCACTGAAGTAAAAACAAACCTGACCTGAAACCATATTCATTACTTTTATCCATCTTATTTCCCTCGGATCGCGCGCAAAGAAGTCACATCGATAAAGAAAACCATACATAGTTCATGACTATAAAAGTAATGAGTTTTTCTTCATTGGTTCTGTGTACATTCCAAAACGAAGCTTATTTATCTGTACAGCTTCGAAAATTATGCTTTTATCTAGTTAATTCCAAGAGTAAATGGATTTCCGAGAAATTGAACTCTTGTTGAATTGCATAACGCAACAGGTCACTGTTTTGTTCATTTCCGTCACAACGCAAAAATATCAGGAATTACTATGGCAAGATACTTGATTATTTTATCAAGCGCTTCACTGTCAGAGTTAAGAGGCATATTTTATTCAAAGGTGGAAAATATGGGAAACACTCATGAGAATTCGAGGTAAAAAATTAACCGCACGACCGCAATTATCCTTGTAGATGAAAAATATTTGCTATTCCTTTGAACAATTGAAATTTCTGATACTCAGAAGGATGGTCAACCGCTTTGAAATGTGAAATGGCCAGAAACTACTGTTATTTATTTTCAATTCTAACCAAAAAGAACAATTATTTGTATGACCTACGAAGTGTGTTGTGGAAGAATAGAAGGGTAACACATGATATTTCTCAGAAATTATAGAAAGGAAGTCATCCGGCCAATTCTCAGAAACATCAATTACTGGTCCACGCTTGCATCACGAGGTGACCTTGGTTGTGATTGATTCACACCCCAACACGTCATGGAAACACTATGCGTCATTAAATAAAAAGATAAACACATCAATCATATGTGCATAGCTCTGATGACCCAAGTAAGGGACGGCTCATTCTAAAACATAACATAAGATTGATCTGAGACCTTGGAGATTTGTTTCAATTGTATAACAGAGTATGAAAACCAAACCGCGCTTTAGTCGTTTCTTAAAAGTATCTTTAGTTGTTTCTGGATAATTTTGGGCTAAGATATCATTTCCATATGGTGAATTTTCCAAAAAAATTCACCCCAATTCACAGACCTTCCGCGATGCGACTGGCCAAGTGAGAGACGACTAGAGAGGGGTCAGGGAAGTCATGTCCGAGGCCGGAAAAGTGATACATTTTTTACGATATTTTTTATTGTGTTGCAGTTCTCGATTAATACATAGGTCTAGCAAGATCGTGAACAGTTAAATTATGAAATACTTGCAAAGACAAAAGAGGATTGTTTGCTATTGTTCGTAGGAGCTTTCAAGTACCAAGGTCATGGATCCCATTGTTTGAAATTAATCTTTCAATGCAACGTTTCGATAGACAGTATTTCCTCGAATAAGCGCTCACGCTCTTAAAGGGCATCCTCCCTCGAATATCAAATAAGCGCCCCTTCCCCTCTAACTTGCTTAAAACAGCAGGGATACAAGAAAAATCTGTTTCTATTTCCACTTTATTTATAAATTTTCAAGCTTCAACTACAGCGGCATCAGTATAGATGAATGATATGTGCCTTCTTTCCAATAACCTGTATTCCTGTGGTTTAACTAAGTGGTACGGAGTTCGTTTGAAAACTGTGTAGCAAATCAAGGTTGTGTTCAGGCGAGAAGCCTGGTGTAAAAATGGCATACACACCTGGAAATGTAGCTTGATTCTCTGCATGATTTTTTTGGCCACAGTCGACTGATGCATGTGGTTGCGTCAGAATGACAGCATTTATTCTCTGTAACTCGCTCTAATATCTGAAAATCTAGTGCTACTGAAATTTTGTTTTGACTCGCTTGATTACGAATGCTCGATATCAAATTCTAGGAATCTCAATGGTTTCGCAACGGATCTCATGTGCATTGCATGGGTATGAATTTATTGCATGTGTTTGGGTGTCTTTTCTAACACAGTTCCTTTAAGCTTGTTCTTATATTCATTTTTGCCTATTACGACAAAACGAAGGTTTCATTTGTATTTTTGCAGCATAACAATGGAGTTATGTTTTTCTCTACTTCCAAGATATTGGATGTTGGTGTACCCATTTGAAAATATCATCTGTTAGGTAAACACCAACTACCAGAAACGGTTGTGATTTGTCCGGCAATGGTATCCGATAATGATCCCGCACAAAGCAAAAGAGCTCAGTCAAGCAAATTCTACTTTTAGAAACCTGTCTGATGAATGACACTCTCCCATTTCTAGAATTCCTTTTTTCTTTCTTTTCCCTTTTTTCTTCCAATTACTTTTTCTCTGCAGAAGCGGAAAAAAGGGGAAAAATGACAGTATCTTTCATCTTGTAATGGTACTCATGGTTATGCACGCCGTTCACCGAAAATATATTCATGCATTTGTTTCAGCTTGCATCGCATAATTTTTTTGCCAAAGCAGACTGATGCATGTGGTAGCGTCAGAATGACAAAATTTATTTCTCCGTAATTCGCTTTAAAATCTAAAAACTGGTGCTACTCAAACTTTGTATTGACTCGCTTGATTATGAATGCTTGCTATCAAATTCTAAGGAAATTTAATAGTTTCGCGACAAATCTCATGCACATTGCATGGGTATGAATTTATTGCATGTGTTTGGGTGTCTTTTCTAACACAGTTCCTATATTTATTTTTGCCTATTACCACGAAACGAAAGTTTCATTTAGATTTTTACAGCATAACAACGAATCTATGTTTTTCTCTACTTCCAAGATATTGGGTGTTGGTTTACCCATTTCCTACAAATTTGGATGACACGAAAAGATTTGAAAATATCACCTGTTAGGTAAAATACTAAACACCAGGAACGGTTGTGGTTTGTCCGGCAATGGTATCCCATGATGATGATGCATAAAGCAAAGAGCTTAGTCAAGCAAATTCTATTTTTAAAAACCTGCCTAATCATTGACAAATTGACGAAAAATTTAAACTGAAATACAATTTTTATGACACCCCATATATGTCGCAAATAAATGGCAGACTGTGACTAAGAAAAGCTTGTTTTCCTATATGTAATTGGCGATGATGTTCGACATTATGGGATTGCGTATAAAATGGTGTTCAACCAACTCAACTACACTTAAACCTTTGCAAAATCGCGAAAGATCTGCATTTACACGGTAATTTTCCAAGAATAACAGATTCTCTTTTCCATATTTCCTTTTTTCTTTAAAAGGTTAACCAAGACAAGTCACGTTACGTCAGCCATGAATTCTCCAGAGTAATGATTCTATAACGGTTTAAGATGGCCCGCCGCTATTTTCTTTTCCAGAAAATATTGTTTGACCCTGAAATCTGTTAGTATCTTATTTTATTCGCACCGAGATATGATACTTTATGAAATCTTCAAATGTGTTATTCCGAATGCCAAATATTAAAGAAAGCGGTTTACGTTTAAATTCCGCAAATTCGACCTCTCCCGGCTGCCACGGATATCCATATATACCTTTGTTCAAAGTTTATCATAACTAGAAACGTGTGGTCCGTTGCCATGTTGGTGTTCCGAGCAAATCCTGTGGGATTCGAACGCTTATGAAACAATTTCTTCTCTCATGATAAAACGCAGATTGCAGACCATGCAGACTGTGCAGTCCGCGCAGACCGTGCTTACTATGCAACTTTTTTGTTTGCCTTTTTTAAAATTGTGATTTACATAGGATTATGGTGTCTACACCTTTTCCTTACTCTTTTGATAACATAGGAACTGTTTGCAAGTTTTGGACACCACATGACGGAATTTCACGAGGTTATTTCGAGCTCTCGCTACCTAGCAAACAAAATCACAGGTTCAAGTTTCTCGAGCTCATGGAGATAAGCCCTGCTATTATGACCTCCATTTCTTGTCAAAAGGCAACTTAGTTCCTAAATGATTAAAAATCATCTGAAATAATATCAAAGTATAGAAAGCCTTGGCATTTTAAATAACTGTAGTTTATCAGTATGAGTTAACGTTTTGTTCGAATGATCAGCTCTATATCAATGCTTTCCCATGGTTACATTTTATTGTACTAAAGTTAAGAAGTTCCAAATTATCTGACATGCCTTAGAAAATTAATTACCTAGATACATACACACGCCTCAACGCTACTTCACTTAAAAACATCTTCGAAGCTTATTCTCTACATATTTGAGGTTCTTTTGAAATTTCATTATAAAGGCGTAATTGCTTAAACGCTTATTAAGACCAGGCTGTTAAGAAACGAAATTCTAGGAAATTGGTAAGATCATCACCAGAATATCTGTTTCTCAGAATTGGCCATGAACTTCCGTTTGCCGTTTGGCGCAATCATAAATCTTACAAAGAATATCTGATAAAGTATTTGAAGTAGCGCGTAAGTATAAATTTATTTTTGGTCAGTAGAGACATAGGTAGTAAATTGGAGGTTCTAAGAAACTAAAGCCTATAAACAAGTCAAAGAGGAGAAAATTTGCATTGTTTATGTCAACTAATCAGCCACATGTTCTTGCTGCAAGACATTTGATTGGTTAAAGAAAACGCCGAGTCGCATTGCGAGTGGGTGCCAGCTTACCGTTACGCTGACGCACACAAGTTTCACCTGACCAAAAGTGAAACGGAATTTTCGCAGAACCTTTCGCCAAGGTACACAACCAAAACATTACGTCTTACCCGCAGCCATGATTATGGACGACCAACTTCGACAACTTGCGGGTGAAGATTTTGATCCAAGATCGATCGGATTTCCCATAGGAATTACTTTTACGAGAGAAGTACATCATCAAGAGGGAGCAAGAATAAGCGAGGCCGTAATTAGTCATGGCGAAGACATCGAATCTCTCAAAAAGCAAATCGATGAAAAGGACAAAAAAATCGAAGAACTAAACGAAGCCGTGGAAAATTTGCAGGAGCAGAACCAAGAGTTAACTGTGGCGCTCAAGACCAGAAACGAAGAGATCCAAGCCCTTAAAGCGAGAATTAAGAGACTCGAGAGCGACAAGAAAGGATTAGAGGACGAGCTGAAGTCTCTCACAGTCAAAGTCGGTCGAATGGAGAAGGATATCGAGGAACTGAACGAAGCAAAAATGGCCCAGCAAGAGAAAAACATGGAATTACAAGAAAATTTCGACAAGGTCACGGGCAGGATGGAGAGTAGAAACCAATTAATGAAGAAAGAGATAAAGGAGATTCGAGAATCACAACACAAGGAGTCGCTGCCGCCATCAGTTGCAACCCAAAGGGCAGGAGGACGTCAAATGCTTACTTCTCCATTACCAAGGCACCTTCAGAGAGCCGATTGGGAACTGCATGCCTCGCTTACTTTGGGGGAGCTGTGTCGACAATTCCAGAACAAGTTGTATAAGATAATATTCCCGAATTCGTTCCAGTCAAACAGAAACTACAAGATGAAGAATATTAGGCGCGATTTGGAAAAACTGCCTCAGTTGGAGGAGGAAAAGCAGCGATCAAAGAAAAAGTGGGACGAGGTGCAAGAAAAGTTGAAATGGGATGAATGCTACGAAGATGCCATGAAAGCACTCCAGGAAAGCCGAAATGTGGATGCCCATCCAACCCCTTTATCGGAGGAAGGCCTTACAGCAGCCGCAAAACTCATGGATTCCAAAGGTAACCTGAAAGGTTGGCTGTCTTTGAAACGAGTGAATGAGTTGATAACTATGTGGAAAAACGTTCAGACAATGGAGTGAGTCATGTGTTTGTGCTTTATTGGTATCGCTGAAATAGTTTTAAATTCAAATTTAGCGGCTACTTTATTACAAAGAAAGGATAATAGAAACATGTGTCTTTAATCCTAGTTAATGTCCATAGGATTGAGCTTCACCTAAAAGGAACTGTGCTTCACAAGCTGATATACAGAGACTAAGATTTACAACGTCATGACGTAAATGTAAGGTCGCAAACAATATGTTTGTTTGAGGATTATATCAAAAAAATTTGAATCGAAATGCTCATAAGAGAATAAAACAGTTGCTTTATTAGGGTTAAAATGCGAAACCAGTTTGCCTCGCTCGTTGACAGAATGGCTATTGCAGTTATACCGTGGCTTGCATCAGAGCTTAGGTCACATGTTCGCCGTATGATGCGCGGAGAAAAGGTGAAGAATTATGTAAAATTTCACTGTATTTACCTAATGCTGAGCCTCGTCTGTAAAGCAGCCATTCTACTTCTTCTGTTGATAATATTAAATACAGATTCAAACACTCATGGTAGACTTCCGTTTGCCGGCAGACAGACATAACTCTGTTCTAGGGGTATTTCAACTTTTACTTTCTTTCAAGTATTCTACTATTTCAGGATTGAGAAAGGAAAAGCCATGTCAGCTCAAAATCACAATTTCCGTGAGATCAATTAATCCGCTATACACGGGAATTCACCGAAGTAAACGACAAAACTGACCTGAAACCACATTCATAGCTTTCATCCATCGTCGTTCTCTCGGATCGCGCACAAAGAACTCACATCGGTAAAGAAAAACATACATATGCAAATTATAAAATTAATGACATCTTTTCCTCACTGTTTCTGTGTACATTCCAAAACGAAACTTACTTGTGTGTTCAGCTTTGAAAATTATGCTTTTGCCTGGGTTTATTTGAAGAGTAAGTGGATTTCCGAGAAATTGAACTCTTGTTGAATTGCATTACGCAGCAGGTCACTTTCTTGTTTTGTTTTTGCTTTATTCGTCATACTGCAAAAATATCAAGCAGTACCGTTGCAAGATACTTGATTATGGTATCAAGCGCTTCACTGTCAGAGTAAACGGGCAAAATAATATGTGAGAATTCGAGGAAAAATTAACCGTGCGGCAGCAATTATCTACACACGTAAGTAAATTGACTAAGGTACGTATGAAAATTCGACTGCTGATCAGTATAGATGAAAAACATCTGCTATCCTTTTGAAAAACTGCATGGTTCGATATAGCATGACAGGATTACGACAGAAGAGATTGGCACCTTGCATGATCCTGTTTACTATTCGGATCATGGCATTACCTAATTCTGCCCATAAACATTGTACAAAGTAAAAAGGAAATTAAATATAGGGCGCTTTGTGAATATATCAGGGGTGTGGAATCGAAATCTAATGATAAAAGGTTTGTCATTCCTCTATTATTTGCTGTAAGCCTGGTATCTTCGTATAGAAAATACGTCTGTAATGTACACTTTTGCCATTCCTCTATTTCAAATTGTGGCTAGGTACGTCTCTACATCGAAATATACACCAAAGCTATGAATGAATATTCTCATAAAGCCGGAAAATAATTTGCATAAGCTTTCTTTATCCAGTTTTGCCTGGCTGGGCCTAACTCAAGTAAACGACTCATCAAATTGTAAGTACAAGAGGTCAAAGCAGTGGATTCGTTTAAGTGTTTTCTTTGGTTTTTTTTCCTACAACCACGCAAAGCACTGTCTCATCTTGGCCACATTCAGTGCGATATCACAGATACATGATTCCCCCCGTGCTTTCCTTGTTAGATACAATCCATAGCTACACATTTCTTCAAGTTGGAATTTGAGACTTCAGTCAGACCCTTAGGTCAAAATACTGAGCCAGTTTCAACATTTAATCGTTAAATTACTTCGTTTTAAACGCTGCAGAAAAAAATATTGTATATACACATCCGTGTATATACAATACACCAACATGTTTACTTTCCCGTTTCTGATCATTAGGGATGTACACTAAGCTCTCCACGAAATCGACTTCAATCATAATTGTACAATGATCAACTTTTTTTAAGTCTGACTGACCTCGTGGTGACACGATGCTTGAATAAGATATGGAAATACTTCTTGTAACGCATTATGGAATAAAAAACAATAAGCATAACACACAACCGGGCAAATATATGAGGAATTCTTCTTTAATTTTCATTTCTATTCGCTTAAGAATCGACTGGTTTTTGCTTTGAGTCATTTGATGTCTTTGCAAAGCCTTAATAATTCGAGAAAAACACGACGTTTCCCTAAGTTCAGAATATGATCCCCATGGCAGTGCTAAATTAAACACTACACCATCATTATGTTCGCTTTTTCTGAGAAATACGCCTTAAACATAAACGCACGGTCATTTGGTGGTTTTCCCGGAAAGCTGTTGAAGTAATCATGCGCGACTTTAGCTTCTCGTCTAGGATTGTGGGAAACTTTGTTGTGTCACTTGTCCCCATCCCCAATTTCCTTACATAGCTTTTTAAAAAAGCAGCCCGTTACAATAAGTTAACACTTGGTGTGGGTTGACAAATATAATTACAAAATGAAACAGAAAAAATGCTAAATGAAAAAAAAACGTCTCCATGTTTACTTAGAAAAACCAGCGCGGGTGGATATAGAAATGTGTTTCCATTGGAAACAAATAATTTCTCTCTCCTTTGATCGAGAGATACATCTGGGAAAAACTTCTCGAGTACAAGGTTGAGTTGGAAGGGTCCTCTTCGACATCAACAACCGAACTAATTTTTTCCAAATTCCTAATCATTGGCCGACTTACAAGGAATTGTATTGTGAAAATACCCGCTGGGAGATCAACTGATGCAACAAAGTTTCATTTTCGTTTAATGCTATCAACCTGTATTTTGAGCTCGAAAAACGCCTCCTTGTTACTTCCGTGTTAATACTAGATCTTAAACCAAATAGTTGAGGAAAAAACCCAACGAAATTAGATCATTTTTCCAAACAGCCTACAATTATCATAGAACTTCCCTTTGACATCATAATCACTAATTATGTAAGGAACATGACTTCGATAACATTCATGTTCGTGTTTCTTTCCTTAGCTTACTGCTTCTCTGAGCGAATCTCAACTAGATGGCTACAAGGTTAAGGCTTTTCTCTGTGTCGCGTTATGGCCGCGTTTTAAGGCTTTACACTCACGTATTTCACCACAGATCAAGAAAACAAATAGATATTTTCCTAGAAATTCCCACACCGCGCCATACTTATTTGGTGGGCAACGTTTCCTAGAAATTACCTTCAGCGACAGGCGTATTTATAATTCATGTAAATCCAACGAGTTGTCATAAGATATGTTGTTCCCCTTACTGTACTCCACCAACCTTTTCTACCAATGACTAGTGATTTTAGGTTGGTAGGACCGACGGCAAGGAAATATTCATCAAATGTTATACGTAGAGTCAAACAACAGTAAATCCTGTAGCTAGTGTGACAATCGCACATGAAGGTAAGTGGTTTACTGTCGCTGCCAAGCCTTTCCTACCAAGGTTATGTGAAATATTATAGTACTAGCAATGAAAATGGAACATAGATTTAAATATTAACGGATAAAAATGCTCAAAACCGTAAAGTTTTGAGAGAAGGGAAAAGAAGGTTTATTACATAAGCAAGACAATAACTGCGGAGGAATACAGGAAAATAAAGGAATGTACTAAAGAAAATCAAGTAAAACAAAAATAAATTAAAAAATAAAGGCTCCAACTCTCAACATAAGACACGTCCGACTTTAGTGCTTGGTACTGAGGTCTCTCCCGATAAACTGTCTCAAATCATGTTCAACAGCAGCCAAGGTGCAAAGCTACAATAAGGAAAATTGTAGCATCACCTACAAACCTACATGTATGGGTTTTTGTGCAAACATTTTGAATTGTGAGGTTGATGCCCTAAAGTCCCTATTTGAAGAAGTTCCCAAATTTCGGCACCTGAGCTGGAAGATCATTCAAAGGAATTTCGCTCTGATCTGATCTGACTGATCTGTCTAACTACACATTATTTAATATAAATCCAATTTTGGGAAACAACAGAGAAACCTTAAGATCCATGGGTAATACAACAACTACAATTTACTGATTTGGCAGTTTTTACAGCGTCTAACATATGGATTTGCTGAGTCAGCACTGTTATCGCGACGAGGCACCTAAGCTAATAACCCTTCAACCCTTATAAAAATTACACTCGTTTGGGCAATTTAGCAGAATAAAAATTTTCCTTTGACCGGAGAATTTTGTTAACTACAACATTACAAAAGTCAAATAAAATCAAAACACGGACTGTAGAATGATGATAACTCGTCTTGCCTGAGCTGTTTCCTGCCTATGTTTATTTCACGACATTTCAAGATATGATATCGTGTACCTAGAACAAAATCAGCGAATATTTACTGAGTCGCTGTGAAGTGTGTACTTTATGTTTGACTTCAACGTGAGGCGTTTTGCGGAATTTTGATTCTGTTGGAAAGTATGATATTTGTTAACTTTACTAGGCTCTTAGTGGAGAAGAGGAAAAGCGTGCGCACAAAATGTGGGAAAAGAAACAACAATGTCATTTTTACCAATTTTAGATATACAGAAAATGCCAAAAAACGGCCGATGTCTTTGAGATAATGCGCAACTTAGTCTTTGGTCGTGCGGAGTCGTGGAGTTCTTGTTCCAGTCCCTCACTCTTCTTTCCCATTTTTTCACTCATCCCTTAGGGGAAAATTACAAGAAGAGCGCTTTAAGTGACCCCAATACTATCCCTTTCATGGTGCGGGTTTGAAGTTATAGGCCGTCAGACCAGGGTTTGATATAATCAAAGACCACATTACCAAAAAATAAAATAACAACAGCAACAAACAAACAAACACGCAAAGAGAACATAAAAAAGCCGAAAGATGCGGACGAAAGAAGTCTATCCTGTGAGTCCCACAAAGGGGCATTTGCGCTTTCAAGACATTTTTTTTTTCAAATACGACTTCTATCATAGGCTTAGAAAGTTATTAAAACGTTTATAATTATAATTCGGAAGTATTTGTTTAGAGAAAAAACTTTGGGACAACTAAGAAATCACACTTTCAAAATATTGTGTTTCAGAGCACAAAGCTTGGGATCAATAAAGGATATCTAACCTTACAAAATATCATATTTCAGAGCAGAAAAAACAAATGCAAACGTCGAGAAAAATGGAGAGCAAAAGAGCCGGCTGAGGTTGCGGTTGCGGTTGCGGTTGCGGTTGCGGTTGCGGTTGCGGTTGAGAACGGAGTGCACGATAAGTCCGAGATTTCCTAAAACGAAAGAACTACACATCATTAAACCTACTTTCATAAAAATATGTACACAAACCAACGGCCTACGGATGGTCTTCTTAGAAAGATGTCTTGGTTGTGAGCAATTAGACTCTCCGCGTGTCGTGTTGTGAGGTGCTAGCTCCGAGTTCCCAAATCTTCTCTCGCATTTCTTGACATATACAGAATTTGATTAGTAAAGGAGCCATTTCATGACACTGCTAGATTTCAAAGTCTTTTACCGAATTTTTAATCAACCTTTTCCGCTTCGAGAAAAAAAAGCAAACACACACGCAGACTACGCATACCTCTAACTTAACCAATAATTGCCTTTTGACAAAGAGCCTTAAAATGCTTTTTTACCAGGTGTTCGCTTTGAGTTCTGTCAAGAAGCACACACTCAGAAAAATGAAGCCTTAAATATATCAGCTAATTTTTGAATCTTAAAAAAATATTTTCAGACACATGATCATCCTTTCGAAACCAGAAGAAATACGTCTTAGAGCAGAAATCTGGGCTACATCTATAAACCTCCATACTTTCGTAGCATTATGTTTCAGGGCAGCAAACTGAGCCACCGTGGGGAAAATCTATATTTTTAAAATATCACGTTTCAGGGCAGAAACCCGGGGTAAAATTTACAACACCTACTTTATAACCCTGTGTCAGTGGCAACCATAAAATAAACATGCGCACAAATTGATATTAGAGAAGAACACGTCATAGCGATCAAACAAGGTACAACCAGCCAACTGTGTGCTCCACTGATACACCATTGCCGAAGGTACAGTCAGAGCTGTGTCGAGTAAACGACATTAAAGTTGGCAACAAGATGAGCGAAAATCGACGAAGACGGGAGGAGGCTACCGACATAGTGACAAAACCAACTCTGTTCGGTATCATAGGAGCCCTGAACCGCGACCCAGAGACAGTAGAGAACCACACTAGGCAAATCGAGTCTTTAAAGAAGGAAATCGAAGGGAAAGACAAGACTCTGTCAAGGTTAAACAAGGATTTGAAAGATTTACGGGCTCAAAACGATGACTTACAGATTACCTTGGAGTCTAAGAACCAAGAAATCGAAGCGCTGAAGGACAAAGTTGATAAACTAGAAACCGAGAGGAAAATATTGGAAAAGAAACTACAATATGTCGAACTCAAATTTAAGGATTTGAAAAACCAAACCGACGAAAAGAACAAAGAAATCAGGGATTTTAAGATCTTACTGGAGTCGAAGGATAAAGAAATAACAGCCATGAAAAGGGAAGTTGAGGATTTGAGAGACCAAAACGACGAGAGAGCCAAAGAAATCAAGGATTTGACGATTTCATTGGCATCGAAGGATAAAGAAATAATTGCCCTGAAAGATAGGATCAGAGAGCTTGAAAATGCGCTGAAAAGTTTGGAGCTCTTTACTGAAGCCTTGAAGAATGAATGGGAGGATGCGAGGGAAGCACGCAAGAAAAGCGAGAAAGACAAAAAAGAAATGAAACTAACCATAGAGAAACTGTCGAAGAATATTCAGAGAATGACGAAGGAACGCGACCAAAAAGAAGAAGACGACCTCAAATGGAAAAAGGAATTCCAAGAAAGTATGCAACTAGTGCAGTCTTATGGAAGAGGTAGCCAGTCTTTGCCTGATCCAGTTGAGAATGCTTTCATTCTTCTTGGTCAAATGTGCTCGCGAGTGCAAGCGATGATGTACCAGAAAGTACTTCCAGACCGTTATAATGAAGAATACTTGTATAAATTGAAATTCATCGAAGAAGACATTGCGAGAGAACAGGGAGACCTTAAACGTCAGGCGATTGAGAGATGGGATGAATTGAAAAGGAAACTAAGCTGGGATGACATCAATCATCCCAGAACACTGAAAGAAATCCAGAGGAAAAGAAACGATGTGGCTCATCCCAATCTGCTTACAAAGGAATTGCTTCTCAATTCAGCTGAAATGATGCAAGAGGCAGGAAAACTGTCCGGCAGAATGTCTTTGACTCATGTCCGTCAAATAATAAAAATATGGGACCTTCTAGATCAGATGGAGTAGTGGAAACTTCAAGCATGTGTTCAACACATACACGTATGTACAATTAGAGTAACTGACTGTTTTAATGTTTGGTCCAGCCTAAGCGTTGGACTGGCCTAAATATCTTGTTGGCAACAACTGCCGGTAGAGTGACCGAGTTTCAGTGTTAACACGGCGTTTGAATCTCATTGGTAAAATTAGTTTGAACGGTAGTGTTTAAAATGGTTTCAAAATACATTTACTACACATTATAGTTATAAAATATAACATGAAACAGTTCAATGCTGTTAGTCAAAGTTCTATAGCAATTGGTGCAAGGTGAGCATCGCGCAAAATGTGAGCAATTTACAGACGATCTGCACCAAAATCAATCGCCGAGAATTAACAGGGCATGTGGTGGCCAAACCGAAATCAAAACGAAACACGCTCGAAATTTCACCGAAAGCTCAAAGTTGAATGGTTAATGATGCTGTAGAATTGAACTGTCACAAACATATTTTATTCTCTTTTGTTACAAATTTGGATCTTGTCGCTTAGTAGCCATCTACTGCGAACGTTATTCAACGCACTTTCATTTTACAACTGTTGAAGTCACGGTCTCTCCTCTATTTTCTTCAGGCCGTTACTAACATATTGCAAACTTTGTCTAGCTTTAGCTCGATTCAAAGGAGGAGATATAACGTCATATTTTCAGTTAGTTCACCAGAATTTAGAGGAATAATTTTTGGTCAAAACGAAGGAGTTGTATGCAGTATAGTGTCTCCTTCAGGCCGCTATCTCGGTCTTCCTTCTTTCGCTTTATACATATGGTCTACTTATTGGCGCTTAGAAGTTGATTTTAGGTAGATACACTCGCTTAAAGACTCACTACGTTCCTATGAATGATGGCGTGTAAAATATATTTTCGTAAAAAGCTCGAAAACAGGTTAATTCAAAGCAGCAAAATTCTGAGAAACTATCAAGAATATTTAGAGATTTTTCCGAGAATTAGGCCGAGTGGTACGTCGCCTTTTTAGGAGAATAATATCTTGAATGTATGAATGAAATTTGCATAATTATTGCACTGAATTTATTGAGAGAACATACAAGGACTTTGATCGACGGTTTCGGCTAGCAAGTTAGTTCTTTATCATTTCACTGAGAAACATTTTGTGAATACTGTTTTCCAAATCATGAATATCTTGTCCTGGGGTAATTTGAATAGAGTCCAGAGGTGTACCATATAGGTGTACCATATATGGTAATGGCGATCACGAGGATGCATTGACACGATTGGTTGGGACACACATGCTAGCTCCACGTTGCCATGACAATCAAAAACCCTTGGACTCTCTCATTTGATTCGGACACCTCGATTATTGAACCATCAATCAGATGTCACTCATCTCCATCACGCACGTAAAATGCGCTGTGGTCACTTTCCCTTTCAAACAATTTATCACTCGAGCTATTTCCGTAATTAATATCCTACTTTTCGTTTTATATTAAAATGTGACAAAATAAGCTATCAGGACTTACTCCAGCTCTTAACTGCGCTAAAACTTTGGTGAAATATAGTGTGTTAATTGATCAATTGCGTGATCAACCGACGTTAATATAAATAAATTACATTTTTACATCACGAGAGAGAATTTCCTTGAAAGACATGAATAATTAACTCCTTTCAGGATGTTGAAGAAGCATCCGGTAGTTCAGATTGTAATTAAATAAATTCACATTCAAATATAGCTCTGATATTAAAATAATAAGTTTTAAGATGCGTGTAAATTCAACTGCATTCGCAGTTATTGTTGACGGCATAGAGCTAAGGTCCAAAAGGAACTGTATGTTACAAGCTTTAACACGTATGGACATCCGAAAATTATCATATTGCATGTTTCCTTCCCGCAACTTTCACGCGAACGTCGACTTGTCTGTGTTGCAAAGCTATTGATCTTAAATTGAAAACTTATGGCAATGAGAATGACAAAATAAATTTTAATGATTTAGCTTGATGAAAACAAAAGTAATTGCCGAAGAGATTTCAGCTGCAATATATGGCCCAAACCGCTTGCCGATAATGTGGTAAACTGAAACTGCCACATACCCTGGCGTAAGCCCAGGCCCACACAATGTAACTATTGGGCAGCAAATCGTTCGGACATGCCTCGTCCATGTACTTTCCCTTAAAAAAGAGTCACCGTTACGGAATATTGATCCGTTTTTGGGAGTAACTCGTTTTGGATAGTGAAATGGCACAAGCTTGTCCAAAATGAGCAAAATATGATCTTCAGTGGTCCTCCCTGTTCTTGATCATTCAATGAAGTATACCAAAAAGGTTACTAAGAATGACAGGAAAGAAACGAGAGAAAATCAGAGAGCAAGTGTGGAAAATGTGTAAGAACTTCCCTAGTCGTCAACTTACATACACTCGACATGCGACTAGACACAGCGGAAAGTGTCTCTGTTGAGCAGTAATTTGACACCTTTGTTTCATGAGTGAATGCATACGCTTCACGTCCTATTCCCCAAATTCCCCGTTGACCGATAAGATCAATACAATGATCCATTGGAAGAAAAACGTACATACTACTGCCACTAACATAATTCGGCCATAAAACGCACTGATGATCCATTGGAAGAAAAATGTACATACTACTGCCACTAAAATAATTCGGCGATAAAACGCACTGATGAGCCATTAGACGAGAAACGTACATGCTACTGCCACTAAAATAATTCGGCGATAAAACGCAATGGACCATCAAACTGCCAAAAAGCTATAACTTGTTACCGCTTTTAAGCATTTAAAATTCACGACCGAAATATAGTCAACGCAGATATAATACATTGCTTGAAGAAAAGCGGAAGTCAAACATGACAATAAAATAAAAACCAAATGACAACAACGATGAAGGAAGAGGAAATGATTAAATTGACTACAAACGTCTTACACAATATTTCTTTATACTCAATAGGGAAGGGCTTTCTGGTGACAAAAAAGTATCTGTAGACTTGTCCTCCATGACCTATACTTTTGAGTTTACAAAGTAAGATCATTCAGCATTTCAACCAAGCAGCGATTTCTCTGCTGAAACATCACGTAAAACAAGAAAATGGAAAGAAAATCATGGAACTCAACAGTTCATTGTTGTACTTTAGTACAGTATTACCACCACCGAAAGTGTGCGTAAGCTCTGTTGTCTTCAGCTCTTTTGTGTAGTTCGTGCTTCCTATTAATGACAGTACCCTGAATACAACAAAAAAATAAACAAATAAATGAGCAAAAATAATACACAAAAATTAATAACATATCAAACTCTCAATTGCATGTATTTGCTAAATGTGTTTTTGCCTGCTATGTAAAAGAACGGTACCGGCGATGAAGATAATAATAATAATAATAACAACAATAATAACAGCAATAATAATAATAATAATTTAGTAATAATAATGACAGAGACTGAGCTGCACTGGAATATAAAATTTGAATAAAAATATTCCCGTTTCCTTAAAACCATCAACTTCCTCGTTCTTGATAATCATTAGGTTTGGGAATTTGGTGTCAAATCTAATAATAGCTCCTGATTAATCTGCAATTTCAACAAAATTTTGCTTTCAAGACGATGCAGTAAAGATAAATTAACCTGTTACTCGTTGGAGTATATCTATCCACGCAAATACACACTGTAAGAAGTACTATGCATTCAAAATTTCTAAACACAGAATATACACTCAATAAACGCGTTGAAAGGCTTCCCTTATTGGGTACCTAAAGTCCCTTTCCACATCTGTTCTTAATTATCACCGACAATGGTAACATCTTAAGTATGATTTTTGAGAATCTTCACAAAGATGATGTTTAGGTGATTAGCGTTAGTAACACCCCATCAAATATAGATTACAGCCACTTTAACCGCAACTAACTAGCCCTAGTCTTTACTTCAGTGAAGTTATTTTAAACCCTGATATCTGTACGTGACTATCCGACCGAAAGACAAACAAAAATACACCCTTACAAACTGCAGCACACTTCCATAAAAACGACTTCCCACCTCCTTATTGTAAGCATCCATCAGCTCCTTGGCAAGTTTCTTGTACATTCGGGCATTGCCTTTTTGCTGTTCCCGAGCAGCTTTGATGAGCCATTTAATGGCCAAAAATCGACGGCGCCGTTGGTTGATTGCGCTTGGCACCTGAAAATTACAGACATGTGAGTAAAACTCTTGTCAAAGTATGTATGAAATACAAAAGGATAGATGCTGATGATAAGAAACCCTACAAGAATAAGTAGTGCTAAATTAAGAGAACAGAGTAAAGAATACATGCTGTTCTGCATAATGACTATGCCAAACTAAACTGCTGTATTGTATAATTAGTATGCCAGACTCTATTAGGAGGGTCAGGGTTAAGAGTTTATTGTCAGATGTTTCTGGAGAAGGACTTTGAAACCAACACATGGTTGAGAAACGAAAAGTACTGAAAAATCCTCAATAGCGAAAAAATTCAAGGTTTTGTGACACAAACTCTAAGAACAGGAGTAACAACATCCTCTAGCGCACACAATTGCCAGTTATCTTTCCACTCTGGTCCTTTTATAATTTTGTGAGCATTGGTTGGCTTTTGAACTTTACTTGAAGGAATTGTATCAGAAGACTTTGAATTTACATTCATCAAAATATTGACCGAGTGTATACCAACATGTAAGATGTACATGTATACATGAAACTAGATGATTTGTCACCATTACATATACATTGATTAAAACCCAATGTTACAGTTTCATGTTGTCATGGCAGTAAATAATTGGTGCTTACTGGAAAATGAACTTCTGTCTGCTTCAAAAAACTTGAGTTGTTATCTATGGCCCCTACCTGGTACACAGTACCTGCCCTCTTCATGCCTACCACTCCTATGACTGGCTTGCAATTCTCAATTGCAGTAGCAAAAATTTGTAAAGGATCCGTCTCTACTGAGTCAGGTTGGGATGATTGTCTTTGCCTAGTTTAAAAAAAATGCAAATAAGCAACTTGCTGCCTTTATTCCATTCAAGCATCTGGTCAAGATGAGATCGTGCACACACTATTACACACACTTTTCTCCTCCAAGCCACAGGAAATGTATCTGAGAAAATGTAGTGGAATAGTGAATTTGACCAAAAACTGATGTGGTAACCAGAAATCATACGACTGAATTGATACCCTGCAAATGTGAGAAAAACAAGTCATTGTAGGTTACCACATTTCAGTTACAATATGCGAGTCACTTTTTCATCTTAAGCAAGGTATTGAGTATGAGCTATTGTAAAAACTATGACTACTTTGGTTGGTTTCTGACAAGTAATTTTGCAAACTGACCAGTTAGTAAAGTTCAGGACTCCTCAAAGTGACTAGTGTTGATGTTTGCAGTCCACTGTTCTAAACAAGGTAACGTTTACTGGTTTTTTCCTTGAAACAAAAAAGGACTTTCCAAATATATTCTGATGATCACAGTTTTTTGAGTTTAATAACATCAAACAATTGTATGTAAGTGTTCTCTTTTCAGGGAGATAGCATAAAACACATCAGTTGGATGTCTACAGGTACTTAATGGATCAGAAAAAAAGTGAATTTTTAATAACATATCGACTGATGCAATGTAAGGAAGTATTGCAAAAAATATCATGATGAAGTAACTGTTGAAATGTTACTCCTGCAAAAATAAGTAGAAAAGAAACTCACTTCTTCAATTGTTCCTTCTTAATCTCTTCCATTGCCTGAAATAAAATAAAAGTAGAATGGTTATAAAAATATCCAGCATACATGCAGACTTGGAAATTGCCTGTACAACCATAACTTGAATAAAAAGGAACACTTAATAGGTGTGGCTGTATGGTTGTAACAGAATGTTGGTTTGTGTGTATGGCACAAATTTAACTCTAACACACAAGCTACTGATTCTTTAAAACAATCAACTCCTCTAAACCTGCTGTGATCTATTTTAGCAACCATCATTAAGCCTTCAGAAAATAAATGATCATACAAATAAGTTTGAAAACTTCCAATTGGCTAATGTTGCATTTATCAGTTCATTCCAGTTTCTCTTTTGGAGTTCCAATATAGTTTTAGCTTAGATCCCTGACAAAAAGTGTAGTCTTCTGAACCATTCATAACATATTCTGGCAAACTTTGGGAGAAAAAGGTACCACTTTACAATTTTTTTATGGGCATGTGGTTATTTCATGTATAAACTAACCTGCTCAACTTACCAGTTTAAAGATTTTCTGTGATAAAGACTTTTTACCACCCCACATCATGCAATTCACGAATTTGCTGAAATTTGGTTTAAAAGTGTGAGTGGAAACTAAGAGACAAGTGCTTTTAAGAAAATCAGTCGAATTGTCAAGTCAGATCAGTCATTTTTCTAAGTTTTATACATTGTAAAGAAACTGGGGGAAAAATAAATAAATTTAGAAAAAACAAATTATTTCAATTAATTCGTCCACAGAGTTCTGGGTTCACACTCCAAGGAATGATATCAACTCTCTAGAGCACTGCCCTATCCCTCATTTCTCAGAAGCAAAGAATGGTTTCTAAACAAAATGATACAGGCCTGGTCATATCCAACCTTGAACTTTTGAGGTGACAGTACAAAATTAATGTACTTTAGAAAAGTAAATTAAGACAATACAGTCCAACCCTACAATCTCCTACAAGGAATTAACACATGTACAGTGTACATATGAATTCTTACATCATCACCGTTACAGTAAACAAGCAAATGGGTAAGAGAAAAGAAAATTGTAAATTAGACATAAGTGTAATTTTGATTTAGAAAAAAATTCATCTCAGAAAATTTGAAAGGAAATTTTTAGAAACTTCAGAGGATGATTACTTGGCAGATTTTGAGAATAAATAAGTAATGTACTATACTTACTTGACAAGTTCATCATCTAACATTGAGGAGGTCATATGAGAATCTGCAGCTTTGGGAATTTCAACCTTTTCATCAGTATCAAATATATTTCTGCAGATTTTAACACAGAATCAGTAAATTAAAAAGAAATAACTTGAAGGTACCATATTACTTCTTTTTGGAAGGGGAAATGGAGCAATGATATTAGTTTAAAGCTTACATCTGCTTCAGAAGTTCATTCTGACTCAGTGATGATGTCGAATCTGTGTCATCAGCATCTTTTTCCGTTGGACTTGTTCTGCCTTTGTCTTTATCTATGAAGTCTCTGTTGATGTACGACAAAAAACACACTAATTTATCATCATGTTAATGAAATATAAAATAATTTGGTTTGAAAGTACATGTAAGAACATAATTTGGTAAAGTCTGGAAAGAATTCACTTAGAGTCAAATATTGATTAGGGTGCACTGAAGACAACATGACTGCAAGAAATACATGTATAAAGGTTGCAAACACAACACATTTTCTTGGAATCAAAAATGTTTTGTAGCATGTGTGGTGAAGAAAATTTAAGAACTTGGATGCTGTTATCAGGGTCTTTATGAATTACATGAAGTAGCAAGAGAATTATATAATTAACCAAGGAAATGTTGCTAAAATTTTTTATAGGCAGATGTGTGAACTTAACAAGTGGGTTAACTAATACAATTTACTGCATGTAGCCCACAGAAGGAGGGATCCGAAGCCATGCTTCCCTAGCAAATTTTGAAAACCCATGTTTTCCTTGATTTTGGAGGGTAACCTCAGAGTCATTTGTGATATTCTCTTCCACAAAGATTCTTGCACATATGTCTGTCACTCAATGCAGTTTAAATAAATAACTGAGTATTATTATTCCACTAGTTTGCTTGTCCATTTAAGATAAATCCACCCCACTCCCTCTCCCCTCCACAACTTCTGACATATCCTAGAGTGTTTGTAGATAACAAATCATACTCCTGGGATCAGAGAGGGATTGTGAGAGGATATAAACCCACCCCCCTCCCCTCTGCAATTTCCAAAGATTTCTTGACCATCTGAGCACATTGTATATCCACTGACACACCTGAGCTGAGAGAGGCACCCTGAATCAATAGAGTGTGGCCTAAGAAAATGACAAAATGAGCTGGCTGGGGTTCAGATCCAAACCTGTTACTTGAAATCCATTGAATCAACCAGTATCCCATTACAGTTTTCACATAAATAAAATAAATGAGTAAATAAGTAATTTCAAATGGCTAAATTGTGCATGCATTGTGATTGATTCTTAACCATGATCTATAGGAGGACAAATACATACATTAACATTAACAATTTTTTTTTGCTCTCTTTAGCATCATAAACAAATAGATTCCATGCTGCCATGGATCTACTCTGCAATGGATCACAGAAGACACTCTCAGCTTCAGCTGTGTACCACTTTATTGATCTTACCATATTTTGAATTCAACTGTAATCTGTTACTCAGCAGATGCAGGGTAACAAGGAATCTAATTGTTAAATAGATGATTAAATAAATAGATAGGTCAATAATATGAGTAGATACTAAAGAATATAACATCATGTCTCTCAAAACCTTAAGCTTTCCACTGGCACGACTAATATAACAAACACAAGCAAAACTGTGTTTAGCACTTACAACGCTGACTGAGATGAGCACATTGACCTTGCAATATTCGTCCTGTAGCAACTTTGTATTCTGCAAATAAGAAAACAAAATGCTTATGAACAAAACAAAAAAAGGAGCTAATTAAAATTGTTCAGACATGGCTTAAAGAATTAACTCTTTGACCTTTATGAGTGACCAACATTTAATTTCTCCTTACCAAATCATCTCCGAATCACACATTGTGGTTATAAGAATGAAGCACTAATCACCAACTAAAGAAGCTCTACATTGTTTCACAAATTATTCACGTCAGAAGCTTAAATTACGTGTAGAGAACACTATGGAGAATATGCATACTGATGTTGGTGAAAAGAGTTGATAATGAGGTGATCACTTTCGTTGGATCGAGGACTGCATGTTGCATGCGATGTACATCTGCAAAACCTGTACAAATCGCTCCACGAATGAATAGCATTTCTGAAACACAAACGTTTTACCTTGGGGGTTGGCGACTAAATAAAACTCTTGCATCACTCAAATTCCGAGTAAAAACCCCAAGAAACTTGTTACTTCTTCGCGAACATGAAAGACAATTAAGTAACACCAATGCCCTCGTGGCCGCCATGTTGGATTTTGAGAAACTGAAAAGGGCTTGGTAACGAGTATCTCCAACACGAGGACTCATGGGAAGAAAATGACTCGTTCCCAGTTGCTTTACATGGAATTAGACACACGGTCAACACGAGAACGTAGGCAAGGAAGGTGCAACAAACTGCTGGGAACAAATACACTGAAACACTCCATCTGAGCCGTGTATCTGGACTGTCATCTCAATCTTGCCCTGTTTATTACTAATAGGCAACTGTTCAGGTGAAATTATTTTCCACCCTGGTACTTTTAGGTGCTTCTTTATTACTCAAGACTGTCCTCATTAGCTTGCTCGCGTAGAACTGTGTATCATTGAGAAAATAACCATACAATTGTATAGTTTGTTTGCATATTTATCGCGAAACTAAGGAAAACGATACAAGATACAAATGGATAATCTAAAGATTGAGAATTTTTTCCGAGCAATTGTTGCTCGTCAAATATTGCGCACTCTATTTGTGGAGAAAAACAGACCATAGTAAAATGCATTCGGTGCTACCTGACAAAAAGTAGGCATATAGACAGGGCGTGGGTGGGAGGGTGAGTAATTCACACCAGAGTTTCTTTAGGTAAGGGTGAAGCTTTGGAAAGCTTTCCTAGATTGACCTTGACTTCATCCTTGTCCATTTTTTTGAAGTAGAATCCAGTGTGTTCCCAGATGTCACAAAGACGCAAGAAAGGCCCCTCCCCATCCCCTTCATAGCCCAAGATTGTCCGGAACCAAGATGAACCCTGCTTTTTTTTCCTTTGTTTTCTGTTTTTTTGTATATGTTTATCGTTTTTTTCCTATCAACTTTTGTGCTAGTTCTTTTTATTTTGCTTTTTGTTTTTATCTTGTTTAATTGGGTTTTTCTTTCGTTCCTTTCTTTCTTTTGATTTTCTATTGATTCTGTTCAGCCATAATTTCTACGACCGTATCTAACTAGATAATAACACTTTACTGTATACAGCAGCTGCAATACTGAATGAGAGTGCACCATACTCAGTAAAGCCCCTGAGTGCTTTTATTAACTGCGTAAACTAAACGTCCACCATGGGTGGTCAGTAATCACAAAAAATGAGCAAATCCAACTATTTATGCTAGAATAAGTGTTTAGAGCTAAGAGGAGCGCAGAGGAAAGTTAGTGTCTATCCAAAGACAATTTAAATTTTAAAAAGAAAAAGAAAACCTCAAGATACTCCATTCATATAATTAGAAAGTACTACCACATTCTAACCTGTCGGAGAAAAGCACACAATTTAGAGAATTAATAAATATCAACGAGTAAACATTTCGTCTGAGAAAGCCGCGGGTAAATAAAATCATGGCGAGTAAAAACTTCATGTTGTTGAGATTATTCAGTCAAGACGATCTTGTTGAGATCGTAACAAGTAATCAGACTACAAATAAAGCCGTAGTTAAGACATCAAATAGATCGCACACAAACAAACAAAACAAAATGTTAATCATCGATAATTATACAAAACTGCGAAATAAATTGTAAAAAAAAATTGACATTTTAACAAACTTTGTGCTGCTTAAAATTAGTCTGCTTTTTCCTCAATTTAATATCAAGATGTGATCCTTGGGCAAAAAACGACAATAGAGAGAAAAGAAAACTGTACAACTGTTCGTGCTCTACCCTAACTTTCAACCTTCTCCCACGTGATTTAGTGGTCAGAGAGGGCTATTGAACATACTATTAGGTTCTATTTTTGCTCATATTTAATGCCTCTTAGAATGAAGCTAAAAGTTGAAAGAGCCCCTTTAAACATAGACGAAAACACAAAATTATGTGTTCACATAAATATGCGAAATAGGGGTTCAGTTGTTGATACGAAAATCTCTGCTCGCTAAAATTGACACTAAGATAAAATAGTGATGCGAAAGAGATCAACAAATTGAAAACATAATTGTGTTTTCGGCACTGACATTATATCACATGACACTAACGTGATCAGTCAGGCCTTTAGACCACAATCACGGGTTATGCATGCGTTCATGTGGTCCTTCACAGCCATTATCAGTCAGTCACCACTCACTCATGTATTTCTTCCAAATGATTGCCGTGGCAACCACCACACCAACCTGTGAGGACGGGAAAAAAGGTTTGAAAATTACTAGTTTGAGAAAGATGTCATGAACAAAAATTGTAACATGACAACTTCTATCCCTTTCTGCTAGTCACGTCAGTATAAGAAACAGTTCAACGGAAATGAATTCGTTAGGTGACACTAAAATCCCCTGCACCTTCATAAAAATTCCCTTTCTCGCATTTTTTTAATGGACAAAAAAAAGATAGTCAAAATAAAATCAACCCTCTAGTTACAAACTTAAGGTTTACGATTTCGTTTCGTTCGTCTCCGTAGACTAAACGAAGTCCATCTCCGCCAGCGCAGTCAACGAAATCGGTGAGAAAAAGTGGCGCGCCACGTGAAATGAACATTGTTTTTGCTGTTTATTGAGAAAATTGTAGGTAAACAACCTTTACAGTACACACCTCAACAAACAAGATAAATAATCCCATTATCTTGACTACCAATAGACGTTTTCCTACAGAGCCCTTTACCACCTCTAAACATCCCTACAAAAGAAAAAAAACACAGTTAAAAGAAAACAGCTCAACACTCGCAATTTCCAGTACATTGAGTTCAGGGTTTTTCTCTCCTTAAAACTTCAGACCAAAGAGCAAAAAAACAAACAAACAAACAAACAAACAAAAAAAGACGAGTTAAAAAAGGGTTCCAGGTACATGAGGGAATTTTCTGTTGAAATCCAGTTAAAAAGAGGAAAACAGTCCTTGGACTCGTCAATTCTGCGGCGATAATTACACAACTATCAACAAAACAAAACTCACCCTGCGGTTGATATCGTCAGTTTCAAACTTAAAGCCACACCCAAACTCATTTGTTTTACAGCAGGTGTCTGGTACTGCGAAGATTCTACGTCCTCCAAACTTTGTGTTTCTCCAGTCAGTATAATAATTCACTCCACAACAATCCTCCTGTACATACACAAAAATGTATGTCAGAATTACTGTAGGGGTTTCTAAGAACAGGATAATTAAGAAAAAATTTCATTGTTTTTTACTACGGTATCATTCAAGACACCGTGTGCTTTAACTGCAAACTTCTGCATGAGCTTGATTTCCGCCTCTCTTTTTCTCAAGTCAAGTCTTCCTGCCCGAGATGACCAGCGGCTGGTTATAACTTTATACTTCATTCATGCAGTTAATTGGTAAAGAAAAACAATGGTGAAACCAGCATGGGGTTATATGGAAATCTTTCACTTTGCTCTATCACACATAATACTTACTTCACTTTGTAGCGTGTTGATATTCATTGTTTCTTCTCTTTTTCTTCCTAAACCATAGTCCTGAATATTGATCTTCATATCATTTTCCATGTCATCAAGCTAGAACAAAATCAAAGAATGCTAGAATTCAACCAAATTGCAAAAATTTCACAATGAATGGAAGTAGATTCATTAATATCTACTATTGAGTCTTAATAGCCACACTGTGTAAAGTGGATGTCTTCCATGAAAATGAGAAACAATTTTTTCAAATTTTTTTTTTTAACTAAACTCTTTACATGCAGTTATGATTGCCTTCACTGGATAGCGATGTATTACCGGTTGTTAGCATGAAAGTTAATACCCTAAATCTTGGCTGAGGGGATCTGAGTCAAAGCCCTATTAGGATCACTTTGTTGTTCTTTTGGGCAACATATTATGATACAAGACTGCTTTTTTTTTCCAGTCAGGAGTATTATTGAAGGAAATTTTTGCAGATGCTCCCAATTTCAGATTCAAGGGAAGACCACAACACCAAGAGCTACATTTGTTCCCTACTCTTTATGATAACTGTGTATGTTCTTTTATGTCCCACAATCAGTTATCTGAAGCAGTAGAGCAGACTTCATGCCAGAACATGAAGTCTAAAGATGCTATATGGCAAATTATTACATGTGTTAGTGAACAACACAATCAGGTTTCAATTTAGGACATCTAATGAGTAATAAAAGTAACAAGAAATTACAAGTTAATCCTATTCCTCACCTCTAAAGTAAAACTTGTGATGACTGCAACCAAAGTGAAAATGGTGGCCAAAGCAAGAATTATGATGTACTATAAGAAAATATTGAAGAAAATGGGAATTTTAATCATTCAAGTTAATAATTCAACTAAGGTCATTGCTCAAGCTTAAGAGTCTTGTGTATTGCTTAAGATGTCACCTCGCCAAAAGCAGGACCTGTCCACCACTATGAAGGCTATGGCCTTCAATCAGTTTGTAGAAAGGATTCTTGAGGGTTGATGAAGGAGAGCTTTGGAAAAAGTCCTCCACAGTAAGAATCACTTTTAATAAACTTTGTTTAGAAGGTCCTTCATTCCTTCTGTCTTTCTCTTTCCTTTTTTCTTCTTTTTTTATTTTGTGAGAATTACATGCATTTTTCATTTTTATTCTTGTTATTAATCCAGCTTTGCAAACACCTGATATTACTTTACCATAAAATTATAACTATTACATAAATTATTAAGCCTCATCTGGACTGCTAACTCATCATTAATGTTGTTGAGGAAGAAAAAAATCTCACCACTAGGGAACATTTCTTCACAAGAGGAGAATCTGCTCTTTTAATCACTATGAAACTGGCTATGCTGGCCGCTGTAATGCACACTCCAGCCCCCAAATACCACTCAAATGGCCTCTTATTCTCTCCTCTGGTCACTTTGAAATGATAGTTTTTCCATCCAAGCACTATGCCACTGGTCAAAAGCATGATAAAGCCTACAACCTATGATCAGAAAAAAAAATAAATTTCCTATTAATACCTATAATTGAACATAAATCATTAATAGAAATTATTTGGATTTGAATTCACTATAATTTCAAAATTTAAATACAATTCTGGTAGATAAATATGAGTTCCAACAACAATCTTTATGCATGCAAGTGAAGCATATCTGGGTTGACCAGTTTATGGTGCATAAGTTTCACATTTTTTTAAAATCAAATGTTTTTTAATTGATCAGAGTTAAATTACAGAAAAGTTCAGAAAGCTGTTCATGAAGGCTGCTTTAATTAAAATAATATCATTCAGTATAATTGCTGCCATGATTAGAGAGACAGGTGCCTTCGAATTTTGTTGAGAATTGCACCATATCTCACAATGATCACCTTGCACTAGGTGATTATAGCAGGGATGCTAAATTTCAAAATTGCTGACTTGTGTTATGTCAATGTTACACAGGAAGTGATAAATGTGATTATAGAAAAAAATTCAATACAAAAAAGCACAAAAGATGCTCCTACATTTGGGGTACTACTTTTTAAAAGAAAGATTTGAAGTTTTAGCTGATTGAATTGAATAAACCCATCACGTTCTAGTGGAAACTGGCTGTTCATCTTGATACAAGTAATCAAAACAATTGTGACAGAATGGTGTTAAAGTCAAAACAAATTAATCACAGAATTTCAATTTAAGCACCTGAGCAACTATACTGAAACAATTATTTACCATTAGCAAACAATAGTTAATTAACAGCATAAAGCATAGCAATCATAGCATCTAAAACACTGATAATCCAAAAATGAAGTTATATGAGAGGTACTGATGCATAAATTTGTTAGTATATGATCAAAAGTGAACCAAAAAAACTGTGTAGTTTAAGAGTTGGACCCTTACAGAATCAATAAGACAGTGAAAAATTACAGATGTCATCAGACTAAGGAGACAAGCAATCCTCTCCACCTACCTAAGTGGTTTGCACCTACCTAAGTGGTTTAAAGCTAGTTGTCAACTGAAAACAATCAAACATACTCTTTTCACCAACATGTAATTACCTTTAGGTAATTACCAATGAAGTCAGGGCGTGAAGTTGCGCCCAATACAGGCACCAATGCGACTAAATTTTTCACTTTGGCAACCAAATCCTGAAAATTAGTCGCCAAATTTGTGACTAGAATGTTTCATCATAACCTTACTAAGAGATCTAGTGAATTAAAAAGATTTGCAGAGACAAATCCGCGGCAAACTTCCTCGTTAAGTTTGTTTCCAAAATGCAGCACATGCATCTCGATTGATAACTAGACGCCATCTTTGATTTAGGTGAGCTTAAACGTTGCATATCATCCATCCTAGAGTCCATTTTGTAGCACATTAAAGATCTTTTCCCCTACTTAATTTCTAGAACGATGACAGCGTAAAAAAGAGGTTTTGTTTGTCTTTGAAAATGGCAACCAACTTTTCTTGAATTGGCTACCACTTTGAAGAATTTAGGAGCCAAGTGGCTGTCAGGAAAAAAAATTAATTTCACACCCTGGAAGTGCATTGGTTGATGGTCAAGAGCATTGCATATACCATACAGATAAAAACTAAAAATAATTACTCACTATCATACCACCAACCATCCCTGGAAATACTTTAGCAGTATAAAACCTTGTTTTCTCACTACCAGGTGGAATCAAACGTGCCATGATTTGATCTTGGGCATGTACTCTAGAGAGAATGATTGAAAGGTAGATCAAAGGCTCATTTCGAATAAAATCAATTACACTATAAAGCACATTTTGATTGGGTGCTATAAAACCAAAACCAAAACCAAATTTGTCATGAGAAATTCTGTCTTGGTCACCCTGGGAATCAAAGGGTTATACAGGCAGATGGGGAGAAGTTAAAATTGTGAACTTGGAAATCATAATTTAGATATGATAACAAATTCTCAGGTCTACTTAACAAACAAAAATTAATGTATGATGACTTACAAATTTTGGGTATCAAACTATAACTGAGACAAGACATTACATGTTAACATGCAGTTTCAAGTCTTGCAAAACATAATTTTGCACTTGACTGGTTGCGAATGAAGTATAAGTTTTTAAAGCTCAATAAAAGTAAAATTCACAATCGTCATTGTGTTACACTTCATCCTAAAGATCTTAGCCATACCTTTACGTCTCGCTGAAAGTTTGCTCTTGGCTTCAGAAAACTGGTAACCAGTCTCTCGCCTCGTTCGGAACGTAAAAAAACAAGGAAAAGCTAAGCAAAAATCAGAAGAAAATAAAATGCAAATTAAGGGTTGTCTTTGGATTGATAGTATGGGAAATGTAAACGCGTTGATATCCTTGATTTTATAGTTTAGTGTGAGTTTAGATAATTTAGATACAGGAAAATTCGTACCTGTACAAGTTCCGAGAAACCGTTTCAAAGTCCTTTACCAGTATATTGCTCGACCGAAATATCACGGACTTCGTCGAACAAGAAACATCTTTTGAAAACTCCAGAAGTTTAGTTCAGCAGAAGAGAAGGTCGACAGTAATCGTGCAAATTACAAAGCCCTTAATCTCAATTTATGCTGTGTATCAAATATCTATCCACCTATCGAAGAGCACGCGATGTCGAACAATAAACGATGTGTCGAGCCCTGTCTATAACACTTTCAAGTCAAAGTGTGTGTGTATGTGTGCCTACCAGAAAATCTGTGATCGAACTCGCCCTGGATCAAATGTGGTTGGCTACTCTCCTTGTTTTCATGAAGCGAGAAACATTTCTCAGACGGTTTTCGCCTTCGTCACGCCTTTCAGATAAGAAGCTGCATAAATTTGTTCAGGAAAAACGTTGTTTTCTTTTCTTTGTCGCACCCTATGGCCGAGCTAGAACGCGCGAAACCTAGGAACGAGTAGTTTCAAATTGCTAACCAGGTCCCTCGACACTTGTCGCAGGAAAGTTATCAGCTATGAAAATAATTAAAAAAGGAAAATTTATATTCCGTTATAAGTTGCTTACCTGATTCCTGAGGGTCCCCAATAGATTTTTGGGATTGCGGGATTGTTATTATGAACGAGACACGGGAAACGGCGAAAAAGCCGAGAACCGGGAAATCCGTTGACAAGAGTTTAAAAAGAGTTTATCAACGCTAAAGACCGAAAAAAGCCCAGCCTTCCGCGCAGCCGTTTTCTAGGAAATCCCGTTTCACTTCTCCCTGCAAAACGCGAAAGTAGCACGCAATTTCTCTTGAAACGCCAGCGTGGAAGGCTCAAAGAAAGCCGCACAAAGGTGTGTTATGACAGTCTTATCTGCGCACGTGCTGGGCACACGGCCTTTGGGCTTCGCTGTTGTTTTCATAACCCACTGGTTATGTCTAGACATAGAACCTCGCCCTATTCTGAAATAGTGACCTTTGAGTTTTGGGTGACTGACAAATTTATAAATCGGGAAAAATAGCAGTACGTTCCTCTGTACGGATGTCAGCTACTATCGAAAGCGATGAATCGAATCCAGTTTGACATAATGGCATGATAGTATGGGAAAAAAATAAACGCGTTGCATACCCTTGATTTTATAGTTAAGTGTGAGTTTAGATAATGTAAATACAGGAAAATTCGTACTCGTACAAGTTCCGAGCAACCGTTTCAAAGTCCTTTACCAGTATATTGCATGACTGAAATATCACGGACTTCGTTGAACAAGAAACATCCTTTGAAAACTCTAGAAGTTTAGTTCAGCAGAAGAGAAGGTCGGCAGTAATCGCACAAATTACAAAGAAAATGAGCGGGAAAACGAGACGCGGCTTCCCCGACTGTCTCATTGTTTTACTAGAGATCGTTGTTTTATCAGGGTTTTATGGCAGAGCTCCTGTCTGTAAATGTATTTGTTGCTTCTAGTACTTACGAAAATGATTCGTTGCTCACGCAGCTGGCCATCAATTAACCGTGACGGCAGAAAAGGGTTTTGACAATGTTCAAGTTGAAATGGTAATCAACCGAATGCATGTACTTAAAAGGCAAACTTTACGTGTGGTTTCATTAAAAAAAAATTAGGAAAAAGATTACCACTCATATTTTTCGAGCCTAAAAATCATGGTTATGATTCTACAGGTGACAACAACGTACGTTCTGGCATCATATATAACTTAGATTCTTGTTCCTTTCAATCATAACTGCGTTGGGAGCGAAATTCAATGCTTTGGTAAAACAGCATACATCTGTGTAAGGAACACATTTGGTTGGTGCAAAACTCGTATCGCATATCAAACGTGAGCGTAATGATTGCCCTTAGCGATTTTAAAAAGACTTATGCTCCCTCATTATGTATTCTTCATTGGTTTATTGGTTTAATACAAAACAATTTTCTATTGGAAAAAATGATTGTCAGTCTAAAATTTTTGGAGAGAAAATCCAGATCTGCTCCTCTGATTTGAAGTAATTATGCTTATTGCTACTTGCATACACATCAGATGCCAAATTGTTAAAGCGATACCTAGAGGATGACGGTATCCTGCTTAAGTTAGTTTTACGCGTCTTTTAAAGACCTGATCTTCATTTTTTGAATAATACTTAAAAAAGATATAGAAGATGACTTGAGAGAGAAATCCGAATATCCTCTCATTCTCATCACACCAAGTTTCCGAAATCCTTTCCATTCCTTTCCTTCTAGTCTTGTCCTACAAAAGTACCACTCCCTAGAAGATAATACAAAAAAAGCTCTAAACTTGGAAAAAACTGTTTTCAAATATTCTCCGCTGACTTTAGTTTCATTCAGTTCTTGTTGATTAAGCAAATATATATATACATATATATATTTGCGACCCAATTATGGCCAAGGCCAATCCTCATTCACAAGACAGCCATTCTTTTCGTAGTGCTCTAACAAGCTTTTCCACGCTGGATCCAATGCCAGAAGATACCTGTTTCCTAAAGAAAATAAGATGAGGCTTGGTTATTCAAACAATACAATGATGGTGCCCTATCCGAAAATCGTGGTGCTTTATTTGTAAGCTTTATAAACTTCTTTGTTTACCTCCACAACTTCCACTAAGAAGGAATGAAAAAGTTACTAAGAGTTAGATCCAACTTAGGGGATTTAGAGGATGAGATGAAATTACGGCTCTGATCGCAGAGTCTGGTAAACCAAAACCAACGACATCTTAGAATGCTTTAAAAACTCTATCTTAACCTTCTCTGACAAGACTTGAACTGCATATCTCACCTATAATGCAAAGTCCTCTGCGTGCTCGAGTGAGTCCCACGTTCATTTGATGCTCATCAGTCAAGAACCCCAGATGTTCACGAAGCCAAGAAGGGGAAGGCTCAGGATCTATTTCGTCACGGTTCACGGACCGAACCAACGATATTATGACGTAATCCCATTCACTCCCTAAAATTTGAGAGAAAAAGGGCGACGTCGAATGTCAAAGTTCAACACTTTACCAGAGCTGCACCTTCTTCCAACGCGCGCGATTTTTTTCGATCTCAGATCTCCCTATTTTTTTCAAAGAGCTATGTAAGTTTATATTGAACAGTTAAGGTACGTCACGAATAATATTAATGATAAGGATTCGTTTACTGTTTATAAATACTGTATTTATTCCTAAGAGTAACTTGTTACTGCCTTACCTTGACTTTTAGTGATTGTTGTAACTTTGATATCCTCATATGCTCCCTTTAAGAGCTCAGTGATTTTGCTTCGCTGTTCTCTGTAAGGTGACAGGATGACCACATCTGACTTCCGCACATGGGCCACGTAACGGTTAACAAGATGCTTTGCTATTTGAACCTGTTCGTGAGGAAAGAGGAGGAAGTGAGAAAGGATGACTTTATAGCCGCGTAAAGCTTCAGTATAGCAAAGAGTACTCTGGTACACAGTTCCCAATCGAACGATGAAGGGCTAAGGATCATTTGGCGACTATCCTTTGACAGTTAAAATATACATCAAGTGAACATGCAGAAAAAAAAATGTATTTCTGATGTGTGCAGAGGTTTTAGGAGGAACTTTTTTAGTCTGGACCAGCTTTTGTCTCCAGAATAAACATGCCTTTCAGATAGAGGTGACTCCGGCATAGAAGGAGTTCCACTGCACTTTAAAAGAACTGGAACAAAAAAAGTCGCAGATCAACCACATCATTGGCTTTAGGAAATCTGGTAGTGATTTAACCTTATTTTAGCCATAATACATTAAATGTCTTCTGTATGATGATAAATCTTAGGTTAGGCTTGGAAAATACTCACGTTACTTTGCAATCACACATATGAACTAAGAGAACATGAGCTGCCAATGATCAGATCATGTTCTTTTGTTTGAAAGAAATTTGATATACCTACTTCCTTAATCTTCCCAACTTTCTCAAATTTGGTGAGAATTTACTTACTGCCTTATGAACTTCTTTCATGTTTCTTTTGGACTCCTCGTTGCTCTCTGAGGTTGCTATGGGAGCAGACTCTTCTTGCCCTTCAACGTGACAGAAGACAATTGGTAGTTTCCTCTGGCGGCGCACTTGTGCAGGCCAAAAGGAAACGGGACTAGGAGCACGTGACTTCACCACGTCAGCTGTACGTAGCTTTTTATTATAAAATTGTGTTGATGGAAATTCACAAATTCCATCATGCTAGAAATAGGAAGAGACTTGTTAAAAAGATGTCTTTGTAGAGACAAAAAGAAGTTAAATTGCATTGTTTTCCTGGTGGGTGTAATACAGCGAAAGTGTCCTGATAGACTCAAGGAGGGAGAGTAATTAAAGTAACTTAATTGTAAAAAAATTCATGCTACAAGTTTTTAAAGGTAAGGGAGAGAGAAAATCACTAAAACACTCGCTAAGGTTAAATCTAGAAAGACAAATAAACTGGGAACAATTAAAGAGTTGCGAAGTCCATGCTTCAGAGATCAATATTTAGGTACTTGCACTGATACCTTGTCAAGCGCCAGAACAATTATATTAATCCCAGAGATAAGTGAGTTTTCTGAAACAATCTTTCAGAAAAATAAGTGTTTTACAGTTAGACTATTGAACCTGTGCCTCAGAGGCTAACGAAGGCAATCAAAGTACCATTTCTTAGAATGGTAGAATCTATGATTGCCCTTGCTAAAATATCTCACCATTCTGTACTGAAGTTCCAGCATTGTAGCTCGTTTAGAGTGCCTCTCAAACATTGACACACTCAAGCCAAGTGTCTTTGCGACGTGGTCTTGTATTACAGGCTGCAGTTGTTTGTGATCACCAATCAAAACCACTTGTTTTGCTCCAGAGCACGTAATAGGCACGAGTGATTCAGGCTCCATGCACATGCCACATTCATCGACAATGCATTGCTGGATGTTGTCGCAAGAAGAGACCATCCTAGGACTTCCCGAAGCTGCGCAAGTACAAAGAATGATTTGAACTCCAGACTTTTGAAGAGCCCACTCTTCAGCCAGTCCAATGGTCTTGGGGGAAAACATGTAAAAAAGGCCATCATTTTTATCAAGTGATAAAGGTATTTGGCTCGACACGAAAAGTTGTAAGAAGATTTACTAAAACTTTTTTTTCGGGAAATTTTCTGTGGATTTGAACGGAAAACGAAGTTTTTGATTTATGAAAACAAGTCTTGGTTATTTTGAATGTCTCTTTGAAAGAGCTATACAAGAGGAATCTCACTGTTATTCTATATAACCTTCATTAAGCAGTGCCTTAGTTTATCAATGTAATCACGAGAACTCAATCATTCCTATGGTAGAGAATTCCCACCAATCACCAGCCTTCCCATCGGTCTAATATCTGGCACGTACTTAAGCGCTAAAATTTGTTGAAAAGAGTTAACTTTTCTAATCTTTCTTCTATTCTCACATCGTAGCATTTAATCAAACCCTTCACAAAACTCTCACCTTGCGGTAATCGGCGACTTCCTTTTGGCCTATCGTTTCATTCATCGCTTTACACTGAGCGAATCCCTCTTCATATTTCCTGAGCTTCTCCGAAAAAGGGCATTCAGGACCTCTAATCACGTGATGAAGGGATACAGATCTTATTTGGTCACTGGAGATTTTCAGTTCGTCATCACTCCTCGTTGATCGAGCTGGCTTCAACTTGTTTGGAATTGGGAACTCTTTCTGCTCAACTTGATCACTATAAACTCTCAAAACTTTCAAATCTGGTACTTTTAAAAGGAGCTCTAGGGTTGGAAGGTGAAAGTATATGTCAGCTGTTGAGATTTGTCCGGGACTTATTTTGGATTGACTAAAACTGTCTACTTATTACTTAAGCTTTGCACAGCCAAATCAATATTGAATGATAGCGGACAGCTGCATTTTTACACTGTCGGAATAAGTTATCGTTAAACGATTAAAAAATTTCCCGCTGGGCGATCGTTGGCACAATCATCACCACCATGTAATACCTCTTTTGTTGGCACGAATCTTATGAGGTCGTGCGCACAAGAGAAGCAGTTGTGAAAGACCGGGAAACGCGATCTAACAAGGCGGCAAATACCATTTCCAAAACAGCCAATATCTGTTCCGATTTTTTCGCGTGCTAAATACTTTACTCTGAGTATGCCAACAAACTTGAACACGAGGTTAGCTTTTTAATGTGAGTTTATTCCTAGTTGATCAAATTGGACGATATTGATATCAAATTGGAAAGATACCAACATCAAGCTAGCTTGGAGCATTTTCTGTTGAAATGGATTGTCCTTCGGTGGAAAATTACCGCGGAACCTCATGGAGTCCCATATCGCAATTTGATTTCTTATGAAACAGAAGTCCTGATATTTTTTCCCATCATAGCCCACCTGTAACCACGTCCACAGACTTGTTAGACGGTCCACAATACATAACTTGAGGCGGTGATTTGTGTGCTCCATCACATTCAGTTTCACTTGTCTCTTTTTTCAACGGCTTCAAAGACTTTTTCTTCTTGTTTTGTTCCGCGAACCAGTAAGCGATGTGTACTCCTGTTACAGTTTTCCCAGTACCTAAGAAAAATGATATTTTTGGTTGTTTGTAAGTAAAATTTATTTGTAAGTGAGTTGTCACATGCAAGCTATCATTACTGTCATTCGTGTGGAAGCTCAGAAATGTGTATGCTAGCGCATTTTTTCAGGTGTCATGGAATACTGGTAACATGGACTATTTCCGTACATCATTACTAAGTCATGGTCAGTCGAACTAAAAAGTGGTTATATGCGAGATAATTCTTAAGCCTCTAATCGCTTTTAGTCGTTAATCCAAAAACACAATATTCTTACCTGGTGGGCCCTGTATTAGCGTGAATGGATGGCAAAGTGCTTCTTTGACCGCGGCCTCTTGATATGTGTTCAACTTCTTAAATCCAAACTGTGTCAAAAACAGGCTTGTGGGGAGTTCGCCATAACTTTCTAACCGTGACCGAAAAGAAAAAACCGTAATGATGGTTAAGTATTGCACGAACGATAAAAGCTAAAAGCTTCAAGAGAATTTAATACTAATCTCCAATAATAAATACCTTTTGAGGGCTCCTCTCCTCTGCAAATGGCATGAACTAGCTCAGATGAGTGTTCCAAATTGCACAGCGCTGCATACATTCGTCTGAAGAGTTGAAATGAAAGTTAATCCGTACCAACAATTCCAAGATGTAATAAGGTAAGTAATTGATTTTAACTAGGAAACCAGTGGAGTTGTATTTTTCTCGTGATAAAGGTTCAGTAGTTAACACAATTTTGCTCCATAAATTCAGTTTGTTGCAGTTATTATTGATTCGCATAATTGTGTTGTTTAATTGTTTATTCCGCATAATTGCTCATGCTCAGTTAGCGCAGAGTTACCTGGAATTAATAGACTACAAGATTAATTCAACGACGTGAAAACTTTAACAAGGATCTTATTCAAGTATCTTATGAGAGCATGGCTATTTATGTACCTTTGAGGAAGTGTTCTGTGGATGAGTTCTAAAGTACATCTGTAACCTTCTTCGTTGAAAAGTCCCTCTGGTATGGTTGACGCCGATTGATGAAGATACATTATAACTTTTACCTTCTGTTTTTCTTTAAAAAAGTTAACATCTTTGATTATGCAGTGTGCCACCCAAAAGTCACTAGCACTTCCACTTGAATCAGAATGTAGATTGTCTTTGGAAGACTGTGGAAAGGGGAAAACCTTAAATAAGCATATTATAGCAATGCCATAGACTTACAGGAGTATTGAGATAGAGTAAATACCTTTCCGTGGCTTTCACTTTCCCCAGAAGGAGGCGACGTTTTGGAGTAAGACATACGGATACATACTAAATCTCCCTCATAAAAATTTAGCTGACGGCTCTGACAGTAGCTGAAAGGAAGCTTAAACTCTCCTCTTGCAGAATCAGCCTTGTGTTTCCATACCACGTTAAGGTTTTCAATAGTGAACCCATCATTCTCCTTTACTGCTTCTGTCGCTGCCTCCATAGCAAGAACTGGTTTCCAAGCCTCTACGTATTCGTCGATACTTTCATACCGTTCCCTTGATGCTTGGTGTCTCGCTGTGTGCGAAAATGACTCCCTTGGATGCTTACGGTGTTCAATGCAGATATTAAGATGAACATCTACCTTAAATACTTGGACATCGGGTTCGAGGATTCCTCGTATCATGTGAGGACAGAGCTGGACAGACAGGAAATCGTATTTCCTGAGTGTAACTTTCTTCTCGTAAAAATGGTCTACCGTTCCTTCAAATGACGGCTGTGCCTCGTCATTTTGATGAGGATGCTTGTAATGGATACCATGCACGTGGCCAAAAGACGTTTGAGCTGAGGTGTCCTTCCCACGATTGGAAGGCACAGTGCTAAGCTTCTCTTTTACTTCTTTGATTGTAGTTGTTAGATTCTCCTTGTCGTTAGCTCGAATCATATCCAACACAGAGACCCAAACATCAAGAGGAATTTCGATCACTTCGTCAATGCCGTTGTAAATAGAAGTGGATGACTCTGTAGTGTCTCTCTTGAGATCTGGCGCCACATACTTTCTGATTTTCCATTTGAGAATGATCGATTGCTCGTCACCTTGAATTTCTTTTTTTTCATCCACAGTCAGTAAATTGAGGTGACTGAGGGCAATTCTTTTGTTCCTAGTAGCCAAGAGGTCATCTTCTCTATTTAAGATTTGAAGACACATTGACTGATGCTGAATGGATTCAATAAAAACTCGCGTCTCACGACACCGTTGCTGAAGCTGAGTTGCCAGGTGGATCCTCCTGCAATACTTTTCAAATTTACGTGCGTTGTCTTGGATGAATGTATATCGTCGACACACCTTTAAAACTTCATCTTTAGTAGGGAGATTAACTGCGTAGTTGGTGGAAGACGTCAAGACGAGACCAATTAGTAGCCGATGCACCACGATATCAATATACCGCCTTATTGGCGACGTAAATTGTGTGTATCGAGGTATTCCGAGAGAGTAGTGGCAAATGTTCTCCGGTGGTTGATCGCCTTCGCAAACGCATCGAGATTCAGACTGTATACGTCGAAAATGTGAAACAGCTGTGGCAATTTGTGGGTGAATACTCTCGTTACAAATCAGGTATTGAAGTGTGGGAAAATCGTTTGACTCGACGGCTTGACATATTGCACGCCAAACTTGCTTCTGGATCTTAAACTTGATGCTGTCATCATGAAAAGCCTCTAGTGGTGTGGCGTCTGTTGTGTCCTTCGTGAACGTTGCGGATAACGTAAGTGACATTCTGGTATACTTGCCGTACATTTGAATCCATTCGGCCAGTCTGTGATCTTTTGGTGGCAGCTGTATCTTCAGAAGTGCTAATTCAGAGTTCTTTTGTGATAAAAGTTTTGCGATTTCTTGATTTGCAAGAATCATCCATTCTTCTACAAGCTCGTGGGCTTCAAAGTCATTTCCTTCGTTTTGCCAGTGATCGAATGCTCGATCTCGGAGGCGATGAAATCTACTCTTTTGTGCCAAGGAACTTAAACGTCTAACCTTCCCCTTTATGTCTTCTGAAATTTCTGATGTGCTCGCATCTTTTTCATCGATGATCATCTGAGCCTCAGCATAGCTCAAACGACAACAGGATCGAACAATTGTGCGTTTTATCTCTGGTTTATCAACTAATATCCCCTCTTCGTTAATGGTCGCGAAAACCGATACTGCAAGACGGTCCTTATTAGGGAGAAGGCTGCAAAAATTCTCACTAAGTTGGCGCGGAAGCATAGGAACATTTTCATGTCCGTTTTGGGGGTAATATGAAGAGCAACGAGAGAATGCTTCATCGTCTAATGGAGTGTTTGGTCTAACAAAGAAGCTGGCATCGGCAATGTGTATTCCTAATCGGAAGGTTGAAGGCGATATATTCTCGATCGTCAAGGCATCGTCAAGGTCCATGGATGTGGGAGGATCAATTGTGATTGCATCGGAAACCTTGGTGCGATTATTACGTTCTACTTCAGGAATAGTCCATCCTAGGGGAAAGTTGTCTTCCACATACCTCAAGGTCTGTTCTCTAAATTCTCGTCTTACCCCATGCTCAGCGTACGCAATCTCCATGCTACTTCTCAAGTCGTGTCCTCTGGATAGTGATCGCACAACGATACCAAGAGGGTTGGAGAAGTCTCTTTTCCACTGAAGGTATTTAACAACAAAGAGGTACTTCCCGCTGAGGACTTTCTCTTTTTTAAACATTTTTACTTTTATGGCTCTTCCGTTGTGATCCTTTCTGTACATTGGAATATCCTCACAAGTCTTGTCCGTAAGGTTGACCAGTTTAGTTGCTGCTTTGTTGATGGGCACCATCACCGCAGGATTTGCGTAATCTGTTGTACACACAAACTGACGTTCGTGTGGACTTATTATGTGTTCAAGTACACCTGAATAAGGGAAATTTTAATAAGATTGAAGAAGATGTTTTGATTACTAGTAAGAATATTCTGATGTCATGTATTTATCTAGCTGTTATCATATGTCTATATGTCATGAAAGAGTCTCTAAACTGATGGACGCAATTTATCGTGGCTACTAACGATCAATACTTTTGTCGATTCGGGCAATCTCGTGTCTTTTCACCAGGATGCACGACGTGTTTTCTTAACCAATCGGATTAGTCTTAACTAGGACTTCGAAGGTAACTGCACTTAAAGAAAATCAATGTAGGGAGAAAAGTATATCATCTTACCAACAACTCTTCCTTGGACCCCTGGCTCATTTTCATCAGCATTTGAACGGGCTTTCCTCTCAACAAGCTCTATAACAACTTTGTCTCTATCGAATGCTTGACGGAGCTTTCCCTTGATGTGAATGGATGGCGTCTTGGTATCTTCTACCTCTGCATAACCCACCTGCGACTTTTCGGGACTAAGACGAAGGTTACATACAATGTATTTCTCAGGTTCGTCTGCAATGAGCTGCATCAAGACAGAGGGATCAAGAAAATCCTGTTGCTTTGAGGAAATCATGATTCGTTTTGCTCTTTCAGAGGGAGAATTGTAAAAGCCAAGGTTAGTAAGACGCACTTCAATACGGCCGTTTATGACTCGTACCTCTGGAAACAGATCTTTTATGTCGGCACCACCCTTGAATGCAGAGTGTTGTGCGTGCTCGATTGGTGGCTTTTTCAAGCCTTCCACCGCTTGAAGAGAAGGGAATTCGCAGTCGTCAAAAATTGATTTGCGTTCTTCGTCCATTTTCAGTGTTTCTTCGCATTTTTGGACAAATGCCTGAATTATTTCGTCCATGTCTCTAGGAAATACTGTCTCGTCCTCCAGAAGGCTATCTTGAAAGTCGTTTGAATCTCCATTGTCGTCGTCAGGCTCTTCTTCACCCTGATCCTGATCCTGCTCCGTAAGGCTGAGAATGGGTATACGTTTGCTGTCCAAGGTATCATTTTCCGCCGATCCTTCACTCGAGATTTGCTGGCCACTTGCCTCTCTGGTGTCGCTCTCTGTTTCCACAACTTCCCTAAAATTTTTCTCTTCTATCACCTGCCTTACATAAACGTCCTCTTGGGCACTTTCTATTGTTTTCTCTTCGGGCGCTTTTGCGCCTAAGCTCTTCTCAAGCTTTGGAACGAAACTTGGAATGAACGTCTTAGCTTCAGGATTGAGCTGGACACTGGCAATAGAAGCGCTTATTTCTCTTGATAGCTCTTCCATTGTTGTCCCAAATAGGCCACCCGCCTTATTACATCTCTTAATGTAGTCTCTCCAGATTCCACGACATTCTCCCACTGTGCAAAGAGAGACAGGATCGCCCACTACTGCCACCATGCATCTCGCTCTCGTCACAGCTGTGTTAAGTAATTTTGGATCTGACAAAAATTCCCAATAAAGTTGTCGACCTGATCCACTGTTACGCAATTCCTCTTGCTGAGGCTTGCAGGTATGAAATGTGCGCACGGTACTGATAAAAAGCACCCGAAATTCTTCTCCTGAAAAAAAAAAGTGCAATGAAATGAAAGATAAATGGGATAAAGTAGGTAAATCGATCTGTTATTCATGTTTCTTGGATGATTTAAAAATAGGGAATACTTTACCTTGCACGTTATGGATTGTAGCCACCTTTACATCCCTCAGATCTTTTACCTGTCGTAAGCTTTTTCGTATGGCTTGAACCTAAGCATTGGGTATACATCATGTTCAATTAGGATGAAGAATCTAAATCAATAGGTTTCTTTGCAAGAATGAAGAAAAACGTTTATATTATTTGAGTAACACGGATGCTTTATTAATTTTTGTAGGGCAAGAAAGAGGTGAATTAACATCTCTGTGACCTCCTAGTAAAAGCAAAAGCACGGAAGTAACGAGAGGCTTGCATGTTACCATTAAAGGTTTTAATAGCAAAAGAAATAGCAACGCTCCCTTTATCTCTTGGATTGACGTGTGAAGAATTTTTTTTCAGGGACTGAACTTGGCAAGGCTTCTCTATCTTTCCTTCTATATCACTTGATTCAATCGCTCCAACATTAATGATGAAAAAGAGAAGTCGTTTACAAACTGATGCCATTTTAACCCCTTATCGTTATTAACATCTTTTCCTAAGGAATAAAATCACTAACCTGGTAACGGTAAGAGGACAGTACTGCAATATCAGACAGAATTTTGGGGCCCCAAACAGTTGGCCAACTGTCGGCAATCTCTTTCACCCTCTTCTCTACTTCATAAACCTCAGATAAGTTTAGATAAGAATTGTCTTGCTCTTTTGTTTCTTTACCGCGTGCGGAGAAGAATAAAAGGGGGCCATATTTCGGGTGCTTCGGTTGGGATTCATGGCCACGAGCAATCAGCTTTTTACCATAAAAATTTTCAGAGGGAAACTTGAGAATACACTCATTGCATCGGTAGTTTTCTGTCAGCCACATAACATTGGATTCCTCATCTAGGTTGGGATTCCTCTTGGGTGCTTCAGCCTCATACTTTTCATAGAGGTCGAAGAGCCTTTCAGCCAGTGACTTTTGCAGTCCCAAACTTCGCGCTTGAGGCGAATAGACTTCTGGGCTCATCTATCGTAAGATAAATGTATAAACGTTGCCCTTAAAGTAACGACTGAAAACATAAACTGTTATTCTTTCTGTAAAGTTTTCTTTGGGTGCATTGGTTTTTTTCCACGTACAGTTTACGTTTTCGATGATACAAACAGTAATAATGGTTACAATACTAATGAACGCTGATAAATAGGTAGAAAATTACGATAGTAGCCGTCGAAATAAAACTTTAGAACTCAGTCCCCTAAATCTAGACCTGTACCTGCATGTGATCTCCCGTAAAGACTACTTTCGTGTTTGTTCCCGCAAACTTCAATGGATTTAACGCCTCGGGTTCAAGCGCCTGAGCGGCCTCATCGATGAGGATATGAGTGAAGAATCCGTGCAACACTTCCAGATCAAGTAGCACTTGTGATGTGCTCAGCGTTGTAATCACTACGCGATGCTCAACGACGTCATCCCGACAAGGCAAAACAAACATACCATCCTTGATCAAACAATACTTTCTGGCTATCTCAGATGCAGTTTCGAGTCTGAAATTAGAGATATGAAAATCAGTTACTCACCGGTACCTGTCCATGTAAAGAAAGCACCTATGCAGTTTCTATGGTCATTTCTGTTAAATCAGAAGCACATACTTCAGTTTTTTATCTGATAGGGCCGTCAGGCAGCCGTTATGAGTCCTTTGTGATTTAGTCCCTGATGAGAAGTTAAGTATATGTATGAAAACTGATTTGGCTCTTTTAGCTTTATTTCTTTACCTTCTCATTGGCTGATAAACCCTTAGAGGCCTTGCTGCAGGTATTCCATTCATGGTGAGATATCCATGCAACAATTCCACGTGGATGTCTGCTGCCCGATTAGAATGAGTGCATAACAGAATTCTGTGGGATTTGTCCAGCTGTACCAAAAGACGCACAGCTTGGTTAAGAGTAAATGTTTTTCCTGTTCCAAACGGACCAAATACAACCAGAGGGAGGGCATTATCCTCAAGGGAAGCAATCCTTTCGATGACTTTCTTCTGATTTGAATTCAAACGCTTGTCGAGAAGCCATTGCCAACGAATTTTTACCTGCAATTTCAACATTCCCGTCTGTTTAAGCTACATATATTTAGAATGCGACCTAAGGTTTCAATGCATACCTATAGAATATGAATGCTTACTTCACTTATGACAGTTCCAACACTTGGATCCGGGAATATGAGACGTAACTGTCCTGAGGTAAGTCTTTCAACAGCTTCGTGCAACTGACAAAGTGGCCACCGATTCAGCTGGAACTGAGCATGAACGGCAACATCACAGGTGTCATGCAGCTTTAGGTCTGAACACAGTTTGGACGGGAGTCTTAGAACAACGCACTCACTCTCAACTTTCTCTACTGGAGCCTCGTAAACCGTTTTAGATCCACTATTGGCCAGTTGGAGCCAGACAGAATTGACGTTGCGGTAAAGGACACGGCCAGCTGCATCGTCTGGTCGTAGAGCGTCTTCTTCTTGCAGATGGAGGACACCAAACAATTCGCCATCCACAGCACACTTCATTCCAGACATGTCGTCGAAAATATTCCACTGAGCATGTAGCTGGGCATTATTTAAGGTGTAACTAAATAAAATAAAACAACCAGGAGAAAAACTAAACAAAAACTAAATAAAATCTTATCATCAATTAACTAGTTATTAGGAGACCTCACCATCCATCGAAAAAAGGTGGCGTAAAAATATCAGTCGTTTTTATGCCATTTCATTTCATCTTTGATTTACGAAACAGGTGTTTATCCTAATTGTAATTCTTCAAGGGTTATAATGATAACCAACTCTTCATGCGCTGTTCTTCCTTCGTAATGGAATAGACGAGAGCCTACTCTTTTTTTGGAAATTTCACTCTTTATGGAGCAGCATATTTCAAACGTGCACCAACTTCGGGCCCCACTGAAGCAGAACATGTGCTAGAAAAGCCTACTAAGTCATTGATCATTGAGTTTGAAGTATATCTACAATCTTCTTAGAACGTACCGTGATATTTCTTCTTTCATGAACCTCTCCTCCACAAATAGTAATTGATGCATGACGTCTTTGTAGATCTCAGGGCTCAGGAGCTCATCAGTGATTTCTACTTGTCCGGGAAGACTGTACTTCCTTGACAAGTGTTCTGCCTTAAGAGCCTCTCTTGTCTCGTGGACGAATCTGACCACTTCCACAGACCTTTCGTCCCATATTGCAGGCGTATGCGTAGCGAGATGTTCTGGTGCGATGGGAAGGGTTATTGACTCACTCGTAACATCAGCATTAAGTTTTTTCATGAGGTAAGGCTTCCTCCCAAAGTCGAATAAAACTAACTGTTCAAAGCTTCCATACAGAGGAGATTCGAACGAGACTGTGAGAGCCACCTTTACACGCCCAAGCTGCCTTATTGGGCTCGGTGACTTGTACCAGGAGTCTTCCAGCTTGGCTGTGGGTAAAAGCTTGTACGTCTCACAGCCTTGCTTTTCTTCAATGCAACCAACGCGAATTTCTGACAAGTGATAACAGCTGTGGTATCGGTGAAGGAGAAAAACATTTGGTAAGGATCCTACCTCGTCTGGCTGAAATGGTGATAACATACAATGCATTTTGTTAAAATGATTCCAAGGTACACCATTTAAACTTTAAATTGCACCACCCGCATCTATCTGCCACAAGTCTAAATGTTTCGGACACCACGACAACCAAAAATGACTAGTCACTTATTTTCTACTTCCCAGTTCTCAAATACATTGTATGCCATACATAAACTGCTGTTGAGTCGATATTATAATATGATCGTTGTTTTAAAAATATACTTAAGGTATCATTTATTATTTTAATCATCATTATTATACTCATTGTTTCAATCATAATCATTTACCTTTTCAAAAATTATAATGGATATTTTAAAGTATGATGTCATCGTTTTCCGTAATTTTCATAAACAAAAGGCTGCATGCTAAGTCGAGTTTATATGAGAAAACTTTAATCTCATAAATGTACTTTAGGTGACCCTAATCTTATGTGATACGCTATATAAATCCACCTTGAGCTTGGAATCGAGTTTTTCGTTGAAGCATTCGTGACTTCATTATTATAAACTTACCTTGAAGCTAAGAGTAAATGTCCACTTATGCTGCTCTTTGTCACGAAGTTTTACACTAAGCTCGGGAGGAGTGCAAGTAACCTCAACTCCGGCCAGACATTCCACTCGCTGTTGACGTCAAAGAAAAAAATTTGATAAGAGATATATTTCCGTGCAAAATCGTAAAGGAATCTTTGCTATTCTGAAAGCCAAGGACAATATTGATAAACGCACAGATTTTGCTCGTTTAGTGTAATCAATTTTGTGTCAACACCCTGTGTTTTCTAAATAAGTTCAGAGTTACAGTTCTTTTGGTCATGAGTCTAGAAAATATTCCTTTTTCAACGTTAAATTGCATTGACTCCAAACGCGCTTCTAAGATCATGTCAGCATATGTTTGCGAGATTTTCTGATCCATCTTTTTTCGATGATTAGGTAATTTTTCAAAAAAAAAACATTGAAATCGATGGAAAAAAGTTTCCCAATTGTTTACCTCTTCTTAAATTAGAGTTTATCCATTTATGTAACATCTTTTCTAAAATTGACATTGAAATGAGAACATAATTGGGGTCAGATTTCGTTTGTTTGTATGTTTACTTGTTTGTTTGTTTGTTTCTGATAAATGTATCCACTGAGGTAGGAGACTTTATAACATCCCAGTTGCAAATATGATAGCTGATAAGGGAAATTTTAAGAGCGCTTGTCTGTAAAAATCAAACATATCGCGGCAAGGGTGGAAAATTCGATTTCTTTCTTATTTTAATGTTAGATAGGCTAGACTATAACTAAAATCACTGGATACTTTTTTTGGCAAAATATCTTTTTATTTCAGAGAAAAATACAAATAACGAAATTCCGTTAAAATCATCATTTTTAGCAGCAAATTATTGCACGAGTTTGAGGGCTTCGAATCACTATCTCGTCTTTTAAACACTCAAATCTTCTTTTTCGATCTCATAAGACCTCACAAAATGATTTTTGTAAACATTGCGCTCTTCTTTGCGCTTAAAATAATTTAATTTCGAAAGCATGCATTTCTCTTCAGTAAAAATACTTTGTGAATAAAATTAATTTTCACCATGTGCTAAACTTTTAAATGGATTTTAGCTTTTGGTGGTTGAATTTCGAAAAGATGTTCTCAATATAACTGTAAAAATTTGTTTGGGCAAATGATTGAGAGCGATACAAAAGCTTTTCAAAGTCCGTTAGAATGCATTTATTTGACCTTTTGCGGTCAACATTCCAATCGCGAGTCACACATATTTTAATATGTTTCAACCCATATGAGGCTGAAAAATATACATAGAAAGATATTTCCAAATGCTCTAACCTCATTTGCCGCAGGAAACCGATCCAGAGACCATTTTAGTGTGATTTTCTTGTCGTTCGTCATATTTAGGTCTGTATAAATGATAACGTCCGATGAAACCACCAACCCTGTCGAACACCATCTTGTTGTCAAACGTTCGATATCTTTCTTCACTGTGGCATCTTATTCGACGGTTCAGTTGACCGCGAGTATTGCTCAGTTTACAATGCAGTAAAAGATTACATCTGATAGTCTAATTCAATACTAAACCGAGTTGACTACAAACATGTACGCCCTTTGAGTATTTGGGTTGTCACGCAATACCGGTAACAAAGGAACTTTAGGGGGTAGGTGAAGGGCAAAACCCCATATAATTAAATATCAGAATTGAACTCTTGGAACCTACAAAATATTTTATTCTGTAAACATTTTTTGTAATAGTGTCATCTTTGTCTGGTGACAAACAGTAAAATACATTTATTTTTTGCAGGGAATTATTCTTGTCTTTTTGGCGCTCTGTGCCAGTTGTACTTATTAGGGGTGTTTTTCTTTCCACTTAAATTGCATGGAATACCCTAATAGCATGAAAGAGAACCTTTTGTACAGTTTAACAACACCATGCTACAAAACGCAGTGGTGGGGATGTGTGGCTTATGTGAGGCTGAGGTGCATTGTTCCGTGGCCAATGGGTGGGGCTTGCATAAGGGAGTTGTACTATTAACCACTGTTAACAAAACCTTAAACTACAGAGGGGCCGACATATGTGCGCTCGGCACAAAATAAGGTCGATCTCATTTTCAGGATCGGTAAATTTGAAAGCTGATTCATGACTTGCGATATTCTTGGTGCATGAAAGTAAAGTAACCACAAACTCCGCCAATAAGCGACTTGAACGAACGACAACCTTCCGTTTTTTACGTAACAAAGTTAACCGTCTAAGTTAGTGTATTTGTGAAAAACAAAGTCCGAAGTACCGCCTCTAAGTGAACAATAGGCATCGTGTAATTACCATAAACCAGGTTTTGTTTACTTCGGCTTACTATTTTTAGCTGCTACTAAATTTAGCTTTTAACGAGTATCAGCTAAAGACCCGATCTCCACGACTTACATGTAAGAGATTTCGATGTTCACAACAGCGAAAAAGCTTAGCAGCAGAGTGACGTCTTTTTACTTTCCCCTTCCCCTACCCCCTAAAAAATAACTTTCCATTGTATGATTTGCATTGCGTGACGACTCTCCGTATACAAAACTTCGTTGCAACATATGTGTAGTGCCACTTTTAAAAGCATCGATCAGATCAACTGCACCACAAACCGAGCAACACTCACAGTTAACTGAACCGCTGGATAAGATGCCACAGTGCAGAAAGATGTCAAACGTTTTCAACGAAGGTTGGTGACAGTTCGCAGATTGACAGGTAGTTTCATCGGACGTTATAAATACGACGAGCGACAAGATAAACACAGTAAAATGGTCTTTGAATCTTTCTTCTACGGTAAATGAGGTTAGAGCATTTGGAAATGTGTACCCATTTACATTTTCCGGCCTCATATGGGTTGAATCATATTAAAGTATGTGTGTGACTCGCGACTGGAATGTTGACCGCGAAAGGTCAAATAACTGCATTTTAACGGACTTTGAAAAGCTTTCGAATCGCTCTCAATCATTTTCCCAAACAAATTTTTTACAGTAATATTGAGAACATCTTTTCGTAATTCTACCGCCCAAAGCTTAATCCATTTGAAGGTTTAGCACATGCTGAAAATTAACTTTACTTACAAAGTACTTTAACTGAAGAGAAATGTATGCTTTCGAAATTAAATTATTTTACACGCAAAGAGGAACGCAGTGTTTACAAAAATCGTTTTGTGAGGTCTTATGAGGTTGAAAAAGAAGATTTGAGTGTTAAAGAGACGAGATTGTGATTCGTTTTTGAATGCGAAGCCCTCAAACTTGTGCAATAATTTGCTGCTAAAAATGACGATTTTAACGGAATTTTGTTATTTGTATTTTTCTCTGAAATAAAAAGATATTTTTCCAAAAAAAGTATCCAGTGATTTTAGTTATAGTCTAGCCTATCTAATATTAAAATAAGAAAGAAATCGAATTTTTCACCCTTGCCGCGAAATTTAGAATTTGTCTGATTTTTACAGACAAGCGCTCTTAAGAACCATCTAATCTCATCTATTACACCATCATGAGGTAAGTAACTTACATCTTCTGGTGGTGCCTTTAAAATTTTCGATATCATTTCTGAACAAAACTCTTCGTCCTTCTCTTTGATTTCCATCGCACGGCTCTCCATTACTTTTCTATCGTACTCCTGTTTCCATTCGTTCAGTTCTTCCTGGCTATGAGCATAGATACACCCTCTGCCAAATCTGCATCGTTCACTTGTATAGTAGCTGTTTTTGAGATAGGACAAAATTGCATTATCGAATAATCTTCATGAGACATATTATTATTTGAATATGAATGAATATTTTGATATAAACTGATGAAAAGAGGATAACTCTACAATAAACAAGAAATTATCCTCAAGTTCAGTTACACAACATTAATTTTTATTACAACTGAGAGCGCTATTTTGGGGCAGTAACTGAGCCTCGAGATTTTACGATACATCCGATATCATCAATTTCGATACTTCTGGCTGAGAGATGGTATTACTGCAGTAGTGATATTTCATCAAATCTGCTAATTATCATACCTCTTGCACAATTTATAAGAGCCATTTGTCACTCCTGGTGGGGGTGGTCTATGCAGCAGCCGGACTGGAGGCTGCTTGGCTGCGGAATTTTCGGCAGAGGCAGATGGCATGCCACTAGATGATCCGGTATGAGCTTCCCGTGGGGTTGGAAGAACTAGATCAGAAATGGAAAGAGAAATTTGGGTTTTCAATTTCATTTTCAACTCGTTACTAGGCCGAGCCGCTGTGGGTAAGCGATATCTGTGTCAAAAACTAGCAACGTGAAAGAAATGTCCGATCCATTATAATACTTATATATGAGTGGGCATGCAGATATACACTGTGTATAAGAATGAAATAAGTATCATGAAACGCGCTGTGTGTCACTTATGCCTCTCCGGAAGACTTCATGGTACAATGTAGGATCCTCTCGATGAGCTGATTGTAATTGAGTCTAAGGGGATAGGCTTCTAAAGAAACTGTGTTGCTGCATCGGTGGGGGGTATGAGATAATTTAGTTTTATGGAATGAGATGATAAAGAAAGTCAACCGCCCTAGAGAGTTTCTAAAGCTTTTAATCAGAAACTCTACGACGGCCAATTAACCTTTTCATTATAATAGAGAAGGAATTATGATAATGAAAATCAACAAGATAGATCCCTATTGAATATTCAACAAAGAGTAAGTCTCTGGTACTTACCCCCTTCTCTTTCCATTGTCCACATGGTTTTCTCCTGCTCACCGTGGGCAAATGAGCACGGTACTTTAAGACAGCGTTCGTGTTTGGAATACTGACGACATTCCTGGAATGCAACAGTAATTTTCACCTCTTTTGGAAACGGCCTTATTAACTCCCACCGTTTCCAAATGTCACTCCAGAAAGCGTACTTGAGCTTCGACCGGTTCTCACAACCTTTACAAGCTTTGCTTTTCTCGAAAATACTTGCTGCCCGCCTACCATTTTTCCAAAGGAAGTCGTCGCACACGACGTATACTCCAGTAGGGACCCTTCTATAATCGTTAGGAGAGTTAATTGAAGGGATGGCAGTCGTCTTTTGAATCGGTGTAGACGGTCTTCCATTGGACTTGAGGGCGCCAGACCAAGTGGAAGGTTGAGAATTTGCTTGGCTTCCTCCACTGAAACTTTGGGTGGATGTAGCATTCTGGTCAACCTCCTGGGGAGTAGGAATGGATTTTTGTGCCGAGTAGTGGATTGGAGTTGAACTTCTTTCAGATTTCTCCGAAGATGAAGACTGATCGTTTTGAGGTGAAACTGCTTTCAGAGATTTAACCATTGGCGTCATGTTAGTAGGAGGTGCAATATGTGTTATAGGTTTTTCCGATGCTTCTGCTCCTGTTAAGACCGTTTGTGCAATCTTAATAGTAGATGTAGGTAAAGGTTGAACGAGTGGTGGAGGTTGTCCAGGTGCCAAGGGCATTGAGCATGAAACGAGAGGAGATTTAGTGTTAAAACTGTCTTCAGTAAGGTTTCTATAGGCATCGGTTCGAATTCGTGTAAGAGCCGCTCGGGATGCAAAAATGGCAGGTGTGGTTGGAATAGGGCTGCTTTTAATAGGGATGCTTTTAAAAGGTATTCCAAACTGAACTCCGCGAAAAGTGTTCAATGGAAGACTTGGATTCGTGACAGTACCAAATCCAGAAGGAGGATTTGCAGTTGAATCTCTGCAAGAAGCTGTCATAAGATATCCTGATCTGTTGCTAATCACTTGAGCCGCAGTGGAATTACCATCTTTTACCTGTGTTATGAGCTGTGTGGGTGCTGTTGCGTTTGTGGATCGTAACATACGTAGGCTCTCTCCAGGGGTGGGAAGTCCTAACAAATATAGAAAATTGAACCCCTTAGCTTTTAATATGGCAAAAAGAGAAAAAAAAAGAATAATTTACACTTACTGCCTTCTCGCTGCAATTCCCAGATATGCCTTTCTAGCTCCCCATGGGCAAAAGTGCACGGCTCTTTTCGACAAGACATTCTAGTTGCAAAATGCCTGCATATATCAAGTACAGCTGTGGGTGGAATCATACCGGCAGGGAATTGCCGTATTACTTGCCACTGACGGTGGATGTCATTCCAGGTAGCGTACTTTAGCAAACTCAGATCCTCGCAGCTTTGACAGGTCTTGGCCTGTGCACTGTCGTAAGGAGGCCGTCTACCCAAAAAGTGATCACAAACGACAAATACCTTTTCCGGGATTGGTGCATGATTGTTCAAACCAGTCAGCTGATCCGCATGCGTATTAGTCGTTATTGTAGTACCACCGTTTTGAACCGTCTGGATGACTGAGGTTGGTGTTGGAGACAGTTGTCCCTTTTCGGTTGAAGGAGAGCTAAGAAAACCAAAGGAACTACCTTGGTGGATAGGAAAAACGTTTGATGATTGATCAGGCCTTTTGTTCAGAAAAGTTGTCACTCCAAGTGGCACGCGAGGTGCTATCGAATTGCTCCAGGCAGCACCAGAAGAGCTCACTGATACCTCGAAAGGCTCTCTTTCCAAAGTTGGAAAGTCTTCGACATTGTGAAGGTTTGGGATTTCAGTCTTTTTCTGGCTCAAGCTGCTGACTTTGTCTATAGAGGTAATAGCAGATGCCTTGTGATCCCGTGATGCCATAATTGTTTCAGATGATAGCTCGGTCGATTTAACTTTTGTTGCTGTGATCGGAGTTTTTACAGTCTCTTCTGTACCGCCTTTAAGTAAGCGTTGCTTCTCAGCGTTTGGCTGAGTACTGACGTTATTGGATGATTGAAATATTTCGCCTGATGAAACGATGCAGTCAAGACTGGATACCTTCTCCTCAAACTGCCTTGAACTGTCTAATGAAATTTCATTTCCTCTCACTTGCGATTGTCGCCGAGTATACTTTACAAGTGTAAAGTCTTCCCCGTCAGAATCCTCGCGTCCATCAACTTCCGAAACATTATGCCTATATGTTAAAGTAGCTGTGTTCATGTTGAGGTAGCCAAAACTATTATCTGGATCTTCAATGACGGAATCTGTTGCTTGAGAGTCGTCTTCGTCCGGACTTTCCTCAGGTGATGAATTCGTGTCGTTACTCACCGGTGGTAGACCTGATCATATATAGAGACAGAGTCAATTTTGTTTCACAGAATAGATGACACACCTTACTAAGGTCAGACTACGTTGGACGAAACGAGAACATATTACAATTCCCAATTCAACAAATAATGGAAAGTAGGAAAGGAAATTAGGCAACGAAATTTCTCAGGAAGGTCCGTAGTCAGAATAAGCCAATTCCTTTTTTTGTTGTCAGTACTATCTACTAGTAGATCTTATAGCTACCAAGTACGTCTGAAAAGTCTTGCATGTGTGCTATTTTGTTGTAAAGCACGCAGAAAGCGGCTACAGCACAAAAGTACAAATTGGCAGATGGCGTGACAGCTGAAGCTCAGCTCCATGTTTTGTACTCTGATAAAGCACGCTCTTTCAACCGATGACAGCGCTCGTTATAGCCGTACTTTATTGTAGAAGAATTCAATATGAAGTCTTAACGATTATCGAAACTGTAACCTTCGCCATGCTCATCCATCATAGATACTCCCATGTAACCTGATCGCCCGATTGTAGCAGGAATTGAAATACCTCGGACCATACGCCACCGTATAATTTTTTTTCAAATGCATTCACTCGATAACCTATCATAATCGAATAAATACAGCAATTATCACTCATCGAAACATGTATTGCACGTTTCTCTTGACTTGCCTTGATTTATTAACATCAACCTCACTTTTAGAGATTACTCGTTCATTGAGGGAATTTTTTTCAAGATTAAGAACTGCTGTGATTTACCTTTTGAACTCTCGCTTTTCTTCTGAGCCTTTTTCTTCGCTTTCCTTTTCTTTTTCTTCTCCTTATTTCGCTTCTTTTTCTTCTCTTTACTTCCTATAGAACGGTGTATATTTTTCGTAGAAAAAAAACATAGAATGAGCAAAGAAAATGGTTGAAAAAAAAAATAGGAATAAATCAGTAAGGGAATAAATCTAAAAATGTAAAAAAGAAAAGGAGAAAAGCGAAAGATAACGTATTCAGAGTGTGTCCACGAGACGGCACCAAGCAGTCGCGCTACATGTAATCTCACCGATGTTAGTGAAACCTTCTCAGTTTAAAGGGTCTACCTTAAAACTACTCAAAAGGACAAACTGGTTTCTGTTTTGGTGTTTAGTGGGGGGAGATAGACCACCCCCCGGTTTTTCTTGTTTTTCACAAGGGAAATCGCTTCAAAATAGGTAAAATGTAGCTCTCACTGCGGTGATATTTAAGCGATTACTCTGAGGGTTTGCATACACATTATTACATCCTTATCAAATGTCCGACACAAGTATCAGTCAATTTGATTGACGGCTTGTTTATCAACAGAGGCAAATTAATGACTGTGTTTTTAGACTTTAGATTCATTCAAATATTTGACAACTTTGAGGTCAAATCTCTCCCCTTGCCAGAAAGCTACAACACTTATTTCAATTCCTCTTTATAATCCATAATTTCATCTCTGAAAACCATGAAAAAAATCTCTGGGCATTACTGTATTTTTATCTTGGATGCCTTTCAAAATCTGCGACTGTGACAAGCTTCTCTCGAGTTCACTTGTCACGCAATTCTGGCTCTAGGCGGTCACTTGACCAAATAAACCTTCATTTTATGGCTCTTTGTATAAGATGACTGATCAAAAAAGCTAAGAAGTGTAAAATCTTTCAAGATTTTTTATGAGAGTGGAAATTTTCACATTTAAAGAGATGGATGTGGGCGAAATGTGGATTGGAAAATCGTCGTTTATTACTTCTTTCGTTTATTACTTTGGGGATTTGCTAAAATCAGCAAAAATGGCTTTTCTACGGCACATGACATTCATTAGTCTATGATTTGAATGTTTATTATTATTATCACACAGTTTACAATAAGGAAACTCTATCAGGAGAGGAGATTTTAAAGTCACATGTCGCGTGCTTGTTGACGTAGGTAAGAGTCTCGGCTATTCCTGACCGTAGACGACGGGAAACTTTGCCCCCTCGTTTGAAAGGAAATATCCATAGCCCCATGAAATTCATTAACTTCGCCATATTGCCAGAAAATAGGACTGGAAAAAGTTGTTTCCACTTTCCACCCTCAAGGAATTCCACGCAGAAATAGTATTTGTAGCGTGACTGCGTGACCTTTCTTGAGACATAAAAACTGTTTACCTTTTTTCCACTACTTGTAAAACTCCTTGATGAAGTCTGCTATTGTCAGAAGAAACGCGTGGGAATTAAATAAAACTTTTACTTTCTCAGTTCGTGCAGTGATGCTCACAAGTCTGTTCCGTCAAAAACGCTTTTAATGCCACGAAGAAGTCACGTCGACCTCGACAGAAAAATTTGGCTCCCCCTGTCATAATCAATGGTTTGATACCGTAACCATCAATTAAGGTACATCATTGCGCTTTGATCACAGTAATGAAAAAATGTACGTTTTCTAACGCTCGCCACATTTATTCTTTGGAAAATTACTTTACTGGAGGGCGACGTCATTAAGCTTGGCGCGTCTTGACTCTGGCCGACGAAAATTGCCGACGATGCAGCGAGTTGAGCCCCATGAAATTCTTGTCAAATGTTTGGTTTTCAGGCGAAAAAAGGAAGACAAATTCCGAACGGTATTTCAAAAAGGTTTAATCATTAGTCAATTTATGAACTGTTTATAACAGTCAGAAAAAAAGCAGTATAGAAACAACCGGCGTATTGGTCAAATGAATTCCAATTTATTCAACAAGGAGTTTGTAAGCTCATTTCTCCAAAAAAATTTGAAAGGGGGTTAATGTTTTATGATAGTCGAAGACAGACATCTCTGAAACGTCACATAACTTTCGAAGAGTTTACGCCTCTGGTAATATTTTCTTCTCTCTCGCAACAGCGCAAGAGACATTGTTTTATCTAATGTAGTGTACGTGTATCAGTTTTATTGCGTCTTCATAGTGATACCATATAAGTAATCGAGTGTCTAAAAAGCCCTCAATTCAACCTAAAACTCGAATTAATAGAGTCAAGATGGTGCATTTGTCTTATTCATCTGCAACTAACTATAGAACCAAAAGTTATCTTCTCGCGCTGGCCAAGGACGGCAACAGCTCATACCCCCAAATTCGTGGGTGTACAGCATAAAAGAAAATTTGAAAGACGTCGATGTATCCCAAATATGTGTTTCGTCCGAGAAGAAGCTTATTCTAGCTCGTATTGGCTTATTTGGAGATAACGAAGGCTGCGATTCCACGATATGCCTCAAATATCGTGCACAACTTGATGTGAGATTCAGACCTTCGGGTTCGTAAATGCCAGTATTCTCCTCATGAAAAAGGAGACATAATCGGAAAGAGAGGTAAATCTGAAGATGGCAGAAGAAATCAAAGCTGGTGGCGAGTCCTCCTGGTGGCAAGGAAGAGAACGCGTGCTGTAGCTGTTATCTTAGAGTCAATGAATAGGGAGGAAGGGCAAGAAGAGCGCTTATTTGAACATCAGTTTCTTGACAGTTGATTTGTGACCAAGATGAACTTTATATCATATGATTGCTAGGGATACGCAGATTCTGTAAAGGCGCTTACATCAATAGAGGCGGGCGATCCTACCTCTGACTTCGGAACTGTGACAAGTTTATAACACAGACCAACTGGCACAGTATAGAGCACCTAAGGGCCTCACTAGGTTCATCACATTAGAAACCTTCCGCAAACTAATCGTAGAAGCGGGTGGTTATCAGCAACGTGCACAGATCTCTGAACCCGGGTTATTGCGAGGATCATACCCAATCCGTCAGACAAAACAAGGGGGCGAAATATTCTTGTTAAGAGGAAAGATGTATTAGGACGTCTCAGTCATTCACTGCCATCCAAAAGTACCTTAACATAGGCAAACACAAGGTGAAGGTGACAAAAAGACCCGCCTAGACGAAATCAAGAGCAAATGGACGGAAACTTGCCATTCTGTAGGGGGTGGCTACGTCCAAGGTCGGATCTCAGGCAAAATTCTGACGAATAATCTCTAACTAGTCAGTTGGGCTATGGATGGGCTCTTTGGAAAACACAAAAAGCAGCCGCCTTTCCTCAGAAAGCAAAGAATTGTCTCCTAGACGTGTGCTGGATTGTGGAGGAAACTAGTAAGGCAAACGCCTCTGATGTGGCTTCCCAAATATCGAGTTTAAGAGACGAGACCGGCCAGAAATGTTGTCCAAGACTGATTGGCTCAATACTTCAGCCGGTCATCTGTCCTTAAAAAAATTGGTTTATTGAAGAGGTCCCCTTCTGTAAGTATGAATGAGGATGAAGAAATCGATGCCGATGATCTAGCTTCAGAAGTCGAAACTGACGGAAGAAGGCAGAAGATAAGGAGGGACCTTGCAAAATTTAGAGGAAGACTGCATGAGAAGGTACAGCTGCTATTAGGCTACAAAAAATGCAGACCTTTGCATCTCACTTTTCTTTAAAATTTATTGTCTTTTCCCACGGAAACAACTGGCTATATATGGGGAATTATGATGGACATTACTGTATGTATGTAAAGTATAGTACATGATATGAATTCAGTAGATAACAATTCCCCATACATGATGTACCTAGGGAAATTTGCAGGAAGCCTCCTGGTCAAAATATTGTTGGCTCATTCACATGTCACGCAATTAGACAACACTCGATCGAGAGGGATGTAAAGTTACATGTAGTTATAGAATCCTTGAAAAGGGTACGTTACGTTCGAAGCAAGCAAATAGACATGGAGATCTGCAGAATATTCTGAAATTATTATCGAGAAGACAGCATGAACAACGCACTTGAATAATTCCTACAAAAAGTCTTCGGTTCACGCGGCAGATGTTAGTTTGGCGGAGTTCTGCATGGAAATGTTCGATGGCGGTAAGTGACGACGACAAAACTATTTTAATATTATTTTCGGAATAGCAGCACAGTTTTTAGTATGATAGAACTATTGATATTTCCTCTCAAGCGAGAGCGCATAATTTCTCGTCAGTAAAAGCCGAAATTGTCGCACACTGGAGCTTGTCATAGTGTCAACCAACACGCTGCGTGTGACTTTGAAATCTCCTAAAATGACCGATAATGGTGATAAACAATAAAATTATCGACTAATGAATTTTTTTGTGCCATACAAAAGCCATATTTGCTGATTTTAGCAAATCTCCAAAGTGAGATGCTCTCTAAACGTGAAATTTTCCATTCCTACAAACAATCTCGAAAGTGTCCATATTTCTTAGCTATTTTGATCAATCATCTTGTATAAAGAGCTACAGAATGTAGGTTTATTTGGTTAAGTGACCGCCTAGAGTCAGAATTGCGTTACAGGTGTAGCTGAGAGAAGCTTGTCGCAATTGCAGAGTTTAAAAGGCATCCAAGACAAAAATACGGTAGTTCCCATAGATGATGGTTTTTAGAGAGGAAATGATGGATTATAATGGGGGAATTAAAATGTGTCGTAGCTTTCTGACAAGGGGAGACATTTGACCCCAAACATTGTGAAATATTTGGATAAATCAAAAAGTCTAAAAACACAGTCATCTATTTGCCTCTGTTGATTGACAAGCCGTCAATCAAATTGAATGATACTTCGGACATTTAGTAAGGATGTAATAATATGTATGCAAACCCTCAGAGTAATTGGTTTAATACCATTGCAGTGAGTACTTCATACATTTTACTTATTTTGAAGCGATTTCCCTTGAGAAAACCAAGAAAAAGCGGGGTGGTGGTCTATCTTCCCCCCACCCCCGGAAAAACAGAGACCAGTTTGACCTTCTGGGTTTTTGGGTAGACCCTTTAAACTGGAAAAGTTTCATTTAAATCAGTGAAATGGCATGTGGCGCAACTGCCTGGTGCTCTCGTGGACACACCCATAATCACGCACCTTGTTCTTTGGTCTGCAAGCCTCCAACTTGTGCGGGATGCAGCTCTACAGATTGTTCTTTCGCTTCTGTAGAAAGAGAAGAATAACCTCGTATATAAAGAAAAATGGCCAACATTATGACAATCCAATGATTAAGGCGAAAAACGTTTCGAAAGGTCTCACCATCATTCAAAACAGGCAAAGAAGACTCTTTTATCTCTTGCATACTCTGTTGCTGTAAAATAGATGTGGTGCATAATGTTAGTTAACATGAAGGAAAACGTGCAAGAAAAACTGCAATAAAACTATGTTGCAAACAGGTAATTTAGTGTTAACAACTGGTTTGAAAACATAAATTAGCCACCGTAAAGAGTAAAAAAGCTGACGTTTCGAGCGTTAGCCTTTCGTCAGAGCGATTGGAGGAATTGTGGGTTGTGTGTGGGTTTATATGCAGAAAGAGGAGCTACGCCATTGGTGGGAATATGGTGACGAGAAAACAGGAATAAATTAGTTGAATGAAAAAGCGCTCATTGATTCCGTGGGGATTAAGGGTGCCGATTTGGAAGATAAATTTTTGTTCTTGTGTTTTACGGCTTTCCGAACTGCCTAGATGTAAGGAAAGGCCGCAAACTGCCATATGCTGTTTAGAATGGTTAGGAAGATTAAAGTGTCTAGCGACTGGTTTGGATGCATCCTTGTCATTTCTTTCCACGTCGCGAAGGTGTTCTCGGAATCAGTCACCTAGTCGTCTTCCTGTTTCGATAGCCACGTTTATCGAAAAACTGGCACATTGTCTCTGATTTTTTGGAAAAATCAGAGTCGTCACTACATAAACGACGAAGTCTGAGAAACTATGAAAAAAGTATGGAGTTCTTGACGTGTGATGGATGTGAAGATGAATAGAACAAGTAACTATGTGAATCTGTAGGTTTTTAGTAAACACTAGTACATAAGAAGTTGCCTTCAATTGAAATTTTGATGTCTAGAAAAGCCAAAGAAGTGTCGGAATATGAATATGAGATCTCAACATTAATTGTAACCCACACGATTAGTTCCTTATAAACAAACACTTTAGTAGTAAACGCACGATATGGTAATGTTATACCAAGAAAGAATTAAGAGACTTAATTTCGATTGAAACCTGTATTTCTTTAACGGTTCATGTATTCCATTTCCTTGAATTGTACCGTCCCGTTAAAAAACTCTCAAACTGAATAATTTTTTTTAAATGATAGTGCTTCTCTAACCTTCAAAAAATTCTCAATGTTTATCGATCGTATTCAGTGGCTAATTTGGCTTTCAGTGGTAAACGTTAGGTACAACATGTGTAACTCACGGTGACCTCGCTCAGGAGCGGACCTGCGCTTGATAGATTCTTTCTGTTTTCTCCCAGGGACTCTGACTTGTTAATATTTGGCTTCTTCTGGGTAAGATATAAAGGGCAATATTAATTTTCAAATAGTCTTTCCCAAGTCGTAAAGATCTCGTTGGTTCTTGGAACTTAGAATTAGTCTTGGAACGTGTAAATAGACATGAAATAACCTCTTTTTAACAGAATACAAAACCTTAATATAATCCGTAGTTGAGCGTAAGCAATATTTCCAGAAAACATTTTCTCTTTGGATTGATATGTAACGTTTCGCGTTTGGGACAATTGAGTGATAATTTTTTTGTGTAGTTAAGGAGAGGCAGGATGGAAACATATATATTTTTCTTGCAGTATGACAATGATATATACCTTTTCTCTTGCTTCTTTCATTTTGTTTTGTCTTATTTGCCGCGTAATTTCGCTCATTAGGTGTAAAGCTTCCACATCATTGCATCGTAGCCAAAGTACTAAAAAAAAAAAATTGCCACAATAAGAGAACCAGTCGGTTTACAATATATATGTAACAAGCAATGGACAGGGATTCCCCAAGCAACAAAACGGTCAAGTACACTTTTCAATCCCCCGTTTCTTAAGCTACGCAAATGCTCAAGGCCTCCTCGAACCTTTACGTTCTCTTCGTAAGCGTTGTATGTTCAATTAAACTTAAATTTTTGGCCTTAGCCATCGATCGGCTCAGACCTATTACATGCCTACGTCTCAATAGGTGACAGCTTATGGACATACGTCATGGCCCACGTTGCAGAGATTATCCCTTGGGATATCAAGTTCCCAGGAGTTCTGTTAATCCCCCCCCCCCCCAATCCGGGATAAAGTCGTTATCAATTGCAGGTTAGTAACCCTCCGCTTCGTAACATAACGTAATTAAGTCTGGCCACGGTAATTAACCTTTTCACCGTGACTAAAACAAAAGGCATATTTCTTCTCGACTGTTGCAAGAGCGTGGGTCTTGAGACAAGTGGCTCAATCAACTTTTTTTTAGTGTAAGATGTATCTTGAGAATTATTGAAACTTGATCTTAATAACTGTTATTTCAAAATAATAGCCTTTAAAAGCTTAAGAAGTACGAAAGGAATTCTTAGGTAACAATACCCTCTGCACAGACATCTTTTGCTTCTTTGCATCTTCCCTGTAGGAGGCATAACAAATGCAATGAATCAGTCAATGCACTGTCATTATACTTTCAAGCTCAAAGTCAGCATGTTTTAGTTAAATTCACAGTCATCTTAAGGGAGTTTTCTAAAACTTTCCCATCTTTTGAAAACTGTTTGTGTGGTATAATGTCTTACCATTTGTAACAGACACTCAGCCTTTCTAATTTGGACTCCGGGTAAAATCTTGAAGTCTAATAAGTTCAGAAGTTCATTATAACAGTCCAGAGCTAGTCCACGGGTCTTTGGGTCAATAGACACTTCGTCGGCAAGCTCAAGCGTCTTAAAGAGTACTACCTTGATCATGAAATCATCCTATATGAAGAGGAGAAAGAGAATACTTAAAGTATTCATAAACGCCCTTTTTAACATTAAAAGCCTGATGGCCCATCCTTAAGCAGATTAGCCAGGTCTTCGTAACATGAGGTAGCTCCATTGGGTTGTTGCCTTAGAACTCCACAAATTTACCAGGCCAAGGCTCACACATACTCCTCTCGATCCGTAGCACAGCGTAATTCAACGAGTTTGTTTATCCAAGTTTATGTAACTAACCCTAAGTCGCTCATGCTTTGGCCCCTTTATGGTCCCTAAGTTTTTGATTTGTATCATCTACGTTTTGAATTCACTTTTTGTATCTGAGATGAATACGAAATCGATTTTCGCTGTGATGAACACTAATTGAGCAGTAGTGGAAACAAGGCCTGAAAAAAAATCAGGCTTCTACAGGATTTGAACCCACGATTTCTGGGATACCGGTGCAGTACTCTACCAACGAAGCTAATTATTTTGGTTCGTTATAAATCTGTGAAGTGATAAATAAATGACTGTGAATATATGAAAATCATATATTGACACCAACTTTTCTAAACTCCTCCTTTAGTTTCTCCTTCAGATCATTCACAACTGTTTTAGTTGTCGAACACTGCAAATGAAGTACAAAGAATACTCATTAATTGTTAAAGAATTTTTAGTTTTAATTCTTGCTTTTATGGAAAAAATAGCAGTAACTGTACTTTAGTCACCACTTGTTTTTCAAGAGGCATATCAAAACTAGGACACATCATGTAAGCTGATTTTGATATTAGCTGTTATCTGAGCAAGTTTTTCATTTTCACTCACGTTTGGTCGTAAATGCTTGCACCAGACTGCTATTGGAAAAGCCGCAACGTAATCTTCAAGACTCATGATTGCTTTCGTCTTGATGAAAAGAGACTTTGCCAAGTTTTTATTGTCAGTTCCATCAGCTATTTCGATAGCTAGCAAGGCAAAAGGATCATGAGATAGTATAGTTTCGAAAAATTATCACAATTCTTCGGGGCGTGGATAAGTGATTCTTGGAGTTCATTATATTTTTTATTGGCCATTTAGGCTTGGTGGGCAATAGCATAAGGTTGATGATTAACTAACAAGATGCATTTGAAAAAGGTCATTCTTTCGCAGCTAAGCAGCTTTTTAAGCGTCTAATAGGTTTCAAGCTATCACAGCGTCACAAATGTTGAGAGTCAAATAATCATAAAATCTTCAGCAACTACTTAAATTAAAGCTAGATGATAAATCGTCTTCGATGAAATTTAATAATGTCATCATGCCTTCAAAAAAGAGAAAAAGACAAGAAAAAATTAAAGAAAAGCTTTGTATATCTAAGTTAAAACATTTTATAGAGAATAAAAGGCAACATTTACCTCTTTCACTGTCGTGGACAGCCTCAAGATACTTGCCCTGATCAAGTAAAAACAACAGGAATAGTTGTATATGACTTCATACAGGATAAGTGTAAAGCAAAAATGCAAAAAAAGTTCCGCTGCATCTTTACAGGACCTACGGAATTAAACTCACCATCTTAAAGTAACACACGGCTCTTTTGCGATATAGCTTTTCGGAAATGATGGCTATATCCATGGAGGGAGGAGCCTGCTGGTTTAACGCTAAGGTGTAACACATCAATGCATCTTCATGTAGCTTCGCTTTGACGTTTTCATCTCCCTGCTTCATGAGCTCTGTAACAACTGTGTACTGTGGATGTAATGAAAAAAGTTTTAAAAAAAATGAGTAAAGTAATAAGTAGATAGACTGATCAATCAGTCAATCAATCAATCATTCAATCGATAAAAAATCCCTACCTCATACATGGATTTTAGGCATTTACATAAGACATTTTCACCTTAAGGACAGGCTCTGAGCTATGATAAGTTTTGTTTTGTTTTTTAATTTTGATATGATAATTATCATTATTGTGATGACGGTCACAAAACCAAAGATCCTTAGAAGGGACGGCCTTCTTACCTTGTCATACTTGTGTTCGATGTTATTTGATACTTTTCTGAGTTTTGCATTTAAATTTGAATACAACGTGAGTTACTGAGTGTGCCTTACCATGAAAGGAGCCGGTATAAATTCCTTCACAAAAGGACCCGGCATAAAGTCCTCTTCATCCTCACTACGGGTAATAAAATGAACGATGAGAAACATGAATTCCTTCGAGTTAATTAAAATAACGTTTGTATGTTACTAAGTACGTTTGCCTGTTTTTTTTTATTATTGTTATGCTGCTAACCATTCTTCCTCATCCAAGACAGAGAAATGACCGCCTTCAGCCATCTTGTGGATAAATTTCAAATAGGAACTAAGAAAAAAAAAAAGAGAGAAAAATGAGAAGGATTTCCTAATTTGTCGAGTTTGTTTTCATAAGAAGCTATAACAGCTTAGGTTTATGAGGAGTCAATATGTCCGAAAATGTTGAAGCAAGTTCTGACTCTTGAATTCTAGGCACTTACGGCAAGCCCTTTGCCAGGAGGCAGAAAGGGATTATGTAAACTGTCAAAAACGCGATAACTTTTACCTAAGAACAGTGAAAAAGATGAAGTTTTAGTTTCACCTTAAAAAAAAATTTGTCAATTTTGCTAGAATTAACCAAATAAAGCATTTCTGTATCCATCAACTGAGTACATGATATTCTAAATTTCCAACGCTAAAAATTTTAAGCCGATTGTAAGTTCGTAGCTAGGCCAAGCTGGGCATTTTATGTCTAGGATTAGCTCAATGATACGTCAGATCACGTCAGTCAAAGCGAACTGCACTCTTTTGAGATAAACCATTGGTTTACGTATCCATTTATTTAGCTCGTTACCTAAGCCAAAAACGAACGTAACAATCAAGCAATTACACCCATGTATTACTACTACAGAAGCAATTGCCACCAAGAACTGAAAACGGGGTGAGAAAGGACGAGTTAACGCTAATCATCTTGTACTCGTCCTCAGTCCGTCCAGCTTTGGAGATATATCAAATGAAATTCATTTTCTAGTCATCGAAGAAGGCAATTTTGAAGAGAACTCAGTAATTACCTTGTACTGAATATGGAGGAATCTTAATCATATTAAGATGTAGAAACGCTCCGATTGGTGAGAGCTTTTGAAGCAACAGCAACGATAATCAATGCTTAAGGTACAAGGCCCTGCAAACCACTTTATCAGCAGTTTTTATTCCTGCCAAAGCACATTCGAAACTCGAGTAGATCACATATCGATAAAAACGTCTCATGAGTTCACGTCTTTGAGATGATGCTATACATAGCTACGTGCGAAACAGCAAGGATGGCCGAACAAGGACCAAAATAATAATTTAAAGCAGAACATTACCTGATAATTCAGATTCTATCTTCTCTTTGCCTTGTAGGATGCTGAGCATGCGCAAAGAGTTTCTTTTAAGCAACATTCAAAATAAATTTCAATCAATATGACGTGCTTTGTATTTTCTCTCCTATAATTTCCTTAGACCACTTATACATTACGTTTATCAAATCATCGTTAATTTCTCATCGTCTGTGGTTTTTCCCAAAGAAAATTAAATTAAGCATTACGTATGAATTCAGTTTGTCACTTTCCGCGACATACATATGAATTAATATTTTAGAGCATGAAATTTTGTGTTGTGTTATCTTGTAGTGATTAAAGAACCGTCGGTGTAAAATTCTACTTTCAAGTATCAAATTAAAATCTAAAAAGAGAAGAGTTGCGCTTCCTGGTAAGCTCTGACACTATTTTCACTACGCGTTCGATTCTTACCCGGCCATATTTGCATATCAAAAATAACAAAGGTCCATAAGATAACATGTACTGGCAGTAGAAACAAAACGCTTGGTTTCCGTCACGAGTGAAGCATTAATGTTAGATATTACAGAAATAATAATAAAACATACTCACGAGTATTTCGTATTCAAACAACCTACTTGTCGTGTTCGAGAATTTATTTGTATCGCAGACTTCGTCATTCAAGCTATATAGCTATGCTCGACATTGCGTAATGACATGCAAAGAACCGAAAGAACTCAGTCATAACATTTAGGTTTCGTTTAGGTTGTTCACACTTGCCTACCTTTTTGTGGACGTCTTTTCTTCTGAGTTCTTCTCAGACAGGCTGGAGTTTAATAAAAAAAGAGCATCAAGCCTTTCTCTGTTCTACAGAACAACAAACAAACCATCGCATCGAAAAGGAATATCAAGCCATGAATATTACTCCGAAAAATATGTATTTCCGGTACCTTTTCTAGGAACTTGCCTCTTGACCCGATTGGTCGGTCGACGTGTTCCGGCATGTTCTGCAGTAAACAGTGCCACATTTGACCGGCACAAGGAAAACACAGGTATCCACTTGTTATGACAACATCGAAAAACGTTTGAAATCGGTAAAGCAATTCATCTATAGCTACCACTTTAATAACTTTTGCCAGAAGGCATCGATATCGTTATTTTCTACTGATGCGTTATGCAAATTTTGTCGTTAGATAATATGAAATTTACGCGCTTATCGAAGCATGACGTTAACCTGTGGCCGGTGAAGAAACTATATTTAACGATTGAGTTAATTTAACGATATTTCATTACGTGAGCAGGCCATTAAACAAAGGCATGACCTGGCTAACTCAGAGTTGGTTGTGAATTTCTCATCCGGATTTATACTTTTTCTTTCCATATGTTTTGTTTTGCTCAATTTTGCCCGATAATTTCCCAGAGCCCGCAAACTGAATAGCTTAAGTATACAAAAATTTTCTGTATAGCAGCCGCCGCTTATCGTTTTTCGAATAACTGGTCCCAGTGTGAAAGAAAGAAGAAATTGTCACGGCATTGCTCCATTTAATAATTCATTTAAAAAGTTAGATCCCATGTTGCCGTGCGTCTGATAAATTAAAAATATGAGTTTAAAGTGTGTTAAGAATCAGAAGTAACACACAAGGTGCAGTCACGCGTGTCACGATGTTATTACCGCATTTTGACTTTCTCTATGATCTATAACTAACCAGATGTACAGCAACATGGAATCTATTTGGATTTAAAAACAACGAAGTAGTATAAAATTGCCAATGGTGACAGCATCCATGCGTTGGTCTCCCAATAGCTCATATTAAAATAAGAACCAACCAGAACGGGTGTATTATTCAGCTTTACGTGGAAATCGAATATTGCTTTCGTCGCATTCCGTTTCGGTACAGACAAGACAATCTATGCCAACTGAGACAATATTCCTTGGTAGCCCGTAAACTGCATTTAATGATATCAGTCATTTCCCGGGTAATATGAGCCTGAAAATGGTGAGGATATAGGAAATGGGAGGGGAAGGGTGGGAGGGGGGGGGGGGGTTGTCTCTTATCAAGTTCCTTGCGTGTTGCGTTTCAGTATCGTTCATTTTGTTTCGGTTGCTTCGCATCTTTTACTTTCCAACTGAATTCACTGGAGAGTTATTGTTTCAATATTTTATTTGAGTTGTGTCTTGAAAAGTATTTGTGTAAAAATATAGAAACTAAAACTGTAAAATTAACTTTTTTACTGGGATACCTGTGGTAGCCCAGTCATAAAATGCCTTTGTTTTTTTGTCTTTTTTTTTTCCTCCGCCACAAAATGGAAAAATTGCGCAATAGTACCCAGTGGTCATTGCGCCCTCAACACCATGACAACTAACTGTGATCCAATGAGGGTGAAGGTGTTCACATGCTGATCACGTGTTATCTTGATGATGATTGACGTTGTCATGCACGGACAGGTCCGGGTCACATGACGAACACGAGATTTTTCCTTAGAAAACTCTTTTGTCGGTCGTTTTGTATTTCAACGTGTTCTGATTACGATCACCTGAAGCATTATAGCGCAAACGCTCGAAATACTTACAGACGCATACACAAGTCGTATTGTTCGCCGCCAATCCACACTAAAAGATGTTATTGAGCGGTAATTTTGGACCGGATTGAGTCGCGAACTGTGTATCCGTTGTAGTTTCTGGTGATTTCTGCCGTTTTAAGCTTGCTTTACCATCACTGTTATTCACATCATCTACTTTTGTTACGTTGGTAAAATCTGTACAGACATCACACAAACCAACTCGCGCACAAAGTAAGAAGAGTATATTGAAGGCTTGAAATTATATTACGATCGATTTTCATCAAGAAATGGGTCAGGAATTTTCCACAATAGTGCAAATAATCGTGAAGGCTGATCGAGGAAAAGCGATTGCGTGACGCTTGGTAAGCTGTAAGATGACATGTTATTATTTACCAGACGTAAAAACTCTTCAGATTCTCAGTCTGCATTTTGTACCCACTCTGCAGTCTCCAGTCTATATTTTGTATCCGGTCTGCTGACTGCATTTTGTACTAACAGGTATCTGTGGCACCAATACAGTTTATTTTTGGTTACATTTATTCGCACAACACACATAATCTACCACAAAATACCTGTGTGTGAGGTAATTCGACATTTTCATTCTTTTCCACGTTAATACTCTTCTTTCCTTTTGTAAGAATGTTGACCACCGGTAATCCACCCACCCTACAAAAAATAACTCTTGCATGCATAGCATGCCTATGTTTTGAAATAGGTGTATGCCCTTAGCCAGACTTGAGCTCACTATTTCAGTATACTAATCCGACACCCGTAGTATCACTACACTTGATTCCAAGGATCCAGTACCATCCAGGTATCCCAGTTACCCTGCTCACAGGGTCTAGTCTTTATTTTCAATGCATTAATTAATATATGCTGTGTTCTACAGTTGACCGAATCGAGTTTCGTACTTAAATTGGATTTTATTCTATGTTAATACGTTTTCCTCTAAGCACCGCGTATCCTTTTTCAAAAAAGATTGGCGAATTCGGCTTTGGATGGATCAGAATTCCATTCAGCAGAGGAGTGAATACTTGCTTGACCATTTGACGTGTTTTAGAGGGAGATTATATATGTTGAGGCAGTTTAGATGTGAGTAAGTTACCTACTAATTTATATCTACAAGAATGAATTTAACATGTGGGACTTGACCTATGGAGTCAGATCTTTTAAAATCAACGAGCTTCTTGGGCTACCAAACCTGCTTGAATTTACGCCATCAGAAACTGTGATTTTGAGTCAATTTCAGTAATCTGTCGCAATCTGTCGCCTTTTGGCAATCTCTCCTTTCGGTCGACGTCTTTTTCAGGCGTAGAAGGCCCATGAATAATTTAGAATTGACCACAAATTCTCAGGTCTACTTAACAAACAAATGTATAATGGCTTTCAAATTTAAGGAATCAAACTACAACTGAGACACGATATTACATGTAAACATGCAGTCTCAAGCCTTGAAAACAAAATTTTGCACTTGACTGTTTGCGAATGAAGTATAAGTTTTTAAAGCTCGATAAAAGTAAAATTCACAATCGTCATTGTGTTACAATTCACCCTCGAGATCATAGCCATACCTTTACGTCTCGATAAAAGTTTGCTCTCGTGCTGGAAAACAAGGAATCAGGCGAGACAAAAGTGGGAGGTCAATAAAATGAAAATTAACGGTTGGGTTTGGATTGATAGTATGGGAAATAAATAAACGCCTTGCATACCCTTCATTTTATAGTTGAGCGTGAGTTTAGATAATGTAGATACAAGAAAATTCGTGCTTGAACGAGTTCCGAGCAAACGTTTCAAAGTCCTTTACCAGTATATTCCTCAACGAAAATATCACGGACTTCGTTGAACAAGAAATATCTTTTGAAAACTCCGGAAGTTTAGTTCAGCAGAAGGGAAGGTCGACAGGAATCGCCCAAATTACTAAGTACTTAATCACAAGTTGTGTAGTACATAAGATATCTAGCCAAGCAGCCAATCTGTTCGTGATACTCATCAAAGAGCACGCGATGTCGAACAATAAACGATGTGTCGAGCTCTGCACATAACGTTTCAAAGTCAAAGTGTGTGTCTGTGTGCCGAGTTGAAAATCTGAGGTCGAATTCACCTTGGATCAAGTGTGGTTGCTAACTCTCTTCGTCCTTATGGAGCGAGAAACAGCTTCTCAGAGAGGCATTGCTACGCCTTTCAAACAAGAAGCTGCAACGTTAGTTCGTGCTGAGGACTTTTGTTTTCTTTTTTAAGTCCTACCCCTATGGCCGAGCTAAAACGCGAGAAACCTACGAAGGAAATAGTTTCAAATTGCTAACCTGCTCCCTCGACACTTGTCGCAGGATAGTTACCAGCTGTCAAATTAATTAAAGGAAGAGTTATATTCCGTTACGAGTTGCTTACCTGATTCCTAAGGGTCTCCAATAGGTTTTCCGAGAACCGGGAAGTCCGTTGACGAGAATTTATAAAGAAGTTGATCAACATTTAAGTCCAAAAAAGCCCACCCTTCCACGAAGCCGTTTACTAAGATATCGTGTTCCAATTGTCCCCGCAAAACGCGAAAGTTACACGCGATCCCTATAGAAACGCCTGCGAAAGAGGCTGAAAGAAAGCCGCACAGATGTGTGTTGTGATAGTCTTATCTGCGCTGTCGTTTTCTTTTCAACTCACTGGTGATGTCTGAACATTCTGAGCCTTGCCCTATCCTGTAACAATGACCTTTTGGTGACCGACCAATTTATCAATCGGGAAAAATAGCAGTACGTTCCTCTGTACGGATGTCAGCCACTATCGAAAGCGATGAATCGAATCAAGTCGACGTAATAAACATAACAAGTTGTGTGACTCTCTTTTACGAGAAGGGAAAGAGCGAAAGTGCTTTTCTGCGGAAAGAAAAATTTCGGGCTCAGCTGCCACGAAAGGTGGCCTCCTTAAAGGGTCTCATGGAAACGGCATAATTATAACATGATCATAAGTAAACTTTTCTATATTTCCCTTGTTATGGATATAAGGGATTACCATCACCTTTTTGTTGCTGTATGCACTCGTTGACATTGTTATTTGTTTCTTTGATACTGACTTGTCTTTGCTAAAACATTTTCCAGTGATCGAAGTTAAACGGAAGGAAGTCGTTATCGTAACTAACGTACGTTATTCGTGTCAAAAATTTGAAAACTTCTTAAATAAACGATGTCATCGTTTCGGTGCAAAGAGATGAACTTACGCCTTATGGTGAGCAAAATCTTCAAAGTATCAATGCTAGTTGACAAAATCATCACCCACTGAAATGCCCCATTTAAGTTGAGATAATAGACTAAGAAAAATTTTATGATCAGGACTGGCTGGTATAAACCGTCGGGATTACTGGATTGTGAGAAAATTTTAGTCGGGACCGCGGGATTGAAAAACTCCTCTCTTTCTTGAGTAAAACTTGTTAAGAAAACGGGCATATCTCCATGAATATGCACAGTGAATGACAAAACCGAGGCTCATTATTCATCATCGTTATTGTTTAGGAGTAACTCGCGATTAGGTGACCTCTAGTCTGCATCGGTGAGGGAGTAGAATAAAATAATTTTTGTTTTATTAACTGAGTAGATAATGCTTTAGTCCTTCGTTAGAACGAATGATGACACAATAAGGCGAGAAGGAACGCATTAGATTGGAGCGAAACTCGTATTACATATCCATCGTGAGCGTTATGATTGCCCTTAGTGATTTTAAAAAGACTTCTGCTCTCAGATTAAATACAAAACATTTTTGATTGAGAAAAATAATTGTCAATCTTAATTTTTAATCCAGCTCTGCTCCTCTGATTTGAAGTAATTAAGCCAACTGCTACTTGCATGCATTAGACGCCAAAATGTCGAAGCGATGAATATAGGATAACAGTATCCTGCTCAAGTTAGTTTTACACGTCTTTTAAAAAAACAATCTTAATTTTTTGAATAATATTCAAAAAAGCTATAGAATTTGACTTCAAAGAGAAATTGGAATATTCCCTCACTCTCGTCACACTAAGTTTCTGAAATCCTTTCCATTCCTTTCCTTCTAGTCATGTCCTACAAAACCACCACTCCCTGGAAGATAATACAAAAAGCTCTAATCTTGAAAAAGTTCTCTAAAATTCTCCCCTGACTTTAGTATATTTCAGTCTTGTTGATTAAACAAATATTTACTTCTGTGACTCAATTATGACCGAGGCCAGTCCTCGTTCACAAGACAGCCATTCTTTTCGTAGTGCTCTATCAAGCTTTTCCACGCTGGGTCTAACTCCAGGAGATACCTGTTTCCTAAAGGGAATAAGATGAGGCTGAGTTATTCTAACAATAGAATAATGGCGCCTTATCCTACAATCATGGAGCTTTATTTGTAAACTTGACAAACTTCTTTGTTTACCTCCACAACTTCCACTAAGAACGCATGAAAATGTTACGAAGGGTTAATTGAGGAAAACCCAGGGTAAAAAAATCTTGGAGGATTAAGAGGATGGGATGAAATTGTGGCACTAATCGCAGAGCTTGGTAAAAAAAAACCAACGACATCTTAGAATGCTCTAAAAACTCTACCTCAACCTTCTCTGAAAAGACTTGAACTGCATATCTCACCTATAATGCAAAGTCCTCTGCGTGCTCGAGTGAGTCCCACGTTCATTTGATGCTCATCAGTCAAGAACCCCAGATGTTCACGAAGCCAAGAAAGGGACGGCTCAAGATCTATTTCGTCACGGTTCACGGATCGAACCAATGATATTATGACGTAATCCCATTCACTCCCTAAAATTTGAAAGAAAAAGGAGAAATCGAATATCGCAATTCAACACTTCATTAGAACTGCGCCTTCTTCCAACGCGCGCTATTATTTTCAATTTTAGATCTCCCTATTTTTTTCACAGAGTTATCTAGTATGTATTAAACGGTTGTGGTACGTCACGGTTTCGTTTACTGTTTATAAATACCGTTTTATTTCCAAGATTTACTTTTTACTGCCTTACCTTGACTTTTAGTGATTGTTGTAACTTTGATATCCTCATATGCTCCCTTTAAGAGTTCAGTGATTTTGCTTCGCTGTTCTCTGTAAGGTGACAGAATGACCACATCTGACTTTTGCACATGGGCCACGTAACGGTTAACAAGATGCTTTGCTATTTGAACCTGTTCGTGAGGAAAGAGGAGGAAGTGATCATTAGACATGTTGACTTTACAGCCGTGCAAAGCTTTAGTAAAGCAAAGAGTACTCTGGTATACAGTTCCCAATCGAACGATGAAGGGTTAGGGATATACATAATAACATATACATCAAGTCAGCGTGCTGAAAAAATTTCTGATGTAAACAGAGGTGTTAGGAGGAATTTTGTGAGTCGGGACCAGCTTCTGTCGCCAGAAAAAAACATGTCTACCGGATAGAGGTGTCTCCGGCATTTAAGGGATTTCACTGCATCTCAAAAAAAAAAAAAAGGCCGCAGATCAATCTAATCATTGGCTTTGGGAAATCTGATGGTAATTTAACCATGGTACGTAAAAAAATTCTCCTGTGTGATAATAAATCTTAGCTTAGGCTTGGAAAATACTCACGTTACTTTGCAATTGTAAATATGAACCAAAAGAACATGAGCTTCCTATCCCATAATCTTCCCAACTTTCTCAAGTTCGGTGAGAATTTACTTACTGCCTTACGAACTTCTTTCATGTTTCTCTTGGACTCCTCGTTGCTCTCTGAGGTTGCTATGACAGCAGACTCTTCTTGCCCTTCCACGTGACAGAACACAATCGGTAGTTTCCTCTGTGCAGGCCAAAAGGAAATTGGACTAGGAGCACGTGACTTCACCACGTCAGCTGTACGTAGCTTTCCATCATAAAATTGTCTCGATGGAAATTCGCAAATTCCATCATGCTAGAAATGAGAACACACTGGTTAAAAAAATGTCTTTGTTAAGAGAAAAAGAAATTAAATGGCATTGTTTTCCTGTTTTCCTGGTGGGTGTAATACGGTAAAAGTCTTCTGATAGACTCAAGGAGGGAGAGTAAAGTAACCTAATTGTTACCAAGTTCATGTTACAAGTTTTTAAAGGTAAGAGAGAGAGAAAAACACTAAAACACTCGCTAAGGTTAAATCTTGAAAGACAAATAAACTGCGAACAATAAAAGAGTTGCGAAGTCCATCCTTCGGTGACCAATATTTAGGTATTTGCACCGATATCTTGTTTAGCAACAGAAAAATTATATTAATCCCAGAGATAAGTGGGTTTTCAGAGGCAATGATTCAGAAAACTATGCGGATTACAGTTAGACTGGTAAACCTGTGTCTCAGAAGCTAACGAAGACAATCAAAGTACCATTTCCTAGAATAGTAGAATGTATAATTGCCCTGAATGTGTTTTGCTAAAATATCTCACCATTCTGTACTGAAGTTCCAGCATGGTAGCTCGTTTAGAGTGCCTTTCAAACATCGACACACTCAAGCCAAGTGTCTTTGCGACGTGGTCTTGTATTACAGGCTGCAGTTGTTTGTGATCGCCAATCAAAACCACTTGTTTTGCTCCAGAACACGTAATAGGCACTAGTGATTCAGGTTCCATGCACATGCCACATTCATCGACAATGCATTGCTGGATGTTGTCGCAAGAAGAGACTATCCTAGGACTTCCCGAAGCGGCGCAAGTACAGAGAATGATTTGAACTCCAGACTCTTGAAGAGCCCACTTTTCAGCCAGTCCAATGACCTTGAGGGAAAGAAATTTAAAAAGCCATCATCTGTATCAAGTGATCAAGGTATTTGGTATTTGGTATTTGACAGGAAAAGTTGGGAGCAGATTTACTATTTTTCTTTTGCGGGAGGTTCTCTGTGGATTTGAACGTAAAAATAAGTTTTCGATTTGTGAAAAAAACGCTCACTGATTTTTAATGTCTCTCCAAAAGAGTTATATGAGAGGAAAACTGCCTTAGTTTATCAATGTAATTACGAAAACTCAATCATTCCAATGGGAGAGAATTTCCACCAATCACCAGCCTTCCCATCTGTCCAGTAGCTAGCACGTACTTAAGCGCTAAAATATCTTCAACAGAGTTAACTTTTCTAATTTGTCTTTTATTCTCGCATCGAAGCACTAGGTCAAACCGTTCAAAAATCTCTCACCTTGCGGTAATCGGCGACTTCCTTTTGGCCTATAGTTTCCTTCATCGCTTTACACTGAGCGAACCCTTCTTCGTATTTCCTTAGCTCTTCCGAATGAGGGCATTCAGGACCTCTAATCACGTGATGAAGGGATACAGACCTTATTTGATCACTGGAGATTTTCAGTTCGTCATCACTCCTCGTTGTTCGAGCTGGCTTCAACTTGTTTGGAATTGGAAACTCTTTCTGCTCAATTTGATCACTGTAAACTCTGAGAACTTTTAAATCTGGCATTTTCAAAAGGAGCTCTAAGGTTGGAAGATGAAAGTTTATGTCAGCTGTTGAGATTTGTGCGGAATTTATTTTAGATTAAATAAACGGTGTACTTATTACTCAAGCTTTGCATGGCCAAATCAAAATTGAATGATAGAGGACAGCTGCATTTTTACACTGTCGGAATAAGTTATCGTTAAACGATTAAAAAATTCCCGCTGGGCGACACTTTGAACCGTATGACATAGTATCGTTACCACAATCATCACCATTATGTAATACCTCTTTTGTGAGCAAGAATCCAAGGGAGGTCGTGCGCAAAAGAGAAGCAATTATGAAAGACCGGGAAACGCGATCTAACAAGGCGGCTACACAAAATACCATTTCCAAAACAGCCAATATCTGTTCCGATTTTTCGCATGCTAAATACTTTATTCCAAGTATGCCAACAAACTTGAACGCGAGGTTACCTTTTTTATGTGAGTATATTCCTAGTTGATAAAATTAAATGATGTTACAATCAAATTCGACAGCTACCAACATCAAGCTAGCTTAGAGCATTTTCTATTGGAATGCATTGTCCTTCGGTGGATAATTACCGCGGAACCTCATGGAGTCCCATACCGCGATTTGATTTCGTATGAAACAGAAGTCCTGACTTTTTTTCCTATCATAGCCCACCTGTAACCACGTCCACAGACTTGTTAGACGGTCCACAATAAATAACTTGAGGCGGTGATTTGTGTGCTCCATCACATTCAGTTTCACTTGTCTCTTTTTTCAACAGCTTCAAAGACTTTTTCGTCTTGTTTTGTTCCGCGAACCAGTAGGCGATGTGTACTCCTGTTACGGTTTTCCCAGTACCTGAGAAAAACGATTTTTTTGGTCGTTTGTAAGTAACCTGTACTTGTAAGTGAGTTGTCACAGACAAGCTGTCATTGCTGTCATTTGTAATGAAGCTCAGAAATGTGTATGCTAGCGCATTTTTTCAGGTGTAATGGAATAATGGTAACATAGACTATTTCCCTACATCATCACTAAGTCATGGACTAAAAAGTGGTTATATGCGAGATAATTCTTAAGCCCCTAATCGCTTTTAGTCTTTCATCGAAAAACACAATATTATTACCTGGTGGGCCCTGTATTAGCGTGAATGGATGGCAAAGTGCTTCTTTGACTGCGGCCTCTTGATATGTGTTCAACTTCTTAAATCCAAACTGTGTCAAAAACAGGCTTGTGGGGAGTTCGCCATAACTTTCTAACCGTGACGGAAAAAAAGAGCATTACGATGGTTAACAATCGCACGGAAGCTAAAAAAGCTAAAAGTTTTGTAATATATGTAATTGTAACTATGATGTTAACGATTATACAATCACTTCCCAGTTTTATCGAGAGCTTCTTCTATGGTGGTCACAATTTCGTGAAACTTTCGCTACAGACTTGAATTGGACAAATATTATTTGGAATAATAAAGAAATTAGAAAAGATAAAAAGCCTATCTATTGCAAAAAATATTTTGACTCCGTAATCACTCACATCCACGATCTCCGGCTCGATTTGTTTAATTTCTTACGCTGAAAATAGGGTAACTGCGTAAGATTGTTAAATATAACGAATTGTTATCATTGTTAACCTATTTTATGAATTTAAAATTGTAACTGTGTAAATGAAAGGTCAGAATAAAAAAAAAAAATACTAATCCTCAATAATAAATACCTTTTGAAGGCTCCTCTCCTCTGCAAATGGCATGAACTAGCTCAGATGAGTGTTTCAAACTGCACAGCGCTGCATACATTCGTCTGAAGAGTTGAAATGAAAGTTAATTCATACGAAGAACTCCAGGATGTAATAAGGTAAGTAATGGATTTAACTAGGCAACCAGTGGAAGTATATTTTTGTCGTGATAAAGGTTAAGTAGTTAACACAATTTTGCAAAATAAATTCAGTTTGTTGCAGTTTGTTATAGTTAGTGTTGAATCAAGCTTTCTTTATTCAAGATCCGCATAACTGTTTAGATACCACTATTTTGCATGCTCAGTCAACGCAGAGCTATTTGAAACTATTAGACTACAAGATTAATTTAACTATTTCAGAAACTGAGCACAGATCTTGACTAAGTATCGCATGAGAGTATGATTATTCATGTACCTTTGAGGAAGTGTTCTGTGGATGAGTTCTAGAGTACATCTGTAACCCTCTTCGTTGGAAAGTCCCTCTGGTGTGGTTGACGCCGATTGATGAAGATACATTTTCACTTTTACCATCCGTTTTTCTTTAAGAAACTTAACACTTTTGATAATGCAGTGTGCCACCCAAAAGTCACTAGCACTTCCGCTTGAATCAGAATGTAGACCGTCTTTGGAAGACTGTAGAAAGGGGAAGAACTTAAATAAGCATACTATAGCAATGCCATCTTCGCACAAGATTATTGAGATAGAGTAAATACCTTTCCGTGGCTTTCACTTTCCACCGAAGAAGGCGATATTTCGCAGTAAGACATACGGATACATATGAGATCTCCCATATGGAAATTTAATTGACGACTATCACAGTAGCTGAAAGGAAGCTCAAACTCTCCTCTTACAGAATCAGCCTTGTGTTTCCATAGCACGTTAAGGTTTTCAATGGTGCACCCATCATTATCCTTTACCGCTTCTGTCGCTGCCTCCATCGCAATAACTGGTTTCCAAGCTTCTACGTACTCGTCGATACTTTCATACCGTTCCCTTGATGCTTGGTGTCTCGCTGTGTGCGAAAATGACTCCCTTGGATACTTACGGTGTTCAATGCAGACATTGAGATGAGCATCTACCTTAAATACTTGGACATCTGGTTCGAGGATTCCTCGTATCATGCGAGGACAGAGCTGCACAGACAGGAAATCGTATTTTCTTAGTGTAACTTTCTTCTCGTAAAAATGGTCTACTGTTGCCTCAGTTGACGGTTGTGCCTCGTCATTGTGATGAGGATGCTTGTAATGGATACCATGCACGTGGCCAAAAGACGTTTGAGCTGAGGTGTCCTTCCTACGACTGTAAGGCATGGCGCTTAGCTTCTCTTGCATTTTCTTGATGGTGGTTACTAGATTCTCCTTGTCGTTAGCTCGAATCATATCCAACACAGAAACCCAAACATCAGGAGGAATTTCGATCACTTCGTCAACGCCTCTGTAATTGGAAATGGATAACTCTGTGGTGTTTCTCTTGAAATCTGGCGCCATATACTTTCTGATTTTCCACTTGAGAATGATCGACTGTTCTTCACCTTGATATTCTTTTTTTTCATCCACGGTCAGTAAATTAAGGTGACGAAGGGCAATTGTTTTGTTCTTAGTAGCCAAGAGATCATCTTCTCTATTTAAGATTTGAAGACGCAAGGACTGATGCTGAATGGATTCAATGAAAACTCGTGTCTCACGACACCGTTGCTGGAGCTGAGTGGCCAGATGGATCCTCTTGCAATACTTCTCAAATTTACGTGCGTTGTCTTGCATAAATGTATGACGTCGGCACACCTTTAAAACTTCATCTTTGGTGGGGTGATTATTGGTGGAAGACGTCAAAACGAGACCAATCAATAGCCGATGCACCACGATATCAATATATCGCCTTATTGGCGACGTAAATTGTGTGTATCGAGGTATTCCGAGAGAGTAGTGGCAAATGTTCTCGGGTGGTTGGTCGCCTTCACAAACGCATCGAGATTCAGACTGTATACGTCGAAAATGTGAAACAGCAGTGGCAATTTGTGGGTGATTACTCTCATTGCAAATTAGGTATTGCAGTGTGGGAAAATCGTTTGACTCGACGGCTTGACATATTGTACGCCAAACTTGCATCTGGATCTTAAACTTGATGCTTTCATCATGAAAAGCATCTAATGGTGTGGCGTTTATTGTGTCCTTCGTAAACATTGCGGATAACGTAAGTGACATTCTTGCATACTTGCCGTACATTTGAATCCATTCGGCCAATCTGTGATCTTTTGGTGGTAACTGTATCTTCAGAGGTGCTAATTCAGAGTTCTTTTGTGACAAAAGTTTCGCTATTTCTTCATTTGCAAGAATCATCCATTCTTCTACTAGCTCGTGGGCTTCAAAGTCTTTTCCTTCGTTTTGCCAGTGATCGAATGCTCGATCTCGGAGGCGATGAAATCTCCTCTTTTGTGCCAAGGAACTTAACCGTCTAACCTTCCCCTTTATCTCTTCTGGAATTTCTGATGTGCTCGCATTTTTTTCATCAATGATCATCTGAGCCTTAGCATAGTTCAAACGACAACAGGATCGAACAACTGTGCGTTTTATCTTTGGCTCACCGAGTAGTTTTCCCTCTCCGTTTATGGTCACGAAAACCGATACTGCAAGACGGTCCTCATTGGGCAGAAGACTGCAAAAATTTTCACTGAGTTGGCGCGGAAGCATGGGAACATTTTCATGTCCGTTGTGGGGGTAATATGAAGAGCACCGAGAAAATGCTTCATCGTCTAATGGAGTGTTTGGTCTAACAAAGAAACTGGCATCGGCAATGTGTATCCCTAAAAGGAAGGTTGAAGGCGATACATTCTCTATCGTCAAGGCGTCATCAAGGTCCAGGGATGTGGGAGGATCAATTGTGATGGCATCAGAAACCTTGGTGCGATTATTACGTTCTACTTCAGGAATAGTCCATCCTGGTGGAAAGTTATCATCCACGTACCTCAAGGTCTGTTCTTTAAATTCTCGTCTCACCCCGTGCTCAGCGTACGCAATCTCCATGCTGGTTCTCAAGTCGTGTCCTCTGGATAGTGTTCGTACAACGATACCAAGCGGGTTGCTGAAGTCCCTTCTCCACTGAAGGTATTTAACAACAAAGAGGTACTTCCCACTGAGGACTTTCTCTCTTTTAAACATTTTTACTTTTATGGCTCTTCCGTTGTGATCCTTTCTGTACATTGGAATATCATCACAAGTCTTATCTGTAAGGTTGACCAGTTTAGTAGCTGCTTTGTTGATGGGCACCATCACCGCAGGATTTGCGTAATCTGTTGTACACACAAACTGACGTTCGTGTGGACTTATTATGTGTTCAAGTACACCTGAATAAGAAGGGAAAGTCTAATAAGTTTAAAGCCGGTCTTTTGATTACTAATAATAATATTCTAATGACATGTTCTTATCTAGCAGTTATCACATGTCTATATATCATAAAAGAGTCCCTAAAATGATGGGTTCAATTTATCGTAGCTACTAACGATAAGTGCTTTTGTCGATTCGGGCAGTCTTGCGTCTTTTCACCTGGATGCAGGACGTGTTTTCTCAACCAGTCGGATTCTATAGGTTTAATGAAATATTTAACAATCTTAACTAAGGTTTTCGAGGATCAATGCATTTCAAGACATTTACTGTAAATCATCTTACCAACAACTCTTCCTTGGACTGCTGGCTCAGTTTCATCAGCCATTGAACGGGCTTTCCTTTCAGCTAGCTCTATAACAACTTTGTCTCTGTGAAATGCTTGACGGAGCTTTCCCTTGATGTGAATAGATGGCGTCTTGGTATCTTCTACCTCTGCATAACCCACGTGCAACTTTTCGGGACTAAGACGAAGATTACAGACAATATATTTCTCAGGTTTGTCTGCAATGAGCTGCATCAAGACAGAGGGATCAAAAAAATCCTGTTGCTTTGAGGAAATCATGATTTGTTTCGCTCTTTCAGAGGGAGACCTGTAACAGCCAAGGTTAGTCAGACGCACTTCAATACGGCCGTTTATGACTCGTACCTCTGGGAACAGATCTTTTATGTCGGCACCACTCTTTAAGGAAGGGTGTTGTACTTGTGCGATTGGTCGCTGTTTCAAGCCTTCCGCCGCTTGAAGAGAAGGGAATTCGGACTCGTCAAAAATTGATTTGCGTTCTTCGTCCATTTTCAGAGTTTCTTCGCATTTTTGGACAAATGCCTGAATTATTTCGTCCATGTCTCTCGGAAATACTGTCTCGTCCTCAAGAAGGCTATCTTGAAAGTCGTTTAAGTCTGCATTGTCGTTGTCAGGGTCTTCTTCGCCCTGATCCTGATCCTTAAGGATGAGAATGGGTTGACTTTTGCTGTCCAAGGCATCATTTACTGCTGATCGCCCACTCAGGATTTGCTGGCTGCTTGACTCTCGGGTGTCGCTCTCCGTTTCCAGGACCTTCCGAACATTTTTCTCTTTCATCAACTCCTTTACATAAACGTCCTCTTGGGCACTTTCTATTGTTTTCTCTTCGGGCGCTTTTGCGCTTAAGCTCTTCTCAACCTTTGGAATGAAACTTGGAATGAACGTCTTAGCTGCAGGATTGAGCTGGACATTGGCAATAGAAGCGCTTATTTCTGTTAATAGCTCTTTCATTGTTGTCCCAAATAGGCCACCTGCCTCATCACATCTCTTGATGTAGTCTCTCCAGAGTCCTCGACATTCTCCCACTACGCAAAGAGAGACAGGATCGCCAACTACTGCTACCATGCATCTCGCTCTCGTCACGGCTGTGTTAAGTAATTTTGGATCTGACAAAAACTCCCAATAAAGTTTTTGACCTGATTCACCGTTACGAAATTCTTCTTGCTGAGGTTTGCAGGTATGAAATGTACGCACGGTACTGATAAAAAGCACCCTAAATTCTTCTCCTGAAAAAAAAAAATGCGATTAAATTAAAGATGTATGAGATACAAAAGATTGAAGTAGGTAAATTGATCTATTATTCCTGTTCCTTGGAAGATTTAATTATAGGGGAGACTTTACCTTGCACGTTATGGATTGTATCCACCTTTACATCCCTCAGTTTTACCTTTCGTAAGCTTTTTCGTATGGCTTGAACCTAAGTATTGGGTATACATCATGTTCAATTAGGATGAAGAACCTAAATCAATAGGTTTCTTTGCAAGAATAAAGAATAACTTTTATATCATTTGAGTCACATGCTTTTTGAATGTTTGTCGGCAAAAAAGAGCTGAATTAGCATCTCTGTGACCTCCTAGTAAAGGCAAAAGCATGGAAGTAACGAGAGGCTCGCATTTTTCTATTATAGGTTTTAAAACTGATTTGAAAGAAAGAGCAACGCTCACTTCTCTCTTGGATTGACGTGTGAAGTATATTTTTTTCACGGAATGAACTTGGCAAGGCTTCTCTATCTTACCTTCAATATCAGTCGATTCAATTGCTCCAATATTTAAAATGAAAAAAAGGAAGTCGTCTAAAAACTGATACTCTTGTAACTTCCTATCATTATTTAAATCCTTTCCTGAAGAATACAGTCACTAACCTGATAACGGTAAGAGGACAGTACTGCGATATCAGAGAGATTCTTGGGGCCCCAAACAGTCGGCCAATTGTCAGCAATCTCTTTCACCCTCTTCTCTACTTCATAAACCTCAGACAAGTTTAGATAAGAATTGTCTTGCTCTTTTGTTTCTTTACCGCGTGCGGAGAAGAATAACAGGGGACCGTATTTCGGGTGCGCCGGTTGGGACTCATGTCCGCGAGCAATCAGCTTTTTACCATAGAAATTTTCAGAGGGAAACTTGAGAATAAGCTCATTGCATCGGTAGTTTTCCGTCAGCCACAAAACATTGGATTTCTCATCTTGGCTGGGATTCTTCTTGAATGCTTCAGCCTCGTATTTTTCATAGAGGTCGAACAGCCTTTCAGCCAGTGACTTTTGAAGTCCCAAACTTCGCGCTTGAGGCGAGTAGACTTCTGGGCTCATCTATCGTAAGATAAATGCATAAACGTTACCTCTTTAAGTAACGACATAAAACATAAATTGTTGTTCTTTCTTCGAAGTTATCTTTGAGTTCACTAGTTTTTTTCCACCTACAGTTTATATTAGCGATGTTAAAAATAATAATAATGATTACAATAATGAAAATGATACTAGACAAAAAAATTAATACTAATAAATAAATAGAAAACTACGATAGTAGCCGTCGAAAGAAAACTGCGGAACTCAGTCCCCTTAATCCAGATCTGTACCTGCATGTGATCTCCTGTAAAGACAATCTTCGTGTTTGTCCCCGCAAACTTCAATGGGTTTAAGGCTTCGGGTTCAAGCGCCTGAGCGGCCTCATCGATGAGGATATGAGTAAAGAATCCGTGCAGCACGTCTAGATCAAGAAGCACTTGAGATGTGCTCAACGTAGTAACCACTACGCGACGCTCAATAACGTCATCCCGACAAGGCAGAACAAACATTTCATCCTTGATCAAACAATACTGTCTGGTTATCTTAGATGTAGTTTCGAGTCTGAAATTTGATAATTTAAAGTCTATGAGTTACTCACCAATACATGTCCATATAGTGAAAGGACCTATGCAGTGTCAATGGTCACTTCATTTGAATCAGATGCCCATGTTTCTGTTTTTTGCCCGATAGGGCCCTCAGGCAGCCGTTACAGGTCCTCTGAGACTTAATCACATACGAGAAGTAAAGTAAATGTATGGAAACTGATTTGACTCTTAATTTTATCTCTTTACCTTCTCATTGGCTGATAAACTCTTAGAGGCCTAGCTGCAGGTATTCCACAGTTATGCAACCATTCCACGTGGATGTCTGCTGCCCGATTAGAATGAGTACATAACAGAATTCTGTGAGATTTGTCCAGTTGTACCAAAAGACGAACACATTGGCTAAGAGTAAATGTTTTTCCTGTTCCAAACGGACCAAACACGACCAGAGGGAGGGCATTATCCTCAAGGGAAGCTATCCTTTTGATGACTCTCTGTTGATTTGGATTCAACCGCTTGTCGAGAAGCCATTGCCAAGGAATTTTCACCTGCAATTGCAAAATTCCCTTCTGTTTAAGCTTCGTATATTCAGAAAAAGATCCAAGATTTCAATGCACAACTATAAAATATGAATGCCTACCTCACTTATGACGGTTCCAACAGTTGGATCCGGGAATATGAGACGTAACTGTCCTGAAGTAAGTCTTTCAACAGCTTCGTGCAATTGACAAAGAGGCCAACGATTCAGTTGGAACTGAGCATTAACGGAAACATCACAGGTGTCATGCAGCTTTAGATCTGAGCACAATTTAGACGGGAGTCTTAAAACAACGCAATCACTCTCCATTTTTTCCACTGGAGCTTCATAAACCCTTTTTGATTCACTACTGGCCAGTTGGAGCCAGACAGAATTGACGTTACGATAAAGAAGACGACCAGCTGCATCGTCTGGTTTAAGAGCGTCTTCTTCATGCAGACGGAGGACACCAAACAATTCGCCATTTACAGCACACTGCATTCCAGTCATCTCGCCGGAGATTTTCAACTGTGCATGTAGCTGGGCATTATTTAAGGTGTAACTATACAAAATAAAACAACCAAAAACCCACTGAACGAAAAAAGTCAAAATCTCGTCATCAGTTAACAATTATTAGGCAACCTCACCATCCACCAATATTAAAGCGATATAAAATCAGTATATTTATGCCATTTCATGTGATATTTGTTTTACCAAACAGGTGTTTAGGTTATTTGTGACTCTTCAAGGGTTTTTAAGTTAAGTAACTCCTCATGCGCTGTCCTTCCTTCGCGATGGAATAGACAAGAGCCAATGTTTTTTCTGGAAAGTTCACTCTTTGTAGATCGGCATATTTGAAACACCTAACCCTGACTATGTACCAATTAGGCCCCACCGGAGCAGAATATCTGTTACAAAAGCCTACCTGGTCATAGGTCATTGAGTTCGAAGTATATCTACAATCTTCTTTGAACGTACCGTGATATTTGTTCTTTCATGAACCTCTCCTCCAGAAATAGTAATTGATGCATGACGCTTTTGTAGATTTTAGGGCTCAGGAGCTCATCAGTAATATCTACTTGTCTTGGAAGACCGTACTTTCTTGACAAGTGTTCTGCCTGGAGAGCCTCTCTCGTCGCGTGGATGAATCTGACCACTTCCACGGACCTTTCGTCCCATATTGCAGGCGCATGTGAGGCGAGATGTTCTGGTGCGCTGGGGAGTGTCATTGGCTCACTCGTAACGGCAGCATTAAGTTTTTTTAAGAGGTAAGGCTTTCTTCCAAAGTCGAATACAACCAACTGTTCAAAGCTTCCATACAGAGGAGATTTGAATGAGACCGTAATAGCCACCCTTACACGTCCAACCAGTCTTTTTGAGCTTGGAGACTTGTACCAAGAGTCTTCTAGCTTAGTTGTGTATAAAAGCTTGTAAGTCTCAGAGCCATGCTTTTCTTCAATGCAGCTAACGCGAATTTCTGATAAGAGATAGTAGCGGTGGTATCGGTGGAGGAGAAAAACATTCTGTAAGGATCCTACCTCATCTGGCTGAAAAGGTAGTGACATGCATTACATTATGTGAAAATTATTCCAAGGTACACCATTTGAACTCTAAATTGCACCATCGGCACCTATCCACCAGAATTCTAAATGTTTCGGACAATTTAAAGAATGTTGGCAGTTTAGCAGCTAAAAATTTCTAATCACTTATTGTATATCCTTGCTATAAAAAATATTTCAGCCCATACATAAACTGCTGTTTAATAGATTTTACGATAAGATCGTTGTTTAACTTCAGGTATTATCATCGTCATCATCATTATTATTATTCCAACTATCGTTGTCATTTAACAGTTCAAAATCATAGTTTCCATTTTTTAGTTGGATGTCATCGTTTTTTGTAACTCTAATCAATAAACTGCTGCATGCTAACTCGAGTTAAGAAAATCATTATCGTAATTTCAGTAAATATATTTAAGGTATCATTTATATTGAGACACATTATTAAAATGTGCCTTTAGCTACGACTCAAGTTTCTCGTTGATGCATTTTTTACTCCACCATTATAATGCCTACCTACCTTGAAGCTAAGAGTGAATGTCCATTTATACTGCTCTTTTTCCCGAAGGCTTACATTAAGCTCCGGAGGTGAGCAAATAACTTCGACTCCAGCTAGACATTCCACTCGCTGTTGATGTAGAAAAAAAAATGTGATATTTAAAAATCAATTATGCAATTACAATTATCAACTTTAATTAAATTTCTGATAACAATAGACAATGTGCATAAACGCACACTCGATTTTATAAGTGTATACTATTTTGTTCTAATAACCTGTATTTTATATTACGTCCTGGCCTACAATTATAGTGGAAACCAAAGACAAACAAAAGAGGCTCCAAATGTACGCAATTATTATTATTTTTTTTTTGTTTCCACCTGATTGAATTCAGAATTGCGTCAATTTAAACGCATTTTTTTTCTAAACCACAATAATTGTGTGAGTATTTCAGAAACACAAAATTTTCAACTGGATTAATTTAAGTTTCAATTTTCCCCTTCTACAATAAGGGGTAGAACTTGCTCTTCATTTATGTGGTATCTTTTTAAAATATATATCAGAGTTTTTTGTCTTTCTCCTGACTTGATCGTGTTCAACATCTGAGTTCTCATTGTGATACCTGAAAAAATTAAATTTAGCATAGTGTCTGTCGAATCTTACTATCAACGCCAACATGAAATAAGAGACTTACATCTTCCGAGGGCGCATTTAAGATTTTTGACGCCATTTCCGAAGAATCCTTCTCGAATTTCTCCTTTAATTTTCTGTCGTACTCCTGTTTCCATTCATTTAGTTCATGCTGGCTATGAGCATAAATGCATCCTCTACCGAATCTGCACCGTTCACGTGTATTGCAACTGTTAATGAGATGAGACGAAATAACCTAGTGAGAAAAGTCGTTGTTTCCAAGAAAAAGTCAGTCCACTGACATCGATAGATAAAACTTCTCGTAAAACATCAATCTATAACACTTCCGATGTAAGATTGCCAAATAGTTTAATACTTTGTTCATTCTAGAATTTAAAGGTGCAAAATGTTTTTAAATTTTAACTGAACGCCCTCTATTTGGCGTAGAGTGAACATTAAAGTACATTATACATCAGTATTAAAGG